GGTCGTACGGCATGGAATATGCCGGTCACCTAGTGTTCTGATACTTGCTCAAAGATAGCCACAGTTCTGTAGATTAGTGGGTCTTGGACCGGGGCAATTATGGTCACGGAAAATGGACAGGTAAGATGTTCAAAATTTCCGAATCCAAAACATTTACATTATTAAACCTCTTAATTACCGAAATGCTTTTAAATTTTAGAAAATCGTTAATATAATTGATAAAATAAGTTTGTTTAGAAATAAAACTCTTTATTATTGTATGAAATGACCCTATCTAATTGAGATCGATTCCAGGATTAGTGGTGCCCTTGCACTACTTTCATCGATTTTAACTTTTAAAGATGATCGGTTTGTCTTCATTTTTTTAAAAGGGGTTGCTATCAATACCTGTCACATTATACACATTAATAATTAAAAAAAATGATTGCTTTAAGTATTTCATCACAAATAACAATGAAATTACGATAAACTATGATATTAAATAACAAATGTTGCGTCTTTCATTATCTGTGTCTGTATAAAAAGATCGCAACTGCTATAAAATTACTGCAATTTGATCATTTACGATAGCAAAATCTTTGTTGGAACGGTACATGCGTTTATAGAAGTAGTAAAACCATTTTTGTACTGGATGAGTTATATGTTATTGAACTTTCTATTTGTAGGTTATTTTGATTGATCATGAACTAGATTATTGATTAAAGTTTACATATTTTTATTTATTTATTTTTAGAATATCTAAAAATGGATTTCCGTGAGACTCTGATGCGATCATAAAGGTCTTAGTGTCGGAGTAAACTCTATTTATTTGAGTTATTGGTCGTAAAATAGGAGTAAAAGTATCCCTTTTGGAAAATTACTATTCCCAACGTTTAATGTTGACGTAAATTTCCTTTGGTACACTGTCTTGTTATTATAGTGTGAATGCGGATGTGTAACTTTATTAACTCTGTTAATTGTATCATAAAAATCGAATAATCACTAAAATTTATGCAAAAAAGACAACCATCAGATCAGATCCACATGCTGTTTACTAATGACGTCAACGCGTCTTCAATATTTACCGATTAGAAGTTTTTATTAGACCCAAGTCGCAACCATGCTGACATAGTTGGATATGTTCCAACATGAAATTTTACAGCACAATTCGTCCGTTCTATTTTTTATAACACCAGACCACGGCATCTGAATACAACAGGGTTGTATTTGCATAAACCCCGCATGGTAACCCTTCGAAACGTGTGCATAAAACGAGGTCGAAATTTGCACGAAATGCAGAATATCCGTTTTTATTTCATCGACTTTTTAGAGTTTTCCATAAAAACGAAGCACATTTTGACATTCGTGATAGCAAAAGCGACACATATTTAATTGTATAAGGCTTACGTATGGTTTTAGATGCTATTTATGGCACCTCCAAGAATCAATACATACTTTAACATCGTGCGTTTATGTATTATGAGAACAAAACAGCTCGGTGTCATACAATGTAATTTAGTTGTTTTTGTCATAGCTTAGTATTACTTATTGATCTGTGACATCATGTGTTACTTTAAATAGAATAAGGGTGCGATTTTTTTTGTTAGTAAAGTGGGTTAGATCTCATTATTACATTTATTACATTATTAAATAAGGAATAAAATATAAAATAATTTTAAATGTATATTTGAAATTTGTTATTATTAATATTTAAATTGGTTGTTATATCGCTAAATAGTTTTCGCACATTAATTTAACGCAACCTTCGTTAAATATAGGTCAATTTGTATATCGTCGATAGACCAGGATAACCCGTTTCAAAACAAATTTATATCCACGTTCTCGGGAGTTACAACCCTCTTAACCTACATGTTTTTAATGAATTGGTTTTCCCGCTATGATTGTTATTCTAGCTATAAACGTCCAGTGTTATGTTCCTGATCTACTATGCCCTATTTAACGTTAAACTAACGTGAGTCACGTATGCAGCATATCGACAGGTGATGTCGACCTCAATTTTAAGTATTTTTAGTATTTAACCATAAAGTTTATTACACTTAAAAAAAAAGTTGTAAAGAAAACACGTTAAAAATTCTCCAGTATCAAATCTGTTAATCTGAAATAGCATGTTTCATAAATGGATTTTTAATCCTTGTGACCTCTGGCTTTTTGTAAGTAGATGCAGTTCAAAAATGTTGGAGATGGTAAACAACTTGCAAAAGATACAAAAAGGAGCGGGAAAAACGAGGGTGGGGTTTCTATGAAAGATATAGATTACGGTTTTAGGGGGTTGGTGTTGCGATACTGAACCGAATTGACGCGGCGCGCCGTCGCGACGCTGTTATTGACCGGCGTCGACGTCATAAGGCGTCGCCTGAAAGCGCGTGCGGCAGCCGTTCACATTCACCTTCCTCTCTTTGCTCTTTCCAATGTTATCATCATTGCAATGATGACGACCTTTCCCAGACTTTTAACCCCGCAAAAATAAATTTGAAAAAGAAAAAAAATTACGACATTTTTGTGGCTGTGCTAAATATTAAATATAAGTAGAAAAAATTACGTGAAGTGTAAAAAAGTAAAGTAATTAAAGACGCACGTGCGATTCGCGATTTGAATCAATCAGTGGTTACTATTTTTTAAAACCAATTTTGAATTCTTTACACTGAATTTCGACGATTTTTAAGGATATTTTTGGATGTTTTTATCGCGTGAAGTTCGTGAGACCTGTTGAAAGTTGTTTATCTCTTCAAAAGGTTCCTTTCTTGAAACGGTTGCCAATAAATAGACATAAATACTTCGAGCATTATGAATCGTAAATAATGCCCAAGTGTTTTCGGTTTTTTCGAATGGTAAGTTATTTTTAACTACAGGAAACACCTTAAATTTTAACAAGCTGTAACCAGCGCTTGTTGTTACAATGTATCGATTGGTTCCCTGAATAATTACCAACATTCTGTAAATATAACCGATTGATTTACAATCTGATTGATTTGTTCACTCCAAACATTCTTGGTATGTTCGAGTCTTTGTTTATAACAAATCTCATTACTTTCACGTTTAAGAAATATTAGTTAATTCTAGTCTTAAATATTTTATGTGCCTACAAATACTACAAAGCTGGTTGTAAAACAAGAATTCACCCATTTCAAAACCGTGTTGAACACAGCCAATCAAAGCTTAAATACACGCCATATTTCCGTTGGAATTGTTTAGTGAAACAGTCACTAAATCGTACCAATTTATGTCCCGATATTCATAACAATAAAACTTAAAGTTCACCACTTCTTGTTCCACTTTAAGATATTTTTAGATAATAATAGTATCGAAATAGTATCGGTAAGGTCATAAGAAAGTCACAATTCTCAATTGATACTTGTACAATCGGTTTTAACACGATTGAAAATTAAATTGGCGCTGCGGAATAAGCACAGATTTTTCAACTACTTTGGATCGTTTCCAATACGGTCAACTTATGAAATGGAAGGGTGTATATAGAAAGAGTACTTCAATGGGGTATATGGATAATAGGTCTGGAGGGTTGCGGTCTAAATGGATCGATATTACACTTGGCACTCTCCCTTTCTTTAGTTCCTTTTTGGAAGGGTACGTAAATGGTGGAAATAAAGCTTGGGGTTCGAACAGAGAATATCTCTTTTAAATATTCAAGCTGTAATTACAACTCGAAAGAAAAAAACCTAATTTATTGATTCTAGGTCTAGTGTTAGTTTTAGTTTTTGTTCAGCGAAAAATATACAACAATCTAACGCTGAATAACAACTAAAACTAGAACTAACACTTGTATTAGAACTAACACTAGACCTAGAACTAGAAACATTCGGGTTTAGCCGCACGTCTCTTAAGACGGCTAAACCCGAATGATTCTAGTTCTAGGTCTAGTGTTAGTTCTAGTTTTTGTTCAATGGAAAGTATACAACAATCTAACGCTGAATAATAACTAAAAGTAGAACTAACACTTGCATTAGAACTAACGGTTTAGCCGTCTTAAGAGCCGTGCGGCTAAACTCGAATGTTTCTAGTTCTAGGTCTAGTGTTAATTCTAGTTTTAGTTTAATAAAAATGTACAACAACCTAGCGCTGAATGACAATTACAACTAGAACTACTGTCCTTGATTTACACATCGTTTAGACAACTCGGGATGGATGGAATAGAACAAATGAGTAATAACCCGAGTTAGATTCTATAAACGAGCGCTAACATTTATATTTAAGTATACTGATGCATCAAATAGATAATATTAATAGTATCTAGTCCGTTATATCGAGGTTTTACTAATGCATGGCTAAACCCCAAACTTCTTTGTTCTAGGTGTAGTGTTAGTTCTAGTTTTAGTTCAATAAAAGATATGCCTACAACAATCTAACGCTGAATAATAACTAAAACTAGAACTAACACTAGCATTAAAACTATCACACGACTAGAAACATTCGAATTTAGCCGTCTTAAGAGACGTACGACTAAACCCGAATGTTTCCAGTTCTAGGTTTAGTGTTAATTCTACTTTTAGTTCAATAAAAATATACAACAATCTAACACTGAATAGCAACTAAAACTCGAACTACCGTTCTTGAATAATGTTAATAGTATGACTTAAAAATATTTTGTCATTTATATTCGAAGTCCGTTCTAACGATGTCAGTTATATCGAGGTTTTACTATAATAGGGATCTATGTTCACACGATACCCTCTTTGCACGAAATATTAAGATCCAATCTGTCGTTAAAGCACGTGTTCGCATTATAACAACAGTGAGTCAGATCAGTCTGGGTAATTCATCTAATATTTACCCCAATTTTAGTCAGTTCCGAAAAAGGGGGAACATTGACTGAGCGTGCTTCCCCTTTTAAATGACCACGTGACTTCCACCTGTCCGGGGTAGTTTGAAGGGTGACGATGTTGCCATAAACACGAAAGGCAATTTCATTGAAATTATTCACCCTTTTAATGAAATTGATCGGACGAATCGAAATTGATGTGCTGATAATTTATTTTTTGTTGCAGTCTGACGGTAATACGTCCTTTCTACGAGCTGCTAGGGCAGGGCACCTCGACAAAGTCCTAGAACACCTAAAGACAAACATCGACATCAACACCAACAACGCGGTGAGTTTATTTTTCCTTCAAGTGCAGATTTCGCCGCCATTCAGTCTCAAATCGATACGACGTCATTTCACATTATTGGCGGCCTTTAAAATAGCTTTCCATGTAGCTATATCTCACGTAGTAACGACCTTTCGTTACGATTCTCTCGGTAATCGAAGGTAATAAGGTTTATTACCTTTGAAATTAGCTACGATACTTTTCGTTTTATAAAAAAATATTTATAATAAAAATTAAAATATAACAAAATCTAATTATAAGAATGAAACATGTCATAGTCTAGCCAGTTGAACCTTAAGTATAGTAAGGTATGCCGTCAGATCTAAATATATTGATAATGCCTTGGCACCCGCCCATAACAAAATCAAACTAACAACTTCCCTTTTGCTCTCTTTGCAGAATGGCCTGAACGCACTTCATTTGGCATCGAAAGACGGCCACGTAGAAGTAGTAGCGGAACTATTAAAACGTGGCGCGGTTGTAGATGCGGCCACCAAGAAGGGTAACACTGCCTTGCATATTGCCTCTCTCGCTGGACAAGAAGAAGTGGTCAAATTGCTCGTGCAACATGGCGCTTCAGTTAATGTCCAAAGTCAAAACGGCTTTACGCCTTTGTACATGGCAGCCCAAGAAAATCACGATAACGTCGTTAAATATCTGTTAGCGAATGGCGCCAACCAAAGTTTGGCAACGGAGGTTCGTTGGCAATGAAGTTTTTTTTTTGGACCGGATTATTCATTTGTTGTTTTTTTACAGGATGGATTTACACCTTTGGCAGTGGCAATGCAACAAGGCCACGACAAGGTCGTCACAGTGTTGTTGGAGAATGACACCAGAGGAAAGGTCAGGCTACCGGCACTCCACATCGCCGCCAAAAAAGATGACGTGAAGGCCGCCAAACTTTTATTAGAGAACGAACATAATCCGGATGTTACATCAAAGTCCGGGTTTACACCTTTACATATTGCTTCGCACTACGGAAATGAATCGATAGCAAATTTATTGATTGCGAAAGGAGCCGACGTGAACTATGCGGCCAAACACAACATTACCCCGTTGCATGTTGCTGCAAAATGGGGAAAAACGAATATGGTGGCTTTGCTTTTAGAAAAAGGTGCTATTATCGAATCAAAAACTAGAGATGGTTTAACTCCGTTACATTGCGCCGCTCGAAGTGGCCATGAACAAGTTGTTGACATGTTATTGGAACGCGGAGCTCCTATAAGTTGTAAAACGAAGGTAAAAATTTTTGTTAAAACATTAAATTAAACTCGTAAATAATGGATTACGTCATTTTCAGAATGGATTGGCACCCCTGCACATGGCAGCTCAAGGTGATCACGTTGACGCAGCCAGAATACTTCTTTACCACCGAGCTCCAGTTGATGAAGTAACAGTTGATTACCTCACGGCGCTTCACGTGGCAGCTCATTGCGGTCACGTGCGGGTAGCAAAATTACTCCTGGATAGAGCCGCAGATGCAAACGCTCGCGCACTCAACGGTTTCACACCACTTCACATCGCCTGTAAGAAAAACAGAATTAAAGTTGTTGAATTATTATTGAAACACGGAGCAAGTATTGGAGCAACGACTGAAAGTGGCTTAACACCATTGCACGTTGCCAGTTTTATGGGATGTATGAATATTGTAATATATTTGCTTCAACACGATGCTAATCCTGATGTACCAACTGTTCGTGGTGAAACGCCGTTACATCTTGCAGCAAGAGCTAATCAGGTAATTAATTATCCCAATTTTATACTTCAAAATATTTATTATTTTAATGGTTTCAGAATGATATTATTCGAATACTTTTGAGAAATGGAGCACAAGTTGATGCAAGAGCTAGAGAACAACAAACAGCTCTACACATTGCGTCTCGTTTAGGAAATGTTGATATTGTTATGCTTTTATTACAACATGGAGCCAAAGTTGATACCACCACCAAAGACATGTACACCGCCCTCCATATAGCAGCTAAAGAAGGGCAAGATGAGGTAAAATACTTGTTGTCGAGGAAATTATTAGATCATATTTATATAAGTTACCTGATAGAATTAGTGTGGATGAGACACAGAGAGTTCTTTATTTAATAGTAACAAGACCCCAGTGTATCTGATTGTAGATTTTCCCTTGATGATGTTCCAATAGTATTGGATTGTAAATTTTCTTCCAAAAATAAATCGTTCGTTTAAATTATCAAGTATTTTCTTTTTAACGGGAAAAATTTACAAACAGTTAAAATTTGATTTTCTTTTTCTTCCTTACAATTGACGTTTTATTTTATTATGATAGGTTTTGAAACATCAAATTTTTTGACAAAATTCTTAATCTGTCATGATGAAATTAAACCGCAGTAAATATAATAAATTATTTAATTAACACATTTTTTGTAGGTTGCCGCTGTTCTCATTGAACATGGAGCATCTCTAAACTCCACCACCAAAAAAGGGTTTACACCCCTCCATTTAGCTGCAAAATACGGTAACATGAAAGTGGCAAAACTTCTTTTACAAAAAGAAGCTACCGTGGATTCCCAAGGCAAAAATGGTGTAACACCTTTACACGTAGCCTCACATTACGACCACCAAAACGTTGCTCTTCTACTTCTCGATAAAGGAGCATCACCTCACGCTACAGCCAAAAATGGGCACACCCCGTTACACATTGCAGCTAAGAAAAATCAAATGGATATTGCAAATACTCTTCTTGAATACGGTGCTAAACCGAACGCTGAAAGTAAAGCAGGGTTTACACCTTTGCATCTCAGCTCTCAAGAAGGGCACACAGATATGACCTCTTTATTGATTGAACACGAAGCTAACACGAATCATCCGGCTAAAAATGGTTTAACCCCATTACATCTTTGCGCACAGGAAGACAGAGTTCCCGTTGCGGAGATTTTGGTTAAACATGGAGCTGAAGTTGATGCTGCAACTAAAGGCGGATTTACTCCCCTTCACATTGCGAGTCATTATGGACAAACTAATATGGTTAAATTTCTTTTATCGAAAGGGGCGAGTGTTAACTCAACAACTTCGCTTGGATATACACCGTTACATCAAGCCGCCCAACAAGGACATACCAACATCGTTAATATATTATTAGAAAATTCAGCTCAACCAAATGCAGTTACTAACGTAAGGATTTAGTTTGTTTTTTAATAAAGTTTTTAATTGTTTCGTTATATTTTAAGGGCGGCCAAACACCGTTACACATCGCCCAAAAACTGGGTTATATCAGCGTAATCGAAACGTTGAAGATTGTGACTGAAACTACAACTACAACAACCACCACCACGACCATTGAAGAAAAATACAAAGTCGTCGCTCCTGAAGCTATGCAGGAAACTTTCATGTCGGATTCGGAAGAAGAAGGTGGTGAGTTTTTTTTATATTTGTGTTTTTAAAGCTATAGGATACAAAATGAGCAAAAAATATGGCATGATTAAAAAAATATCTCACAAATTTAAAGTTATACATAAAAATCATATTGTATCTTATTTTATTTTTTTTATTAAAACATTTGCGAACCCATGCAAAAAATACAAATCCCTCATGCATTTATCTCCATAGCACTAGATATTAGCTTGAGCTTAAAAATACCTTCTGTTATCACTTTGCATGGCAGACGCAACAAACATAGCAACAAGAATAAAACAGAGAACCAAAATATGATATTGCCCTTTTATACACAATTCTCCTCCCATATTATTAGAGAGATTCGTTGTTCGTGCGCGAAATTTGACGACGAAAAGTGTAGATGTCCACACAGACACACGATGTGAATTTTGGTTGAACGGCTTCCTCGGCTTTGCATTTGAGTACCCGTGTACACATATTGTTACGTAGCGCAGAAAACTGACTTTTGGTTTCTCTTTGAATACTTTCTCTCTCTCTCCGACGCTATTATAACACAGGAGAGGATATCCTTGAAGGATTCGGAGGGGCACCGCACGAGCGACATGTCTATCTGCCGTATTTCAACGGAACTACTTTACTAACCAGTAAGTTAACAATTGGTTCATTTACTAATTAATATGAAATGATAAAAAAAAATAATAATTTTTTTATGGAAACAAGATTATTTATTAAATATTAGATTTGCGCTTATAATTCTAAATGTTATTGTTAGGTTTGAGGCGTAAATGTGACCGATCATCAACTACGACACTGTAACAATAAACGTTGAGAATATTTCTCAGGGAAACCGCACAAAATAATCGGAATGTCGTACCAAGGCCGTGAAAATTGCGTTTTCCGCAATCCCGCTTCTGTTCGTTGTTTATATCTTTAGACGAGAACACGGTTTAGGCTTGTTATTATTGGAAGTGATTCAGTCAACGGATCTTCGGCCCGTTTCACAACTATTTCCGGGATAATTGTAGTAAACGAAAATTTGTATTTGAATTCAGATATTGGTATTAATCGAATTTGGAGCGCGAGATTTTTACGCGAAAAAAGTCTAACCACGCCCGGTTATGTCACCGCAATTTATAGATTCTAAAAATAAAATGTTTCATAAATTAACGCATAAGTTAACTTTTAAAATTAACTTTTTAAATCTTGCGTCTGTTGGTATATTTTTGTTTCAAAAGTATACCGCAAATCGCGTCAAAAAAATTTTGGAACGTTTATTTGGAATATCCACTTTTGTTATTTTCTTAGAGGTAGTTTTTGTTTATTTTTGTAGATGTATGTTCTTAAAATAAAGAACAAAGAAGAACATTTCACCAGGTAGAAATAATTCCGAACTTTAAAAATACAAAAGTTTCTATTCTTTGGTCATCTTTTAATAGTAGTGGCTGTTTCTGTACAATTATATCATTCGATGTTTCATCCGGGATGGGTTTGCAGTTTGCTGAATATTCTTTGTCACACCACAATGTTGTCCTTTTTGAGTTATGCGTATATTTTATTAAGTGGTAGCTGATTATCGTTGGTAAATTTGATCATTTTTAAATGTTAAAAAAAATTCTTGATGACGATGTTTGTTGTGATTCCGGATAACATAAGTGCCATCTACATCTGTAACAAAGATGCGCTGGTTGTATTAAAATCGCTTCCTAGAACAATTTGGGACGTAATTATATCTTAAACAAAATTTTTGTGGATTCGAGAATGGAAAAGGTCAAAATAATGTAAAAAAGAATTTTCCCAGTTTTTAGATTCTTTACAAAATGAATAAATAATGAAAAAAAGAAAACAAAAAATATATTTGTAATAATTCCTAGAAATAAATAATTCACTAACGGTAATAAATTAACCTATTAACCTAGATAGCTTAGTGCTTATTGCTTTAAAACTTACAGTTTTCTTTTATTGGTTTCTTGCGGTTCATATATACTTCATCGCACGTGACCTGTGTTAAACGATCAAATATTTGCTAACACCAATTATGCTAATCGAAAAACAATAAATAAATATTTGAAATTTTATGCATAGTCTTAATATTTATCCAGCAATATTGCAAAAGAAGTGTTTGGTGCGTATCGAGATTCCTTTCGGGATAATAAACAGGATTTAATAAAAATACCTTAAATATATTCAGATAGGAGCGATAAATAAGCGCAGGTGTCACTTAAAGCCTCAAAGTTCTGTGTGGTAATAGACTATGTTTGAGTTTCCTCTTGAACAAAGTTAATGGTTTTTTTGTTTATTCCGCTTTGGTAAAGCTATTTGAAATGTAATGGCTAAGTTTATTCTCACAAAAATTGTTACAACTGAGTTTTATAAAAAAGAACATAAGAAAAACAACGCATCGAAACAGTGAACAGCGCCTCAAAAACTTCTTCTTCCATCTTTACCTCGTATTCTTTTCTGCCTGTAATTACTTAGATTGCAAACTTATGACTTAAACACTTCAATTATGTAGACTTTGGCTCTGCAGGATCTACTTTGCATCCATTAAAATCTAGAATTGCTTGATATCATAAAAGTCAAACTGTGTAAACTTAATTTTGCACATCTGAAATTTTCAGACTCAAATTTAAATTCATAATACCACAGAAAAGATTTGTGTATATTGTCTATTCGTTAGAATTCAATTAGTATTGCTGATTTGAGTATTCTCTGGAATGTACGGCTCTACTAACTTAACTTTTACACATGAACTCACTAATATGAGAACACGCCAAAGCAACAAAGAGCAATTTACACCACCAAGAAAATAATATCGTGCCCCTGTAGCAGATATAGTGCCTTTCTATTGATTCAAATCTTCAAATCATCAGCGTATGCGAGTACAGGGTATGTTATTGGTTTCAATCAAAAGAAGTCCTAAACTCGAGTCTTGAAATAGTCCAAATGTAGGAGAATACCTATTAATTGAGATTCGTTGTAGAAAACAGAGCAGACTCCACCAATAACATAAGATTTCATTAAGTTCAATGTATTCCAAGACATACCAAAATAACTTATCTTGCTCAATAATCAATGCAATCGAAAGCTAATGTTAACGTCATCTTGCCACCACCATGCATAATTTCTGAGACGTACTGGGAGAAATAGGATACATTGGTAACAGTCGAACGTAAATGGCATCAGCAATTTACAAATGGAACTAGATGTGTCAATATGTTGTGTTATTTATTTAAACACCTTTGCAAAATTAGACAGAATACTTATTGGTCTGCAGTTAACAATCATGGAAACGTCACGAGATTCATATTAATTCATAACAAGTGCGTCCAAAAGCAGATTTTGCACTCGCTAAAATCTATTGATCTGCAGATATTAGTTTGCAAACATATAAGTTGTAACATATTCAGAGTTTGTAGACTCTAGAATTCAGATCACTACAAATGTGCAGAAGACCTGAATGTTGACTGGATCATAATTAACTTGAAGTTTTCAAACATACTTTTTACACGCTTAAGTTGTCCAAATTCTATAAGAAATTGACCCCACGCCACTAGACATGAATTCTACAGATATGATCCTTTTACATTTTGCATGAATTAGAATCTAAAAGTCACTATGGTTAAGATTTTCAGATTCTGCGTAAATTTGAATTCATAGTATTACAAAATTGATCTTTGCAGACTTTATAGTTACTGAAATGCAAACCATATAGATTTACGGTTTATTCACTGGAATTTAAAATACTGCAAAGTTAAGGTTTACATACTTAATTTTTGGAAAGTTATATTCTGCACATTCTGGACAACCTTGAATCTATGGCACTACAGACATATGATCCATACAAATTCATAACCCTCTATATTTTAGTAAAAACTTGTAACCAGTGCTTTGGAAACTTACGAAATGCAGCTTGAATTCGTTAATTACTTAATTACTGCTGAGTTGTGCTCTGCAGGTTCTGGACAAACTTTAATCCATGGCACTACAGACAATGACAAATTAATTATAAAGTAGGGACTAACCTAAATAGATCTAGCTTTGCAGACTTAATTTTTGTGAATCTAAAGTCTGTAAATGCTGCACAAATTGGATTCTATAGCATTCTATGTGTGAGTACTGTAGATATGGGCTCTGCACATTCGGCATAATATAAGTTGCAGGGATTTGTAGAATTTAACTTTGACTGTATTAATTTACAAGCAATCTTTGTAGATGATGGTATATAGACTTGAGATCTGTGTTTACATAGTTGATGACCGCTACCCCAATTACATAAAAATTTGTTATGAGTATACAGTTTTTGTAACATTTCATAAGAAGAAAAAAATGTTGAACTTCTGTGGACTTTAACTTTGAAGATTAAATACCACCCTAACTTAGAGTGGTGCAGATTCTAAATTCACTAGTGCATAAACTGTGACATCTGTAGACTTTGTAAACTTTCTGAGATTTCACAACGCTACAGTTTCAGAAGAATTTCTGCAAATCAAATTTGAGTAAATACAGATTTGTGCTCTGCAGACTCCATAAACTAGTATCTAAAACTCTACTTGAAGTTTAGTTAATGATTCAGACTTATTTTTACATAAATTCGAATCTACAGCATTACAAACGTTAGCAGAATAAGCACGAGCTCGTGAAACTGTGCATGAATTAAATTACAGAGGTCTGCAAAACTGTGATTGAACATGAGATCTACATTCAAGTAATGGGTGGCTATCACCACCTTTGTCATTATTGCAAAATTCGAGGATTCGAAACAATGCTCTTCTTTATTGCCAGTTAATTCATGAATATTACTGGATACATTTTTTTGTAAATGTTTCCTAAGACATTTATAAATTTTGCGAAACTTGGCATGGTGGCTAATACTGTTGATTGTTAGTGGGATTACTGAGATTGTTCTTTTATTAGTGGGACGTTGCATCTTCGACATTCAACCCACAGCTCCTGGGTTTTTCATTTTTATACATTTTCTTAATCCTACCTGGATGTAGAAAATTGATTTGAAAAAGGGCACAAGTCTATACACCATCTTGTAATTCTGAGAGGTGCTGCATAGGTCACATAAAACTTTTTTTGTCAGGGATATCAGGTTAAGAAATATCCAGCAATCAATAGATAACTCACCAGAAACAGCTACTATATCCAAATCGTGATCAAATAAGCAAATTAGATATATAATTAGATAGATGTGTTCTTTGCATTTAAAATGTTTTCATAACAAATCGATTTCTTAATAAATCTTGATAAAACGCAGAAAATAAACAAATCTAGCTTTTTAATAAAAAACGTCCCACCTTAATCGCCACAATTTATAGTTTTATTTTAAATGTCACTCGTGAAAGCTTATCTATACTATCAATCACTTTCGAAAAATAAAAGTATCTGAGAACAGCATCTAAAACGGTAATACAATTGAAGATCAAATGGCTAATACCTCATCCTAACAGTTATAGTTGGATAAATGGTTACCATGACCAGATAAGCAAGAGCGACTTTCACACATTCACTTTTATTCACTATTTACCTTCTATACAAACGTTAATAGTAAGCGTGGATGGTAGTATTTGGTCGTACATCACTCCTAATAATGGGATTCAATGACTCCGAACGGCTAAATCCGTCCGCTACCAGTAAGGTCAGTCGGCCAAAACGTCTAATCCACTCCCAAGAGTAGCAAATCGAGACGATCCTAGACATTTGGATCAGTCTTGTAATACACCGCTTCGTTTCCACTACGCTCTTGGTGCTCTTAAGTCTGTAGATAAGTCGCGATCGAAAAAGTGTACTGCTATATACCATTTAATTAATTAAACTGTTATTTTTTGATTTAATTTATCACATTTTTTTAAATCATCATCTTCAACCCGCCCACCTATCGCTTTGCTTTTGCAATCGATTTAAACGAGGAGATTTTTTATTTGTATAGTGGACCTGTTTGTGTGTACGAAAAGTGGTGATCGTTTGTTCGCAGGAGAAGACACTGTCCTCGGGGATCATTCTTATCGATACCTTACAGCTGATGAGATGAAATCCCTCGGTGACGATTCGTTACCAATTGATGTCACCAGGGACGAGAGAATCGATTCGAATAAGATGGTAATCAGCGATTCAGACCAAAATGCCCTTCCTCCCCAAGCTATCGAAGACGGAATTAGCCCTCAGTACATCACAGAAAATTACGTTGAATATACCAAGAAATACGTCGTTGATAATGTTGATATTGCTCGACATCCCATCAACATTGGGTAAGAAAATTTTTGTATTTAATCATTTGGGTGCATGGTTTTTTAGAGGGGATTTTAATTTTAATTCCAAGTTGGTAATTACAGAAAGCACAAGAGTTCAGGTTTTTTTTACTTACTGAAAAAGGATTACACTGTATATAGGTATTTATAACTTCAGTCATGAACTTGTTTCTTAGAAATCAATTCGTTCAAGTGGTTATTTTTAAACGCTCACAAACGGCGTGAGAATGATCCGATTAAACTTCTGGGTAAAACGTATTCAAAATAAAACAAAATTCAGTTAAATAGAAACTTAATATATAAATCATTGTCTAATTAAATCAATCAATTAACTTACTTTTAGATGTTTCTAAACGAAACGAGGACAAATATAAAATCAGAAATTCAATAAAATATATCCCCGTCAATTTAACATTATTTACTACAATGGGTTATTTTTCTATAAATTACAGTGCAATTATAAAATAACGGCAGAATTCTCGTTCATGGCTCATATAATAGACAATACGAAACTGCACGAATAACACGTGTGGGCTTTCCGAGACTGTTAGCGTGGGAACACATTATTTCACATAATTACTATGTTATAGATGAAAGAAGGAACCAACATTGTTGTCGATATATTCCGTTATCGATACATCTTAAAAATGTACAACAAAAATAATGATTCTACCTAAAAGCAATCATTTCTCTGTGCTTAAATGTTTAACCACATCCGCTGAATCACAAACTGCAATTAAAGAGGTAATTTTCGTAATTGCAACAAAAAAGTAATATCTGCGGTTGTCATCTATAATATTTTAATATCAACAAACGTGGACCTTAATTTCAAGTTAACGATAACCCCGACGTTAAGAAAAATTCTTCAAATTTTCTTAGTTAACAAGAATTCCGCGGAAACGTTGTCCTATTTTCAATTTCCACACCATGTTTGTTTATTTACACTTATTCGAGTTTCTCTTCAGAGGCGCATCGTGTAAAACGTGCGTCGTAAATTAATCGTCTCCCGATGTGTGGAAACTACGAAGTGCAAACTTTGATGCGCATCTCTTGTCGTGCTATTTACGATAAGAAAAAAACCAACTCATTCGAATGGAATGGGTATAACCTCGCGTCGTGAAAACAATGACATAATAGCCGTATTACCGTCTTATTGGTGTCCACGGGTGTTATTATGAGATCATAGGTTTAAATGAGGACAACGTTAAATAACCTTTAAAAGAGTTTATTGAATTGTTTATGCGGTTTCTAAAATCAAGATCAATATCGGCGAGTTGAAAAACAATTCCAAAAGGAATCGATCGTTTTAGCGGAAATCGTAAACAAGACGATTGATGATACCTACGTGTTGCCGTTTCAAATTCCATCACGTTGTCTAAATCTATGTTACGTGTTACGTTGATAGTCAATTGAAAAATGTTATATAATTGCATCGTTTAATTAATTTTTAAATTTGGATTAATTTTCTAAGAACTTTTAAAGATTAAAATAGATTTTTCTTAATCTTAGTGAATCATACCAATATAAAGAATGAATAACCATTTAAAATTCTGAAATCATAGGTATAAATAAAGTAACATTGAACATGACACGATTTTGCAGTAGCAGAACATTTAGTTGTTAATAAGCCAGCAATCGTACGTGTAGTAATTCAGAATCCATTTTGTTCTTATTTTTTAATTACATGTAAGTAAGTTTAAGATCGAGTCTTTTATGCTATCACTTATAATAAGTATATATTATGACTGATTTATTGAAACAACTCCTAAGAAGATTACTATCTACTCTAAATATTCTTGAATAACATTTCCTACCAAATACAATCAGCAACACTTGTTATTTTAACCATTTGGCTTTATTGATGTATTAGTTTTCTTACTTAGTGGTGACTCAGAATAAGATCACATTGACAGAAATAAACCTCTTGTCAGAAAAACAACAGAACTATCAAGATTTCTTAAATGAGATAGAAAGTATGATTTCATCCAAAAATGTTTTTACTGTTGCGTTGTACACTAAAGTGCCGTTGCAATATCCTTTGATACTAAGTCTAACCTTGTGTATTATAGCGTTTTTGACTAACTTTTGATTTCGGCTAAATTTACTCTAAACCCGATTAAGGTCAAGTCACTGCTATCAGTTTGAGCAATATTCCAATCATTGGAATCACAACCCAAGCTACTAAAAACCTTATAACAATGCGATCGCTTAATTGTGGGAATGGAGTTCAAAGCAATTATCATTGACCTGGCTTAAGAATTACCTGTACATATAAATTTTAGGTCAATCGACAAATTTGACAACAATATGTGTTTAGTATGTCAAGAATGAAATTGAGCAACACTCAACTTGAGTATTTTGCCAATAATTTGGGTGAATTATCTTCAAGTGGAGAACCCGTTTATAATACTTAATAATACTATGTATCACATAAGCCTTCCAATAAATCTGATGACAATGCTGATGGAGCATAAAGTATTGAAAGAAACGATCACATTCAAAAGTTTGATTTACAAATTGTGGGGTATTTCAATACATTTTATAGTGTCTAATACAAAACAGAAAGTCTCAGTTCTTAGAAATTGTTCTTTTCCTAATAGTTTGTTTATTTAAATCGCAGACTGTACGCATCCGGCGTATACAACAACATAATTGCGATAAAACGAAATATGTAGGTTTTACTAATACTGGTGAAATTATGATTACTGTCGGAGGGCATTAGTGGTCTTCTCGTTTATCTTTATGAAATATGGAGACTACCTTTAGAGAGAGGAAACAATTTGTTTCTCCTATCTAAATTCTATTTCAACAACCCTAGAAATAGGAATGCTGCGGTAGAATATATTGTGTGCAGGAGCTCCTATCATGTTTGTAGTACACCTTTCAAAAGTTAGTCCAAGCCAACGTATCGTTGACATTTAAAGTAATACATTACTAAAAGGTGTGAAATTGGGACACGCATATAAAGTCCCAGTGTGGCAGATTTTTTACATTAATATAGTTAATAGATACTCTTCAAGCAATAAAAACTGGTATGCCAACAAGAAAAGACATGCCCAAAGAATTTATGGATAAAATTAAAATGATTAGAGGTCAATTTACATCGCTTGATCAGTCAAGTATTTGAGTCTTCTGTTTCTATTTTAATATTTTCTTCTATGTTTTTTCCTGTTTTTCTCCATTTTGTGAGCACTTCTATCTTGTTGTGTAAAATATCATGAATTAGAATGTCTCTTAGATGTAGTATAAATTTTGATAAAATTAATTTTTGATATGGAAAAATTTGTTTCATTTCATGGTTACACTGTAAATCAATTAACTCCATGTAAAAGACAAATTTACTTTCTTAGGTTGATATCTGCCCTTCAACTTTCATCGTAAAACGAGTTGGTCAGGTTGGGTTGGGTTGGGTTGTAAGCACTTCCATCTTGTTGTGTAAAATATCATGAATTAGAATGTCTCTTAGATGTAGTATAAGTTTTGATAGAATTAATCATTGATATGGAAAAATTTGTTTCATTTCATGGTTACACTGTAACTCAATTAACTCCATGTAAAAGACAAATTTACTTCCTTAGGTTGATATCTGCCCTTCAACTTTCATCGTAAAACGTGTTGGTCAGGTTCTATCAACTTTTAAAGACTCGAGAAGTTCGAAAACAGTGTGCCTAACAACATTCCGTCTTTTTCCAACCGTTTCTAAAGAACGTTCCTGTCCGAAGCTGCTTTCTTCCAATCGTGAAGGTCCAGAAGATTTCATCGCTCTGTACGTTTTCCCTGCGAATTTCCCACAGGTTTCTTTACCTTTATTTGTGTATTGAGTATCCTTTTTGGAAGTCTTCCTTCCTTTATTTTCTGCACATATTTGGCACACTTCAGCCCTTGTATTCTGATGAATTCCGTGAGGGTGATATCTTTGTAAAGCTGTATATCCCGCTGTTGTACCTCATCTTCCACATGCTCTGCACCCTAACTGGTTTTAAGGTTCTCGTCATAACACCAATCGTCACATATTGTAGGGAAACATGGGACGTGTCGAAGAGATCAAATGTTAAACATAACATCGTTGAAAGAAAGGTCTTGCGTAATCATAACTACACAGCCATAATCAAAATGATAAGCTGAGAGAAGCTTTTCCAGTAGAATATTATGAGAACCACTATGAAAGGACAATAATAAATCCAGAAATATAGTGTAAATGTCACGTTAAAGTAGAAATTCATAAATAAGGAATAAGGATTGGTATATATCACCTTCAATAAGTCTGCAGAAATGTGAGCTGACAAGGTGATGAATCAACTTTGTTAAGAGCTTTACAAAGAAGTTCATGTTAGACTTAAATATTTTAGAGGGTCTAAACTTTCATTTGTGCTAAATGCCTAATATCAGCTTCAGACACTCAGACAAATGAAAAAGTAGATACGCCGCCGCAATAATTATAGCAAATACTTAGGGAAGCGGCTTCCCTCGAAGAGCAAGTTGAGTAAGAGTATTATTGGTGTCATTTACTAAAAACTGATTCTATATATTTGGATCAAAATAATGGCTTTCTTAACATCAAATTGCTTCTTATTGATAATTGATCACTACCCTTGGGACTTATTGTTAAATTATCCACTAAACCTTAAAGCAGCGTTCCGTGTCTTTGCAAACTTAACGATATAGTGACCTAGCCTTAATTTTAATTTCTTTAAGATTATTGGTTTTATAATGATTGTAGGGATCGCAAGCCAAATCATATCTGCTCTCACATCTCCATCACAAATCCTACTTCGCATTTAGCTTTCAGGATAAGTAAATTATAAAGTTTTCAAAAATTCTATGTTATAAAGATTAATAACGAAATTAGTAACAATTTAAAAACATTACTTACTACATTACTATTACTTAAAAGGAATGGAAGTTAAATTTCTTATGATTTTCTGAGATAAATTGTATCAACTACAACGATTACATTATGGTGGGTGAGAAAGCAAAAGAAGATAAAAGCTCGCAGAGTTCAATATCATTGCTGTTGCTGCTACCAAGGATAACATTAAAGTCATCCACAATCGAAACGGCGCGGCGCCCATACAGTCCATTAATATGTTTCAGAAACACTCAATAGCAGCTTAATTGTAGAAAATTTCTAAACGGTATTTATACAAACAAACAAATGTTGATAGGGACGCTGTCAACTCAGAATCACTTTCTACTCACAAAAGATAAATACTTTCCAATAGGGAAAAGAATGAAATATAGAGAAGTGACCCATTACTCAGTTCAAACTTCATCCAATAAAGAGAATGTTCGCTTATGTAAATAAAATCAGAGACAGCACAATACATGTCAAGCTCTCCAATTTTGGGTCTTAGCTCTTGAGAGAGCTCTTGATTTAATGAAAGAGAGAAATCAATCAGTTATTTTAACCATGAGTGTAGTTAGCTATTATTGAGATCAAAAGCAATTTCTAATAAAATTACAAACCTTAGTAACTTTTCGAGACAACCTTCAAAAACTTTACATAAAGGCACATACATCTCTTAATACAACTATTTTATAAATGCGGCTCTTTGCGTTATAAGTCTGGAGAGATTAATTAACAATCTTCTCAATAACAATATCTGACCGAACAAAATCGAAGCTTATATTATGGAAATTTTAATAATATTATTAATTTCTTAATGATATAATAATAATTATGTAAATCCCTTTTTTTCATTCCAAATATAATCAATTAAAATATCTCATCTTTTTAAATTTTCAAAAACAGCAAGTTTTTTAATACATTTTATAAACACATAAATTTTATTTCTTTTGGCGTATAGAAGAACATTTATAATTGTCCTGATATTTCTGTAACACTTAAAAAGTGTGAATTTAAGACGGGATGTAGATTTTGCCATATGCCAGTGATAAATTTATAAGTATACAGCAATCGCGCTGCATCAAGTATGAATTGAACCAGATGGTATATGTCAACTTTTACGAAATGCTTCTAAAATTTCCAACGTGCTCTACTTAACCGTATAAAATTAATGTTGATTGCTTTGATTTCAATACACAAACTATTTTTGCATCTAAACGTGAATCAATTAAAAAATCAATATAAATCTTTTTTTTTGTATGTAGTTATTTTTAAATATCTTAGCCACTTTTAAATCCCTCAATTTCAATCTCAATGCGGACGTAGAGAACCTGCTGTAAATATTTGGTCTTCATCTCAACACGTGAACTCTTGTGTCGAATTCCAGGGCTGCTAGTAAATAAATAGATACGTCTATAATTAATCTGGTTAAGCAATATAATATTCTAATTTTAACATTTTTTTGTTTCAATGTTCTCGTTCACGCCATATTATTTAATAAATAAAAAAAATCATTTATTAACTCATTTTGTTTAATTTTTTTTTCTGCGACGCTGCAGGAAACTCCACTGGAAGAAGTAAGTCCCTTTAATTGTTGTAAAATCGTTTTATAAGCACTACGTCGCTTAAGCACTGTGCATTTTGGTCAATAAAATATTCCATACATCAACAAAGCTTCATATAAATTAAAATTTAATTTTTAACAGAAACTTTACTTCAATTTCATTCTTGTTCCATAGTTTCTTGGTATCATTTTTGGTTGACGCAAGAGGTGGTGCAATGCGCGGTTGTCGTCATTCGGGCGTCAGGGTCATAGTACCTCCAAGATGCGCACCAAGCCCTACGAGAATTACGTGCAGATATGTTAGACCACAAAGAACACCCCACCCACCACCTTTAATGGAAGGCGAAGCTTTAGCAAGTCGAGTTTTGGAATTAGGACCTGTGGGCGCAAAATTTTTAGGCCCCGTTATTATAGAAGTCCCACATTTTGCCGCTTTAAGAGGAAAAGAAAGAGAAATTGTTATCTTAAGATCAGATAATGGGGAAACTTGGAGAGAACACACCGTGGATTCTTCCGAGGAGATTCTTAATGAAGTGTTATCTGAAAGCTTTGAAGCTGAAGGTAAAATAAAAAGAGGCTCATTTTTAAAAGATTACTATAATTTTTTTAATTATTTTTAGATTTGAATCAATTAGAAGATGTTTCATCAGGAAGAATAACACGTATTTTGACACCGGATTTCCCACAATACTTTGCTATTGTTACAAGAATACGACAGGAAGTTCACGCTATCGGGCCGGAAGGTGGAATGGTATCAAGTACGGTGGTACCTCAAGTTCAAGCAGTGTTCCCGCAAGGAGCCCTGACGAAGAAAATCAAAGTTGGATTACAGGTAAATTTATTTAAACCGCGAAAAGGGGTGCCCGTCGAAAAATTAAGAAAAATAACTGTCAATCACGTACCGAAAAAGAAACGCTGGTCATTAATTTGGTAAAATTATTTCTAACGGTTTAGCTTGATGATAACATCAAAATGTTAATCAGCTGAAACAGTTTTGTCGTTAATTGAGCACCGTAGATACGTTTAATTATTGCTAACTTTTATTTTTAAAGTTGCAATAAACGGTATAAACTGTCAAAATCAAATTTGTTTATTAAAAATCAAAATATTTTTTTTTAATATGGTGCTTAATTAAATAACTGGTTAATAAAAATTAATAAAAACCTTTAAAATAAAATTCTAAATTAAGCAAAGAAAAGAAAAAACGATAAAAATATATGTATTATTTTTACACATTGAATCTTTATAATCGGATTTGTGATTGTTGCGAAGTTTTTACATATTTATAAAACGTAACGGTAAGAAAACCAAAGAAAAAGATATGATACGTATATGGAATGATTCAAAAAGTTGGTATTAAAATTAACTTGGATGTTCATTTCGGATCTTGTAATTTAATATTTTTTAATTTCAATTTAAAAAGCTTTATTTACGGGAGAAAAATATCTTTGTCAAGTAGTATGTATTTTCCATTACGTTGTTTCTTCCTCTTCTGGAAACATTTCGTAATCCCTCGTCGTACACTAGACGTCGTGTTAGCCTATTTGTTCAATCTGAAAAACGATCTCAAAAACCGATTGATTGCAAAGAATCAAGCGTGAATAATTAGCATGAAAATAACTGGTATAACTTCCTAGTGTAAGTAGGATAACATTGCAGCAGACCAAGTGATGCACATTGGGATTCAAATTAAGAATATACAGAAATGGACACTAAGTAGATCTGCTGTAAAAATAACTTTATATAGGGCAGTATTACTACTTGTTATTGAAAATGCATTGTTAAAAAAACAAACATTTTAAATAGTTTAGAATTGTACGCTAACAAAAAGTGCAAGGTTCAATGGAAAGATTTATTTGCAAACCTAAACTTGGGCATCTTTTCAATATAAATCATTAATAACCACTGCCAGAAGTATAAAAAGCATTTTGAAGTAATTGTCACTAAACATTTGGTATCAACATTTTTTACTTAATAGTAGTGTGTGGTTCGTTTAGAGAAAGGGGAAGTCATAAATTAACATAATATATGTATTGGGTTGGGTACATTTTGCTGAGAAGTACATTCTACCAATTTCTTGCAAACTATTGCCTAACTAATTAACTAGAGCTAATTAATATTATACCTCCTACATTATTTTATGCTCACATGTTGTCAGTATTAATAGTCTTACTAACCTTGTTCCTACCTTGCTACCTTCAGAAACTTTTTGGTACCGGGCGATTGCCGAAAACTTACTATTAGGTAACTTTAACTGTACTCACATAAGCTTAGGTTCGACGACCGTGAAGGTCATAGAGTATTTCCATTTCTGCCAAGAAGACTCCAGAAATTAACTCTCAGAGATTTCATTGATATTGTTGTGGTGTGGCTAATAGCTGTCACAGCGTTGCCATGATCGTCTTCTAGAAAATATAACTAATTTATAACCTAGACTACTTAAACTTTCTAAGGATATCTTACTTTATGTGGCTGACTAGATTTTTGAGGGCTTTTTTTGATGACTCCATTAGTTTTCCGTTTCTTATTCGTTGTCTTACCTGTTGTCCGAAGTTGTCAATTCAATTCACATTAGTTTTGAACTCTCGTTTTTGACCTCTCCCTTCTTGACCATAATTTCGGTACTTAACCGTTTAGTTAGGTTGGGATGAACCTCTTTGCCGAATATCTTTTCAAAGAATGGTATTATTTCAGCAATACATAGGTCAAAAGTGCCAAAATAGAAAACTTTCGTTTTAAGCATGTCGAATAAAGATTGAAGTTTAGGAAAGTTCTTATATTTGTCCACATCTTTATAACTGGCTAAATGGAGTTTGGCAATGGTATAAATCCAGTATAAATCCATTTGAGGAGCTGTATAATGATAACTATACAAAACCATGTCTATTGTTGTCAGCAACATATAAAATATGTCCAACTATGATGTTTCTCATACCATTATGTACTAATATGTAAGCAACTTTATTCACATTCGGTATTTTGTAGAGCCTCCATGTCCCTATACGATGGCCGCTGGTATTTTTTCCACTTTTCTTGTCGAAGACACGTAAATTCTTTTATAGATTTTGGACGGTTGCTGTACTTAACTCTGCGCTCTAGGTTCTTGATGGAGTTGAGTCCATTCGGGTGGCCCCATCGTCACCGCATTATTTAATGGTAGATCTTGCAAAATGACAGCAGCTAGTGTTTTCCTGAAAGTAACATAGATCCACTCTGTAAAACTGCCTTAAGGGGCATGCCATCTTGGGGACCCTATTTCTAAAAACTGGTTGTACGATTTTAATAAGCACCTTTTCTTGTTTTAAAAACGTATTTTATTTATTAACAGTTATGTTGCACCCGCTAGATGTCTGCAATTTTAGGCTTGCAAATCGTGTAGGGTCAACTGGTGTGCAGGATTTCTTCTAAAGCAGAAGTTGAATAATCAAATTTCAAGTACGATTACTTTTCTAAACTCAAAAACTAGGGAACTACGTAGAATTTAAAAAAAAATTTCCTTTTTTAACGAAATGGTGCCGATTTCACAACAAATGTCATTTTTATTGATAAAAAACATGCATAAAAATGGTTGTAAAACTGACAACTAAGATGATACAAACTTAAAAAGAAGAAGCTCGATTAGACTTATTAGTCAAAGGCTTACGGGGAGCAGCGTCAAGCAAACCAAGCAGATGTGCTTCCTTAGGGATGGTATTTATCGAAAGAACACTCCTGGATGCTTGGTGAAGTCCTAGCTGTTGATTCGCTTTGAAACTACCTTCTCTCTTATGCGACATCTTCCTAATTTCCGAACAAGTATAAGCAAAAGCTTATACCAAAGCTAATCAGAAAAGATGTACGGTTGGACGTCCAAGTCAATTGCTGGGTCAATTAATAACAGAAAAATATCTTTACCAATAGTTATTATCGATTAATTTAACCACATTTCCATCATGATGTACCACATTCCCGAAAAGATTGGTCAATAGGAACGGATGCAACTCATAAACTCAGGTTTTCTATGCCAAACGTCTCTTGAATCTTTGTAAAAGCCTTTTTTTTGTGGTACCTGGCATCTTCCACTTTAATACGAAAGGTTTATTTTTGCACCAATCGACTTATCCTGTTTATTAATTTTGGAATAGTCATATCATATTCTTTCTTTTAGCCCATATTACATGAAAAAGGAATTCTAACCTTAAAAAATGTCTTTCTAATGAGAAAATAAATTTTGTATGACACATGCAATCCTTGTCATAAAATTGACTGGAAATTCATGATTTAAGGACTTAACATTTAAGCAGTTCGACTTGGTATTAAAGATCTCTCACTTCAAGTTCAACTTGGCTGTTAGAATAACATTGTCGAGTATGCAACTTGCCTTTTGGTTGGTGCTTCAAAAACTAATCTATTTAAATAATTAATTTACAATTTTTCGGAAGATTCCACTTCTGCTCAAACATATAAAGTCACCTGCTTTTATCTGCAACCATGTTGAATCCTTCTTAATTATGTTGGAATCATCATTGTACTTAAATCGATAAGTTTGAAAATCAAAATCGGGTCATTTTTCCATTTTAATCAGCTTGACCAGTGTGTGTCTCATCCCATTATGTGATAGTTGTGCTTTCTTACCACTAACCCTTCATTCCATTATTAGCATTAATTCGCCATTCTTAAACCAAAGTGAACCAAGCGACAGGACTTCTTTTTACAAAAGCCCCAACCTATTTAAACAAAACAAGTTTTTTTCTGACTTGTTAGATCAATTTGTATAAGTTGATCTGCTTTATTTTGAACATGAACATACCAAGTTAAAATATAATACTATACATATTTTTGAATCATTTTGTAATATACTATATCTACATTTTTCAACATTCTTTGTTCGTATTGAACAAAATGTTCCGAGAATTAACGTCCCTCATTTTTTAAATGTGTTCATAAGCTGATATCGTTGTTTGGCTGTTAAAATTTAAAACCGCATCCAAAATCATTAATTATTGTGTCTGCGACCAGAGTACAAATTTTTCAGTATGATAATTGAAAGTAATTACTAGTATTATTAGCTCTTAGTAGAAATGTTTTTGAGCTGTTATATAAAATTTACGAGTCATTATTTGATACATATTACTATTTTGCAATTTTTTCTGTAGTTGATTAGATCTTCGCTGGTAGCCTGATTATAAAATAAAAAGCATCTCAAAAAATTAGTAATTAATTAATAATTATCATTTTATTATCAGGCACGATGCTTCTTTATACAATCATTAAAAAATGTCATATCGATTAACTTTTTTTTTAAATAACTTTCACGGTAATAAGTAATCTTTCTCTAACGTTGAACTTTTATGAATTTATTTAACGTTTGTAATATTAGTCGTAATCATTTGGAATGTGCCAAAAATGCAGGAATTAACTTCATAAATATTTAATCTGGCTTTTTTCTGAAACGTTTACCCCTCATATATTCGTTAGAGAAAGAATGCTTACATAAACGTTCATTAACAGTGTGTTCATATAATCTAGTCACTAGTTTTCACGTGCACTACCCATGTTTTAAACACTGTGTATACAACAGAATGGAGTGCCCAATAAATTTGGTTGAAACTAACAGACTAACGCATTCTTATTGTACATAACTCTCATGTCACATAAAAAGCTAAGATGCAAAGCACGGTTCGAATAATAACAAAAATCTAAAGAACTGATTACTTACTAACTCATAAATAAATATTTGGAAATTATTTGATCGGGCACACCCTTTTAAAAACTCATGCATGTTCGACTAAAATCATATTGGGCATTCTGCTCAACATAAATAAATAACGTGCAGAAAATTTTTGTTTATTTTTTTTGTTTTTCCACGGCTCATTACGCTTTCCTTGTGTTGCACTGTGCTGTGGTTCTGTTCATTTCTTTTATTTTCTGTTGCCTTCGAACCTTGCTTTGTGTGGTTTCCCATCAAATTTCCCAAAAATCCCAATAATAATTCCGATAATGACTTCTTAATTACTTAATCATGGTAAGTATGAACGCTTTGCTTATTTCTTCTACGAATCGGATTGTTTTAATATATATTTTTTGATGATGTCTACGATGAAGCATGCGCTTTTTTTTAACGAACTTGATCAATTTGCGCACAGAACCGCTGTGTATTTATTATTTATGTTTTAACGATGGAAATTATTTAGCGGTTATAAACGAACGTAATAAAGTTTTGATGTTAAATTTACGATCTACTACATTTTACGCAGTCTAGTTTTTATGATTTATTTAGAACAGAATTTGGAATATTGACATTTTAAAAAAATTATGCAATCGACTTGAAGAAAGTTTCTAATTTATAAAATTTTAAGTTTTTTAATCTTAAATCTATGTTGTTTGATTAATTGTTTAGGCACAACCAATAGATCCTGAGTTAGCAGCTAAGCTACTTGGGCACGGTGTAGCTGTTTCTCCAGTAGTAACTGTAGAACCGAGAAGAAGAAAATTCCATAAAGCGATAACTCTCAGTATGCCGGCGCCGAGGGCTCATTCTCAAGGGATGATTAATCAATACTCGGGAAGCGCGCCAACGTTGCGGTTATTGTGTTCCATTACTGGTAAGTAACCTGTATAAACGTGAAGTGTGTAGAATCCCCATTTCGACTTGCTCAAGTCTCCAAATAAAACGTAACCAACCAAATGACCAAAAAAAAATCAACATCTTCTTACCCACAAACACTCCAAAAAACAAGCAAAAAAGTCATACGTCCCTAACACATTAATACAAATAAATAGAGAGAAAATTTATTAGAATTATACATACAATTTCGAGTGAAAATTTGTTCGTTGTTGTGTCTGTGTCCTTTGTCATTTGTTTAAGACGATTATTTCCCTTGGTTTTATAACTATTGGTTACTTTTTTATTAGTTCCTTTTGAGACCTTTACTTTTTTTAGGGGGTTGGCAAATTTACATTTTGAATTACGGTAGAGAGTGCCTGTAGTTAGGCGTAGTTAGAGAGTTATTACCATTCAGTACAAAAAAAATAGGTGTAGTCCAGTTATTATAAACTTCAACTTCGGACAAAATGCTGTTAAGTTGGGTTTTTTATGCAGTTTCCTTTTGGTGTTATAATAAAAAATATGAAACATTTCCATGGATACAAAAAAAAATCTTAAAAAATCAACCGATTTGGAGATAATTTTATTGTTATTATATTTTATTTGTTATTACATTAGAATAATAAGTATAATGAGTTTGACAAAGAAGTGTTAACAGATCAGTAAGTATTGAGAACGTCATAAGCCATTTAGACTAATATTACTATTGTATAATGTGTTTCAACACGATCAAAACCACAAAATTTTTTTTATTAAGTTTTGAGTCAACATTGTGTTAAAACGCCGCTTTGCCTAAATACATATCCCACACTTTTGATAAAAATGTAGCCTGTCAAACTTGCATATTTAGACTAACTTTTTAATAATAGCAACGAAAACAGCTAGATAAAGCTGATGACTCCTAATATTCTACAAAAAAGGCCCTTCAAGCAATGCAGCGATTGATAGTCGGCGTTTCTACAATTTGGTTATGAATTATGTGTTTTTCTCTTCACGAAATTTAATTTTCAGGACAACGTAATTTATAATTCAAGTTAGTTCAAACTATACGCCATTAAAATACCATCTATTCAATATTGGACTAGCTCAGGATCAAACTTGTCGACTTTGCAACGACAAGCCAGAGACCGCTTAAGACACAAAATTTTTGGAAACGTTTACCTGACACCTACTGACATAAAGGATTAAGAGACCTTGGAGCAACACTAAGGTTCATCACGGACCTAGATTTGCCCTAGATCTTTGAAGGGTGTAAGTTACAATAGATTTGGGCCGTTCCCCTCAGCCGGGCAGTAATAATAAATAGCTCCAAACCAAGAAATGTCCAATATTGGTTATAATTTTTGAAAATTTTCAATTAATCCATATTTTATTATAGATCATTAAAAAGATGAGATTCTAATCTTTAAATTAATATAACCTTATTTCTTGATTATCATAAATACAGTCAGTATATTTTTATAAAACTTAAACCTTCAACAAGATAAAGTGGTAGAATTTGAGAAAAGATTGGGCGCCAAACAATTCAAAACTACTGACTTACCAGTATTCTTGCCTTTATTAACTTAAATTGGGTACTTTTCTAATATAAAGAAGGTCCGTGCAGGAGTCCCTCAACAAACCAGTATGTCTAAATCTTCGTAAGTGCTGATAACATGCTAATTATGCTACAAAATCCCAACAAATTACAAATAAAAATATTTTTACTAACAACAAGATCTAATCATAATTGTCCCAGCATCGTATCTATTAACGAAGATACCAACACCAGGGAATTTCCTCGACCATCATGTTAGTTGGTAATTTCATATTGATAAGAAGATCAAATAAAAATACAATAGGATTTGATAGTTGGTACCTACTATTTATAAATGCAAATAGTTCGGTGTGAGAAGAGTAAGGTTACACTTTTCTAATGTCAAGCCTTCATCATATCAATATTTACCTTGACAGAATCTGAAAAACAGGACTCTTGCTGGCTATATAGGATGTTTCTGTAAGTCGTGGCATAATCTTAATCACAAATACTAGAGTCAAAATTATGACGATTCGTGTAAAAATTATTGGTCTAAACCCATAAATGGATAAGATAGAAGCCTTCAAAGATAAAAAACATTTTCTTAAATATTTTCAATATGGTTTATCTTAGAAAGATAAAATTTAGCAAACAGTGGAATGTTATCAAGAGAAAATTATGCCACGACTTACAGAAACACCTGTATACTGTTGGCCCACAACAGCGAACTTGAACAGTAAACAATCTTGCTATTTAGACAATATGCCTTAAAACATGAAATAAAATTTGGATTAAATCTTTGACGAAAATGGAGAAGTGCTTCAGACTATCAAAGCTATAAGAGTTTCAATCTTGCAGAGACCACGGCATTCAGTTTGTAAGCAATAAGCTGCGGTTATAATGCCGCGAAAGAACTCTCCATTTTGATTTAAAATTTCATTCATCAGATCGTGGAAGAAGTAAATTAGAACAATTACTAATTGTGATAAGAATCCTATTTGCAAATTATGACAAACATAAGGGAGAATAATCAATTTCAGAATACTGCTGTTGGTGTCACATGAGGTCGATTTTTATCTAATAAGTTGTGAATAAGATCAAGTTGTTCCGGCGGCTTTTAGAATTAATACCATATCAATCCCATACTGTTTAACATATTGTAAGGCTTAGGCCACAAGCGACCTCGGGTAAATTTTGGACGAAGAATCTGTAACTTTGGGTTATTAAGCCGAGATTTACACTGAAAACAAGTCCAATTAATTGAATTATCTAAAAAATCTTATGGATTTATACATATATCTAAATATTTCATTATGTTAGAAATCAGTGATTAATGTTTCCAACGTTACAATATCAAAAGGAAGTTGTATATTAAAATCCAGCTTTTCGAGAATTTTTTCGAAGTATGGTCATTCTATTCTGACTGGACTAGTAGACGGTAATCCATTTATCATTAAGAGCATGTCTGAATACTTTAACGCTTAGGTATGATTACCGTAAAACCAGGTAGTCTTACCCTTTACATTAGGTGTAAAGATGTAGCGTAAGTAGACCTACAGTGCATCTAATTTATTATTACGAACGGTATTTTATTAAATAGATTACCTTAAGTAGTTTGTACATACATTTAAGAATATGGTATAAAACATAAAGTATTACCTTTGCTTTGGTAGATTAGAACCTTATTTATTAAAGTTATACTTTAGAGGTGTTCCAGAATTATTATTAAATCGTCAAGTTGTAATGACTTAATTACTTAACTTACTGCTTTAGTAGTAATTCTAGAATACTTATACATAATTGTACTTGAACATTTTATATTATACTTAAAGACGAAATACATTAAGGATTATCAAATTTTTCTACTAAAGACCAATACTAGTTTTGCACTGTATTCTTCGTATGTAATTATCGAAATAAAAACAAACAATTGTCACATAATTAACTAACAAGATTCAAATTGGTGTGAATTAAGATTTGAAACAGATTATTGAACCAATTACAATCGAAACGAGATTTTTTTATGAAATTGAAGTAAAAAAGATGTGAAAGTTTGCCAGCCACCTGCTTGTTTTATATACAGTGTGGCCTCACAACGCTAGAGATAGACGATGGCGCAGGTTGTGTGGTCACTGCCTCGTTCTAGTAAACTAATGCGCTACTTGGTCATTTTCACACGCGTCCAGGTGTATTTCGGAAAAGATCTCTCAAAGGTAACTAACTCATATTGTGGGCTGCCCCCTTATTTTTTTTAGAATGTACATCTTTCTATATATTTTTTTAAATTTATTATTTCGAGACAACCTAAGTTCGTTTTCGAGAAGGGATAATACGCAGACAATCACATCAGTACTATTTCTCTTAAGTTGGATTTTAAACAATATCAAAAAATTGTAATTATTAATTAATTAAATGTATTTATTAACATGATTCTTATACTAGGTGATCATAACCGATTAACACAACCAAGAAATTAGTAAATTATTTAGATCACGCAGTATTTCGTTGTTTTTTTTTTCTTATAGAAAATGATCTTGAATATTTTGATAATTTTAATGAACGCTTTCTTGCTTATTGGTTCACCACCCTCAATCCATTTTTATACAAGCATATTAATATGTGGCTTTCTTTCTATTCTGCTATATTACTTTGCTCCTTTAACAGTTTTATGGATTTAATATTTTATTAGATATCGTTTTTAAGTGGAAGTACTAGAGATGGGGGTGGTATACAACTATTAAGAAGTTAGTTACCTTAACGTAACAAATTTATGTGAAACTGACTGCGTATATCCTTCTCGATAATTAATTTTAAGTTTCTTATTTCCGAAGACTAAGAATTTGTTTGATATTTTTACGCCTTTTAGTCGTTTCAGTTCCTATATATATATATTATGAAGTTCTCGAACATAACGAGACTACGATATAATTCACGAACCGACACAAATTTGCAATGTCACCTTTTTTAGAATTGCTGCATTCGATTTTCTATTGTGTTTCCTTTCTTTATTATTATTTATTTATTTTTTCAAACCGGCGAATTGTCGGCATATAGATTTTAATTAATTAAATTTTTGTTGACGATCGGAATCACGAAATGAAAAAATGAAAATATCTGATTTAGTACCAATATAAATTTTAGATCAGTCGTCCGACGAATTTACGTATTACAAGAATTTTGTTTATTTTTTTTCGAATCGGTTTGAAGTTAGTTGCCTCGCGACTGGTCTTTTCTGAAACCATTCGTCATGTGGCTTGGCTTTCGCTTGACACGTTGCATTTGCTTTTGTACACGCATCCTTTGAAAACTGACCGTGCGGATGACGATGATATGCTTTGTACGTTTTAATGCAACTCAAATAATAGCTTGCTACAAACATTTAAAATTTAAAAAAATATGTTTCGTAATTTTTCCAATCTATATCCCAATCTACATACAAATGATGTTAATCAATGTAGATTGGAAGAACAAATAACATCTAGAAAAAAGTATGACTGAATGAAAATCCAAATTAGACTGGGCATGTTTGTAAGACCATAGGTGTTGGCCTGCGAACATTATAAACCGTCCTCCAATAGACTTGATTTTTGGTGTCTCCAGGTGGAACAAGCAGAGCACAATGGGAAGATGTCACAGGGTCAACGCCCCTAACCTTCGTAAATGACTGTGTGTCCTTCACGACAACAGTTTCAGCCAGGTTTTGGTTAATGGATTGTAGGAATATTACCGATGCCACTAAAATGGCTACTGAACTTTATAGGTACATACCAAACTCGGATATTATTTGCAAAGATTAATTACTAACCTCTTTTCCTCTCGTAACAGAGAAGCCATCCATGTACCATTCATGGCGAAATTCGTCGTCTTTGCTAAACGAATCGATCCGTTAGAAGCTCGGCTTAGAGTATTCTGTATGACCGATGACAAAGAAGATAAGACCTTGGAGCACCAAGAGCATTTTACGGAAGTGGCTAAAAGCCGGGACGTAGAAGTACGTAATCCATTTATTTTTTTAATCTTTATTTTAAGTTATTTGATTTGGTTTCTAGGTTCTTGAAGGAAAACCACAATATATAGAATTTGCCGGAAATTTAGTGCCTATAACAAAAAGTGGAGAACCATTGCAGTTCTCATTCAGAGCTTTTAGAGAAAACCGATTACCATTTTCGGTAAGAGTTAAAGATCAACACGCCGAAGCTATCGGAAGATGTCTTTTTATGCGAGAACCAAAGGTTGCGAAAGGAGAGCCACCTCAACAACCTATCTGCATCCTCAACATTGTTTTACCTGACGATATCGTCACAGAAACAACAACCTTAACCGACGTAGATACAGTTAGACGTCACGCCTTCCTCAAAGACAACTTTGAATATTACCGGCCAGATCCAAGATTAGCCGATATGAGTAACCTCTTAGGAGAAGATTGGGTGGCCTTGGCCGAACAATTAGGATTAACACCATCTGAAATAAACGTAATTAAATCTGAGTATCTAGACAGTGTCGCAAAGCAGGCACAATCGATGTTGAGAATGTGGATATCTCAGTCAGGGAACAAAGCACAAGGTGATACATTAGAGAATGCTCTTAGGAGAATTGGTAGAGAAGACATTATACCTCAGTGCCTAAATGTCGATGATATTGATAGGGTGCCGAAAATTGAACGGTACTCCAAAAAAGATATCGATTCAATACTAAAAGAACCACCTAAATTAGAAACGTACGAGAGTAAATACTCCGCCGAAGAAAAAGTCGTCGAAGAACAACACCCATCAGATGACGAAGACTTTAACAAAACCGTCTCTGAAAGGCGAGAACAAATCCAAAAACGACTTACTGAAACGGCGATACCCGCATCGCAACAAAGACAAGAAATCGTTGAGGAGATCACGACGATTAAACGACAGAGCATGGTGGAGGATAAAATCGCTGAAGTTGAGGTGAAACAAAAATCTGAACCGGCCAAGGTCGTTACGAAAACGGTGACCACACAAGGACCAGAAACTAAAACGGTTATTGAGTCGGTTGAAAAAATAAAAGCCACTGAACCATCTGATTATCAACCGACCGAAGTGACCATTACCAAACAATTTATGGAAGATGATAAACCCGATAGAAAGACTACAGTTAGGACTATTATTACTGAAACGCGCACAACTGAACATATACCATCTAATGAAATTATTGACAAGAGGGATTCTGAATTATTGGAAAGTGTTACGCAACGACTGGAAACGAAGAAAGTTACGCCACGGATATCAACAACAGAAGGTAATATTTATTATTGTTAGGTTGGAGCATAATTATCCATCTTTTTAAGTTTAATACAATCAATTTGTCATACATTTAGTTTCAATCAAATATCTAATTCTATAATAAATTGTCGATATGACATAATCATCTAGAAGTTATAATGGGTTTTCCAATAGGTTCGGGTCAATGTTGAAATGGAATAAAACAAGCTGTCTGTGCGATATTAACGAAATTCTTTTTTTATTTGAAAAGCCAATGTGTGCCATTATCTATGGGCTATGATATCGTTCCTTATATACGCCGCACCTTGGCAGGGTGGATTCAAGAGATCCACTGTTCAATGTCAAACTGCTTAATCTTGGCCATATTTGGTTACCCCCGCGTTAGATAACCATAGAGTCAAATCGTTTATGCAGTATATTCATTGCGGCGTCTGCTTTGTGGCACGTAGCGCCGTCGTGCTGGGAACACATGTCATCCATGTCCATATCATTCAAATCAGACCAAAAGAAATTGGTTATCGTTGGTTTGTACCACTCATCGTTGATGGCGATGGGCTTACTAACGTCGTATTGGAAGAAGAGCGGGCCAATTATGCCACCGGTTCAAAATCCGTACTAAACAGTAACTTTTTGTGGATACATTGCCACCTGGTGAACCATGTAGTGCCATCATGTCATATACAGCAATTTTGCTTGTTAACATATCCATTCATCCAAAAATGCATCTCGTCGCTAAAGATAATTTTTCAGCCAAAATTGAAGTTTTCTTCCAAGCGTTCCGAAGTCCTCACAGCGAACAAACGACTTTGTCTATGGTCATTAACTTTTGTATTCGCCAAGTTGAAATCTGCAAAAATCCGAGTTCTTGTGCACGGCGAGGAATCGACTGCCTCGGGTTCTCCTACACACTCTGACGGACTACGCCGATGTTTTCGGCCGAGGCATCGTTCCATTGATGTGTGGGTCTTGAATTTGGCCACCAAACTTTGGAAAATCGACTCCGGAAATATAAAAGAAGTCGCAACGTTCGCGCTAACGAACATTCATTTTAATAATAAAGTTTTATTGTTTAGACATACTGCTCAACCGTGTAACTTGCCATGGTGATTTGGCATCAGTGATTGAATGATAAACAACAGTTTTGGCAAATACTGCCAAAACAAGATGGCCGCCACAAACTGTCAACATTGCTCCTTATGGAAAATTCTTTTGTTATACGGAATATTTATATAACAACGCCCTGCCAATGTAATTAATTTCAAATCAATTTTACAAACTAATTAATACGAGACAATCCATAAGAGGCAGAAGATTACAAATCTGCAGTTAGTGAAGTCAAAGTGGCAGTAACCCTTTTTAAGTCTTGTGTCTTAGCTGGAAAAGCTTTCTGTAACGCACTGCAAAAGGTTACAGTTATAAGAGATGATGAACACACACAATGTTGAAGAAAGATAAGTAACCGCTTATAGTGTGATGGCGAATAAGACTTGAAGGCTTTAATTTTAAAGTCATGTATAGCGATGGGTGTGTAATGGGCTACTTTGATTATTTAAATGGAGATTCAACCATAATTATTTCAAGCACTACCAATCAAATATCTATGTCAATTAGATTTGCAGATTAAAGATGTAATATGGTTTAAAAGTGGATCTGAACCATTAGTGATGTTGATGGCTTACATGCGACCTCTTTGCAGGAACATGTAGTAATTCATGTTCCAAAATGTTGCAAAAATCACACTAGTAAGAAAGTTTTGACAATTATTGATGGTTTCTCTAAATACTGCATTAGAGTATTGCCGAACATAATGTTGAACTGCACCTGATCGCAAGAGAGGTGTTACGAAGGAATGATGAAATAAAGCAAGTTATGGGAATTTTATTTAACATTATTCGAAGTATATTAACACATAAGAAAAGAAACAAATGGACTTTAAAATCTGTTTATATATACGTCTGTCTTGCTTAAAAAAATTAACTTGATTACTTGACTACTTTAGAAAAAACCTTATCTCCAAAATATAACTCTCGCATCAGTTGTAGCAGAACATAAAAGAAATGACAGAAACTTTATAAACTGATACTTTATATTATTTGCATTATGAATAGTTTAATAAAAATTGCTTATCTAAGAATAATTATGCTCCAACTTAATACTATACTTTAAACTATTTCAAACAAATCTATAACATATTCTTTTTTGATTTAGTGGATCCGAATTCTCCAAAACTCTCGAAAACACCACCACCCAGTCCAGCGGACTTTATTTACAAGGAACAGGCAGCCGCAATGCAAGGTAGGATGATTTATTTTACCAACAATCACGAGATTCGCTTAAGATAGATTAGTAGGGATACCAGAAACATACTCCATGCCAAGAGAACACATTAATGAACGGGTTTCTCGATTGTGGAGTATGTCTGCTGGGAAATGTGGCATATCAACATCGGTACGTTACCGACCTTATTTTTTAAATTAAATTAAACACCGCAAAAAAATGCGAGGCACCGGTGCAAGGTCGTTATGGGGAACACCCACAAGTTGAGAATATTAAATTACGTCGTATATAATTACGGCTGGGGTAAACATTTAAATTGCAATTGAAATCGGTACATTTTTGCAAATTTAGTTATTAATTAGATTTATTGTGTAATCGAGTTATTTCAATTTCAATGATATTAATTACTATAATATTAACTAAATAATCTTACAACATTTTTGTTTTGAAGATATTTAAAATCTCTTCCAACCTATTTTTAACTAAATCTTTAATGTATTTATGCATTCTATAGATTTATTTTTGAAACATTACCTGGATTACACAAAAAAATGCGTCTATTGTCTTCCTGTACGGCTTCGTAATTCCTGTATATTAGATTACCGCGGCTACTTCGCGGTGGGTATCGTCATAAACAGTTAGTACTTTCGCGACCGTGGTTAAAATCGTTTCTTTAAAAACAGTGTGTGTTTGAAAAAATTAATTAAGGATTCGAGAGGGTAAGTTGCGATCACATTATTACCTAAATTTTGTCGAATTATCGTGCCGTCATATACCGATCGTAACTCGTTGATATGCCACGTTACGTGGGGTTTGCAACCAAAAAAAAGTTAGAACAGTTTTATTAGAATTTTGAAGAATATAAGATTCGCCAACCAAAACTTTCTTAATCTATTAATGTGTTTATTTGGTTTTGAAGTAAAGCTAAATCTTATATTCATCGAAAAAATGTGTATTACACAAGATTCATTCCCTTGTTACCTTAAACCTGCACAAAGTTGCTATAAAATAAGTGTTAATATCGTCATTGAATTAATTATAGTAACTTTGTGAGAAGTCCTTATTCACGTTACACTAACACAAACAACTATGTGTTCAATAACAAAGCTTTAAACGCAACATGCTTTTTGCAGAATTTTACTTTTACTAATATGATAAAATTAACAGAAAAAGTTTAACGGAACCAACTAACAGAAAATAAATCATAAGGTGTCAAGCGATACATTCAAGACACATTTCAAAACTGTGGTTTGATTAAATTTGAATCTATCGCCTTTCTCTAGTCGAGCGTTATAATAGCTTTCGAGCTAAGCTTTTGTAAAACCGCTTTTCAAGTTTCGTTCAGCTTCTGCCTATATTTTATACTTTTATGTTATTCCATTCGTTTTTTGTATTCTATACACTTGCTTTATTTTTGTTTTGTAATCACCGATATCACACTGTACAGAAAAATTGCATGCCCCCTTATACCGGATGGATGCTGGATCTTCTACAGCAAGTATTTTCCCAGTGAAAATAAATGTATAGAGCTCTTCGTTATGTTTATGTTGTGTGTCTGTGACCAAGCATAATTATTTTTGAAAATAAGTTTTATTATGTATCTATATTTTTAAAATAAAACGTATTTTCATTTCGTCGATAAGTTGTTTAGAGTTTCCAATAAACAACTAATCGAAACTTGATGTTCATCGTTTCATTCACACAAAATACTACTCACTAATTCACTAACCACTTCGTCTTTTTGCTCAAATCATTCGTGTATAAATGATTTTAAATATTTTGAGTAAAAAGAAATTTCTTCTATCTGTTTCCCAAACAAGTCCCAATGTTGCCAAGACCCACTGCTTAAAATAAATGAAAAGAAATGAGCTTTTTTTGGGATTGCAAACTCCATTTTTTTGAGTAGGAATTTATCGAGAGATTTAAGTGTATATATTTGTGCATGAGTGGAGTTCGTAGCTACTTTGACGCAGTATCCAGTAGAAAGCTTATTAAAAAATGAAATCTTCTTGATTTAAATGTTTTTATTGAGAATTCAATTTTATAAAATAAATGATCGAATTAGCTACGAACAAAGATTTTCAGGAGTTCAATTTCTTGGCCTTGGACGCCATATAGCAAAGGCTATATTAAGGTCAGTGCCTTTTTGCTGCTTTCCCTTCGAAGCAGATTTTTTTTGCTGTTACTGATTAGTGCTAGTTTGGGTATTTTTTTGACGGGATTGCTTAAAAACGGTTAGAACCCGTCGCAGTAGAGCGGAATGCTGGCTTTGTCTTATGTTGGAAAAGACATATTTGAGTGCGGATAAGGCTGATGGCGTCCTTCGTTTTCCCTATCCTCACACAATTTATCCACCCGTGTTCATTTACCGCCACTCAGACATCATACATACATCATTTGAGAGTGAGAGTGGTATAATGAAGAACTGTGATTTATTTTCTGATGTAAATATTCGAATATCGGGTTGTTATTGCACGCTTTTACCAGAAAAATTATTATGAAAAAGTTGACACTACACATTTTACACAATTGTGAAAACCTTCAATCCCTTACATTACCTGTGTTCAGCCACAGCATCCCCGCAAGATGATGATGACTCGTTGGACACCGACGGTTTTCGCGAGGATCAACTCGAAACCCCTACACCCGATGAACATCTCAGTGGACCTTCTGTTTTGGGAAGGTACCAGCTTGAACGTTCGCTTGGGGATATTGAAGTTGATGTTACTCAATACGACAATATCAGGGATTATTATCAAAATCAAATGCGGTTATTTACCGGAGAGCGCAAAAGGCTAGCTTCTACGGAAGATTTAGATGCAGAAGAACCGGAAACTTTCACTACTGAAAGACCAGGCGATTTAAAACTTCGTCCTTATTCGTCTCCAGTTGAGAAAGGTGTTAAAGACTCCACAAGACCAGAAGATTGGGAAAGAAAGGACGCTCGATTAGTGGAAAGGCTACATGGAGGAGCAGGAAAAGGAAAAGGTGACACCACCGAGCAACGAAGCACTATCACATTTAAAGATGAAGGAATTACCTTCGAAAGAACATCTGATCTTCGCGCAGATGGGGCAACAAGATCTTCAGATCAGACTAAAACTGAAACTATCAAAATCTCAGGTACTGTAGATAAAGGGGAAGAAATGAAACACATCAAATTTTCTCAAACTAAAGGAAAATATGACAGTGTTAGATCACATTTTACCACACGAGGCACTTCTCCGTTAGATAAACCAAATAAATTAGAATCGTTAACTGAACTTACTCATCCACTGCCTACATTAGAATTAGTAATTGGTAGAAAAGAAGTACATACTAAGGAAGCCACAGCTACGGCTGAAAGTCGTTTAACTTTATATGGTACTAAAGACGTTGAAATATCAATTCATTCTCAATCGCATATATCTGTTATCACAACGAGAAAAGATAGCACTGGTTTGGAAACTTCTGAAAAGGTTGATGTTGGTATGACTGCCACCGCAGGAACAGGAGATAGTATATCTGAAGATAAAATTAAACATGATTATATAATTCAACCAGACGCGGTCCATAAGAAGAAAGAAGAGACAGTGAATTTTAGCGGAAAACGAGAGGTATTTCGTTATGATAGCACAGAAAAAGCTACTGGCGAATCTCCAGACGATAGTTTATCTCATCACGCCACTGATACGGGTATTTCCATAACTAGAGGTACTACAGACACGATGAGTTCAATTAAAATACTCCCAGGGTTAACTCAGGGTCTTCAAACAACCGGTTTCGTATCTGATATTCACACAGACGTCGAACAAGAAGAGGGTGAATTAACAGATGCTGGATTAAGCCCAATTCAAGCCGATGAACTGCCCCCAATTGTTGATGGTGATATACAATTCAGCGATATAGCTACCAGCCCCATAGATTTCCCAGAATCTGCGCAACTATCACATATTGATACTTCAGAAGCTGGCACATTAACTGATCAAATAGACATGAAAGATGCTTCTAATAGTCCAATTCGAGTTGAAGAAGATGCACTTCCTACTGATGAAAAGCAAGATCAAGACATATTAACAAAACGTCGAGGTTCTGGAGATGTAAAGGCGAAAATTAAACAAATAGAAGAACAAGGAAAAATTACTTTCCATCTTGACCATATTCGTCGAAAAAGAGAAATTGTTGACTCCGAGGATGAGTTATCCAGCTTAAAAGAAGAAGAAGTTATACGCGGATCAACCGAGACTTTAGCGCATTTCGAAGATGAACAACTCGATTTACCCGATAAAAAAGATTTAATAACCTCCGATAGCGACGCGGAAGATCGAGCTATATCTGAGACAATAAAAACGAAAGAAAAAATTCATACCTCCCAAAAAGTTGGGCCTAAGATCGCGCAACTTCAAAGATTATTTAGTAAATCTGATCACGAAGAAAGCGATGAAGAATCGCCTTATAAACGTGCAAAGCCTAAACCCGACATCAAACCAGAAATGGTTTCTACGGTTGATGAACCGTCTTTACAATCTCAAGAGAGGGAAATAATTAAAGAAGAAATTAAAGATGATGTAATCGAAGTTGAATTGGAGTATAAAACGGTTCGCGCAGCCAAACAAATGTTTGAAGATTTAATATCAAAATCTGCCGAGGGAACCCCCGTTAAGAAATCAACTAAACCTAAATCGCTAATTGAAGAAGATTCTTCAGAACCTATCGTTGAAAAAGAGCCGCCTCGAAAAGACGAAGCCGATGTTTCGGTTATTGATGAATCCCAAGAAAAAATAAGTATCAAAAAGAAAATAGATGCGTTTACAAAAATAGCATCCGCATCACCTACTGACGTCAAGGAAGTTAAAGCTAGACCAACGCGAATATATAAAGAAGATATGAAATTGATGAGCGTAAAACCTACAGATGTAAGAAAAGTTTTATCTGAAATGTTGGAAGCAACAAGACAGATAAAAGCAGACGTGAAAGAAATGAAACCAGATTTAACACCAACCCCAGAAGGGCAACAAATAACCATCCTCCCATCAATATCTAGTGATCAACTAAAAGATCTACAGGTTATTAAGGAAGAACAAAAGGAAGAGATTGAAACAGTAGACGTAAAACACAGAGAAAAATCTGTACTTGAGATTGAAGAAAAGTTGATTCAAACTTTTGAACCAACTTTAGAAGTACATGAAATCGTAGATGTTACAAAAATTATACGCAAACATGATAAAAGTCCTGAGCGTGAAACTATTGATGAGGATGAGTCGGAAATTAAAGATATTTCTGAAATTGAACAAGATGAAGAACTGTTTGATGACATAAGCGAAAGTGTTGAGGTTGAAAAGAAACATTTCGATGAAAAACAAATTGAAACACATGAGAAATTGCAGGAAATTCAAAAACCGCGAGAACTAATAATTCAAAAGCGAATGATAAGCATCGAGGATCATGAGCCTGTGATGGAAGATATATCCCCAATAAAAGAAACTAAGAAATTAACCCCGGAAGAGTTACTTACTTTACAAAAAACTAAATCTCCTGAAGATGAATCAATATCACTCCAAGAATCGCTTGAAAAAGATGTTACAAAAGTTGAAATGCAAAGCTTTAAAGAAGAGAAGTCAATATCGCCAAAGGAAGAAGATACTACTATCGAAAAGGTTTCTCATATTATTCCTAATGGAACATTAACACACGTTTGTGAAGATATAGAAATCTCTCCAGAACCAATATGCACAAAAGTTGTTATTTCAAAAAGTCCTTCCCCAACAGATGACCACACGGTTAAAGATAAAACTATATTAACCAGAAAGTTGTCATTATCTTTACCGAAGCCTTCAAAGGTACCTTCACTGCAAACAATTACCACCGAAGAAATTAAACATCGAATAAAAACAACGCATGAAGACATCGACCTTTCAACACAATCAATCGAACCACAGGTACCGTGTGAAGAACCGGTTTGTGAAAAAGTGGTTCTTTCTCCAAAAATGCTCCAGAAAGAGGTTTTAGATAAATCAATTAAAACATCTGAATTATTAAAAGATGATACTATTGCAAAGACACAACAAGAAATAGTAACAATCACACATAAATTAGTTACTCGAGACAGGATTGAGGAGAAAATGGCTATGAAAGACATCGGTCCATTACAATATTTGCAACGTGATGAACTTCGTACACAAACACAAGATCTAGTCAAAGTCAGTAAAGATAAAATTGTGATATTCGAAAAGAAGGAGATAATTACAGAAGACGCAACAACTCAAGAGGAATTTAAAGGCATTATCGAAGTAGTAGCCGAACCAGATCAGAAAATTGAAATAACTAAAGACGTGAAGCTTATCTTAGCGGAAGAACAAAAAGTGGCCGAAAGCGAACTAATACTCTCTGATGCAGAAATAAAAGCAACTAAGGTAAAAGATAAGATATCAGCTTGGGAAAAAATGACACATAAGAAAGAGGAAAAACCACAAGTTACAGGTATTGAAATTACACCGAAACTGTCAATAAGAGAAGAAATATTAAGGTTTGAAAAGGAAAACATACTCAAAAAAGAAAAAATTACGTCAGATCTAGTCGATATGCAAACGAAACAAGTTGAAGAATATGCTACAGAAGAGTCTTATGAAACAAAGGGCGATATCCCAAAACTTAAAGAAGTTTTACCATCAACGAAAAAAGTAATATTGCAATTAACGAAAGAAGCCGAAACGCCAGTATCGACAGTATTTTCGGAGGAAAGAAAACAATTACCAAGACAACTTGAAGCAACACCAGATGAAAAAGAAGATAAAGTCGAGTCGCTTGTTTCTCCGAAGAAAAAGAAACCATTAGCCGCAGATATTGAAACGACACCTGCTGAAAAGGAAGTTGAATCAGAGTCGCCTGTATCTCCGAAAGAAAGAAAACCATCAGCTGTGGAACTTGAAATTACACCTGCTAAAAAGGTAGTTACAGCCGAGTCGCCTCTATCTCCGAAAGAAAGAAAACCATCAGCTGCGGAATTGGAAGTTCCAGCTACTGAAAAGGTAGTTAAAGCCGAATCGCCTGTATCTCCGACAGAAAGAAAGTCATCAGCTGCGGAACTAGACATTACACCTGCTGAAAAGGTAATTAAAGCCGAGTCACTTCTTTCTCCAAAAGAAAGAAAACCATTAGCTGCAGAACTAGAAATTACACCTGCTGAAAAGGTAGTTAAAGCCGAGTCACCTGTATCTCCGAAAGAAAGAAAGCCATCAGCTGTGGAACTAGCAATTGCACCTGCTGAAAAGGTAATTAAAGCCGAGTCACTTGTATCTCCGAAAGACAGTAAACCCTCAGCTGCTGAACTGAAAATTACACCTGCTGAAAAGGTAGTTAAAGCCGAATCACCTATATCTCCGAAAGAAAGAAAGCCATCAGCTACGGAACTAGTAATTATACCTGCTGAAACGGAAGCTAAAGCCGAGTCGCCTATATCTCCGAGTGACAACAAACCATCAGCTGCGGAACTGGAACTGGAATCTGCTGAAAAAGTAGCTAAGGCCGAGTCGCCTGTATCTCCGAAAGACAGAAAAACATCAGTTGCGAAACTAGAAATTACACCTGCTGAAAAGGTAACTAAAGCCGAGTCGCCTGTATCTCCGAGAGATGGAAAACCATCAGCTGCGGAACTGGAAATTACACCTGCTGAAAAAGATGTTAAAGCCGAAACGCCTGTATCTCCGAAAGACACAAAACCATTAGCTGCGGAACTACAAATTACACCTGCTGAAAAAGTAGTTAAAGTCGAGTCACCTGTATCTCCGAAAGAAATAAAACCATCAGATGCGGAACTGGAGATTACACCTACTGGAAAGGTAGCTAAAGCCGAGTCGCCTGTATTTCCGAAAGACAGAAAACCATCAGCTGCGGAATTGGAAACTACACCTGCTGAAAAGGAAGTTAAAGCCGAATCGCCCGTATCTCCGAAAGAAAGAAAACCATCAGCTGCAGAACTGGAGATTACACCTGCTGAAAAAGATGTTAAAGTCGAAACGCCTGTATCTCCGAAAGACACAAAACCATTAGTTGNATCTCCGAAAGACAGTAAACCCTCAGCTGCTGAACTGAAAATTACACCTGCTGAAAAGGTAGTTAAAGCCGAATCACCTATATCTCCGAAAGAAAGAAAACCATCAGCTACGGAACTAGTAATTATACCTGCTGAAACGGAAGCTAAAGCCGAGTCGCCTATATCTCCGAGAGACCAAAAACCATCAGATGCGGAACTGGAAACTACACCTGCTGAAAAGGAAGTTAAAAAAGCCGAGTCGCCTGTATCTCCGACAGAACTAAAACCATCAGCTGCGGAATTGGAAATTACACCTGCTGAAAAGGAAGTTAAAGCCGAATCGCCCGTATCTCCGAAAGAACGAAAACCATCAGCTGCAGATTTGGAAATTACACCTGCCGAAAAGGTTGCTAAAGCCGAGTCGCCTGTATCTCAGAAAGAAAGAAAGCCATCAGTTGCGGAATTCGAAATTACACCTGCTGGAAAAGATATTGAAGCCAAAACGCCTGTATCTCCGAAAGACACAAAACCATTAGCTGCGGAACTAAAAATTACACCTGCTGAAACGGAAGTTAAAGCCGAGTCGCCTGTATCTCCGAGAGACAGAAAACCATCAGATGCGGAACTGGAAACTACACCTGCTGAAAAGGAAGTTAAAAAAGCCGAGTCGCCTGTATCTCCGAAAGAAATAAAACTATCAGCTACAGAACTGGAAATTACACCTGCCGAAACGGACGTAAAAGCCGAGTCGCCTGTACCTCCGAAAGACAGAAAACCATCAGCTCCTGAACTGGAAATTACATCTGCTGAAAAAGTAGCTAAAGTTGAGTCGCCTGTATCTCCGAAAGACAGAAAAACATCAGTTGCGAAACTAGAAATTACACCTGCTGAAAAGGCAGCTAAAGCCGAGTCGCCTGTATCTCCGAAAGAAAGAAAACCATCAGCTGCGGAACTGGAGATTACACCTACTGGAAAGGTAGCTAAAGCCGAGTCGCCTGTATTTCCGAAAGACAGAAAACCATCAGCTGCGGAACTGGAAACTACACCTGCTGAAAAGGAAGTTAAAGCCGAATCGCCCGTATCTCCGAAAGAAAGAAAACCATCAGCTGCAGAACTTGAAGTCACACCGGCTGAAAAAGAAATAAAAGCAGAATCGCCTGTATCTCCAGCAATATCAGTTAAGGGGGAGAAGGTGGCGGTTGAGGAACTTGAAATCACACCGCCTCAAAAAGGAATAAAAGCAGAATCGCCTGTATCTCCGAAAGACAGAAAACCATCAGTTAGAAAACCATCAGTTGCTGAACTTGAAATCACACCGGCTGAAAAGGAAATAAAAGCAGAATCGCCTGTATCTCCGAAAGACAGAAAACCATCAGTTGCTGAACTTGAAGTCACACCGGCTGAAAAAGAAATAAAAGCAGAATCGCCTGTTTCTCCGAAAGAAAGAAAACCATCAGTTGATAAAAGCAGAATCGCCTGTATCTCCAGCAATATCAGTTGAAGAGGAGAAGGTAGTGACTAAAGAACTTGAGATCATACCGGCTGAAAAAGAAATAAAAGCAGAATCGCCTGTTTCTCCGAAAGAAAGAAAACCATCAGTTGCTGAACTTGAAATCGCTCCGGCTGAGAAAGATATAAAAACAGAATCGCCTGTATCTCCGAAAGACAGAAAACCATCAGTTGCTGAACTTGAAATCCCACCGGCTGAAAAAAAAATAAAAGCAGAATCGCCTGTATCTGCGAAAGACACAAAACCATCAGTTGCTGAACTTGAACTCACACCGGCTGAAAAAGAAATAAAAGCAGAATCGCCTGTATCGCCAGCAATATCCGTTAAGGAGGAGAAGGTAGCGATTGAGAAGCTTGAAATCACACCTGCTGAAAAAGAAATAAAAGCAAAATCGCCTGTTTCCCCGAAAGAAAGAAAACCATCAGTTGCTGAACTTGAAGTCGCTCCGGCTGAAAAAGATATAAAAACAGAATCGCCTGTATCTCCGAAGGAAAGAAAACCATCAGTTGCTGAACTTGAAATCACACCGGCTGAAAAAGAAATAAAAGCAGAATCGCCTGTATCTCCGAAAGACAGAAAACCATCAGTTGCTGAACTTGAAATCACACCGACAGAAAAAGAAATAAAAGCAAAATCGCCTGTTTCTCCGAAAGAAAGAAAACCATCAGTTGCTGAACTTGAAGTCACACCGGCAGAAAAAGAAATAGAAGCAAAATCGCCTATTTCTCCGAAAGAAAGAAAACCATCACTTGCTGAACTTGAAGTGACACCTGCTGAAAGGGAAATAAAAGCAGAATCGCCTGTATTTCCAGCAATATCAGTTAAGGAGGAGAAGGTAGCGATTGAGAAGCTTGAAATCACATCTGCTGAAAAAGAAATAAAAGCAAAATCGCCTGTTTCTCCGAAAGAAAGAAAACCATCAGTTGCTGAACTTGAAATCACACCGGCTGAAAAAGAAATAAAAGCAGAATCGCCTGTATCTCCGAAAGACAGAAAACCATCAGTTACTGAACTTGAAGTCACGCCGGCTGAAAAAGAAATAAAAGCAGAATCGCCTATTTCTCCGAAAGACAGAAAACCATCAGTTGCTGAACTTGAAATCACAGCGGCTGAAAATGAAATAAAAACAGAATCGCCTGTTTCTCCAGCAATATTAGTTAAGGAGGAGAAGGTAGCGATTGAGAAGCTTGAAATCACACCGGCTGAAAAAGAAATAAAAGCAGAATCGCCTGTTTCTCCGAAAGAAAGAAAACCATCAGTTGCTGAACTTGAAATCACACCGGCTGAAAAAGAAATAAAAGCAGAATCGCCTGTTTCTCCGAAAGAAAGAAAACCATCAGTTGCTGAACTTGAAATCACACCGGCTGAAAAAGAAATAAAAGCAGAATCGCCTGTTTCTCCGAAAGAAAGAAAACCATCAGTTGCTGAACTTGAAATCACACCGGCTGAAAAAGAAATAAAAGCAGAATCGCCTGTTTCTCCGAAAGAAAGAAAACCATCAGTTGCTGAACTTGAAATCACACCGGCTGAAAAAGAAATAAAAGCAGAATCGCCTGTTTCTCCGAAAGAAAGAAAACCATCAGTTGCTGAACTTGAAATCACACCGGCTGAAAAAGAAATAAAAGCAGAATCGCCTGTTTCTCCGAAAGAAAGAAAACCATCAGTTGCTGAACTTGAAATCACACCGGCTGAAAAAGAAATAAAAGCAGAATCGCCTGTTTCTCCGAAAGAAAGAAAACCATCAGTTGCTGAACTTGAAATCACACCGGCTGAAAAAGAAATAAAAGCAGAATCGCCTGTTTCTCCGAAAGAAAGAAAACCATCAGTTGCTGAACTTGAAATCACACCGGCTGAAAAAGAAATAAAAGCAGAATCGCCTGTTTCTCCGAAAGAAAGAAAACCATCAGTTGCTGAACTTGAAATCACACCGGCTGAAAAAGAAATAAAAGCAGAATCGCCTGTTTCTCCGAAAGAAAGAAAACCATCAGTTGCTGAACTTGAAATCACACCGGCTGAAAAAGAAATAAAAGCAGAATCGCCTGTTTCTCCGAAAGAAAGAAAACCATCAGTTGCTGAACTTGAAATCACACCGGCTGAAAAAGAAATAAAAGCAGAATCGCCTGTTTCTCCGAAAGAAAGAAAACCATCAGTTGCTGAACTTGAAATCACACCGGCTGAAAAAGAAATAAAAGCAGAATCGCCTGTTTCTCCGAAAGAAAGAAAACCATCAGTTGCTGAACTTGAAATCACACCGGCTGAAAAAGAAATAAAAGCAGAATCGCCTGTTTCTCCGAAAGAAAGAAAACCATCAGTTGCTGAACTTGAAATCACACCGGCTGAAAAAGAAATAAAAGCAGAATCGCCTGTTTCTCCGAAAGAAAGAAAACCATCAGTTGCTGAACTTGAAATCACACCGGCTGAAAAAGAAATAAAAGCAGAATCGCCTGTATCTCCAGCAATATCAGTTAAGGAGGAGAAGGAAGCGATTGAAAAACTTGAAATCACACCGGCTGAAAAAGAAATAAAAGCAGAATCGCCCGTATCTCCGAAAGACAGAAAACCATCAGTTGCTGAACATGAAATTACACCTGCTGAAAAAGATGTTAAAGCCGAAACGATTATATCTCCGAAAGACAGAAAACCATCAGTTGCTGAACTTGAAGTCACACCGGCTGAAGGAGAAATAAAAGCAGAATCTCCTGTATCTCCGAAAGAGAGAAAACCATTAGTTGCTGAACTTGAAGTCACACCGACTGAAAAAGAAATAAAAGCAGAATCGCCTGTATCTCCAGCAATATCAGTTAAGGAGGAGAAGGTAGTGATTAAAGAACTTGAAATCACACCGGCTGAAAAAGAAATAAAAGCAGAATCGCCTGTATCTCCGAAAGACAGAAAACCATCAGTTGCTGAACTTGAAATCACACCGGCTGAAAAAGAAATAAAAGCAGAATCGCCTGTTTCTCCGAAAGAAAGAAAACCATCAGTTGCTGAACTTGAAGTGACACCGGCTGAAAAGGAAATAAAAGCAGAATCGCCTGTATCTCCAGCAATATCAGTTAAGGAGGACAAGGTAGTGATTAAAGAACTTGAAATCATACCGGCTGAAGAAGATATAAAAGAGGAATCGCCTGTATCTCCGAAAGACAGAAAACCATCAGTTTCTGAACTTGAAATCACACCGGCTGAAAAAGAAATAAAATCAGAATCACCTGTTTCTCCGAAAGAAAGAAAACCATCAGTTGCTGAACTTGAAGTGACACCGGCTGAAAGGGAAATAAAAGCAGAATCGCCTGTATCTCCAGCAATATCAGTTAAGGAGGAGAAGGTGGCGGTTGAGGAACTTGAGATTATACCGGCTGAAAAGGAAATAAAAGCAGAATCACCTGTTTCTCCGAAAGAAAGAACACCATCAGTTGCTGAACTTGAAGTGACACCGGCTGAAAAGGAAATAAAAGCAGAATCGCCTGTTTCTCCGAAAGAAAGAAAACCATCAGTTGCTGAACTTGAAATCACACCGGCTGAAAAAGAAATAAAAGCAGAATCACCTGTTATCTCCGAAAGACAGAAAACCATCAGTTGCTGAACTTGAAGTCACACCGGCTCAAAAAGAAATAAAAGCTGAATCGCCTGTATCTCCAGCAATATCATTTAAGGAGGAGAAGATAGTGATTGAGAAACTTGAAATCACACTGGCTGAAAGAGATATAAAAGCAGAATCTCCTGTATCTCCAAAAGAGAGAAAACCATCAGTTGCTGAACTTGAAATCACACCGGCTGAAAAAAAAATAAAAGCAGAATCGCCTGTATCTCCGAAAGAGAGAAAACCATCAGTTGCTGAACTTGAAATCACACCGGCTGAAAAAGAAATAAAAGCAGAATCGCCTGTATCTCCAGCAATATCAGTTAAGGAGGAGAAGGTGGCGATTGAGAAGCTTGAAATTACGCCTGCTGAAAAAGAAATAAAAGCAAAATCGCCTGTTTCTCCGAAAGAAAGAAAACCATCAGTTGCTGAACCTGAAGTCGCTCCGGCTGAAAAAGATATAAAAACAGAATCGCCTGTGTCTCCGATAGACAGAAAACCATCAGTTGCTGAACTTGAAATCACACCGTCTGAAAAAGAAATAAAAGCAGAATCGCCTGTATCTCCGAAAGAAAGAAAACCATCAGTTGCTGAACTTGAAGTCACACCGGCTGAAAAAGAAATAAAAACAGAATCTCCTGTACCTCCGAAAGAAAGAAAACCATCAGTTGCTGAACTTGAAGTCGCACCGGCTGAAAAAGAAATAAAAGCAGAATCGCCTGTATCTCCGAAAGAAAGAAAACCATCAGTTGCTGAACTTGAAGTCACACCGGCTGAAAAAGATATAAAAGCAGAATCGCCTGTATCTCCAGCAATATCAGTTAAGGAGGAGAAGGTAGTGACTAAAGAACTTGAAATCACACCGGCAGAAAAAGAAATAAAAGCAGAATCGCCTGTTTCTCCGAAAGATAGAACACCATCAGTTGCTGAACTTGAAATCACACCGGCTGAAAAAGAAATAAAAGCAGAATCGCCTGTTTCTCCGAAAGACAGAAAACCATCAGTTGCTGAACTTGAAATCACACCGGCTGAAAAGGAAATAAAAGCAGAATCGCCTGTATCTCCAGCAATATCAGTTAAGGAGGAGAAGGTAGTGATTAAAGAACTTGAAATCACACCGGCTGAAAAAGATATGGAGGAGAAGGTAGCGATTGAGAAGCTTGAAGTCACACCGGCTGAAAAAGAAATAAAAGCAGAATCGCCTGTTTCTCCGAAAGAAAGAAAACCATCAGTTGCTGAACTTGAAGTCACACCGGCTGAAAAAGGAGTAAAAGCAGAATCACCTGTATCTCCAGCAATATCAGTTAAGGAGGAGAAGGTGGCGGTTGAGAAACTAAAAGTCACACAGGCTGAAAAAGAAACAAAAGCAGAATCGCCTGTATCTCTGAAAGACAGAAAACCATTACTTGCTGAACTTGAAGTCACACCGGCTGAAAAAGAAATAAAAGCAGAATCGCCTGTATCTCCGAAAGACAGAAAACCATCAGAATCACACCGGCTGAAAAAGAAATAAAAGCAGAATCGCCTGTATCTCCGAAAGGAATAAAAGCAGAATCGCCTGTTTCTCCGAAAGAGAGAAAACCATCAGTTGCTGAACTTGAAGTGACACCGGCTGAAAAAGAAATAAAAGCAGAATCGCCTGTATCTCCGAAAGAAAGAAAACCATCAGTTGCTGAACTTGAAGTGACACCGGCTGAAAAAGAAATAAAAGCAGAATCACCTGTATCTCCAGCAATATCAGTTAAGGAGGAGAAGGTGGCGGTTGAGGAACTTGAAATCATACCGGCTGAAAAAGAAATAAAAGTAGAATCGCCTGTATCTCCGAAAGACAGAAAACCATCAGTTGCTGAACTTGAAATCATTCCGGCTGAAAAAGAAATAAAAGCGGAATCGCCTGTATCTCCGAAAGAGAGAAAACCATCAGTTGCTGAACTTGAAATCACACCGGCTGAAAAAGAAATAAAAGCAGAATCGCCTATATCTCCGAAAGAAAGAAAACCATCAGTTGCTGAACTTGAAATCACACCGGCTGAAAAAGAAATAAAAGCAGAATCGCCTGTTTCTCCAGCAACATCAGTTAAGGGCTGAAAAAGAAATAAAAGCAGAATCGCCTGTTTCTCCGAAAGAAAGAAAACCATCAGTTCCTGAACTTGAAATCGCACCAGCTGAAAAAGATATAAAAGCAGAATCGCCTGTATCTCCAGCAATATCAGTTAAGGAGGATAAGGTAGCGATTAAAGAACTTGAAATCACAGCTGCTGAAAAAGATATAAAAACAGAATCGCCTGTTTCACCGAAAGAAAGAAAACCATCAGTTGCTGAACTTGAAGTTACACCGGCTGAAAAAGAAATAAAAACTGAATCGCCTGTTTCTCCGAAAGAAGGAAAACCATCAGTTGCTGAACTTGAAATCGCTCCGGCTGAAAAAGATATAAAAACAGAATCGCCTGTTTCTCCGAAAGAAAGAAAGCCATCAGTTGCTGAACTTGAAGTCACACCGGCTGAAAAAGGAATAAAAGCAGAATCGCCTGTATCTCCGAAAGACAGAAAACCATCAGTTGCTGAAGTTGAAATCACACCAGCTGATAAAGAAATAAAAGCAGAATCGCCTGTATCTCCAGGAATATCAGTTAAGGAGGAGAAGGAAGCGATTGAAAAACTTGAAATCAGACCGGCTGAAAAAGAAATAAAAGTAGAATCGCCTGTATCTCCAGCAATATCAGTTATGGAGAAGAAGGAAGCGATTGAAAAACTTGAAATCACACCGGCTGAAAAAGAAATAAAAGCAGAATCGCCTGTTTCTCCGAAAGAAGGAGGAGAAGGAAGCGATTGAAAAACTTGAAATCACACCGGCTGAAAAAGAAATAAAAGCAGAATCGCCTGTTTCTCCGAAAGACAGAAAACCATCAGTTGCTGAACTTGAAATTACATCTGCTGAAAAAGATGTTAAAGCCGAAACGCCTATATCTCCGAAAGACAGAAAACCATCACTGGCTGAACTTGAAGTCACCCCAGCTGAAAAAGAAATAAAAGTAGAATCGCCTGTATCTCCAGCAATATCAGTTAAGGAGGAGAGGGAAGCGATTGAAAAACTTGAAATCAGACCGGCTGAAAAAGAAATAAAAGTAGAATCGCGTGCATCTCCGAAAGACAGAAAACCATCAGTTGCTGAGCTTGAAGTCACCCCAGCTGAAAAAGAAATAAAAGCAGAATCGCCTGTATCTCCAGCAATATCAGTTAAGGAGGAGAAGGAAGCGATTGAAAAACTTGAAATCACACCGGCCGAAAAAGAAATAAAAGCAGAATCGCCTGTATCTCCAGCAATATCAGTTAAGGAGGAGAAGGAAGCGATTGAAAAACTTGAAATCACACCGGCCGAAAAAGAAATAAAAGCAGAATCGCCCGTATCTCCGAAAGACAGAAAACCATCAGTTGCTGAACTTGAAGTCACCCCAGCTGAAAAAGAAATAAAAGCAGAATCGCCTGTATCTCCAGCAATATCAGTTAAGGAGGAGAAGGTAGTGATTGAGAAACTTGAAATCACACCGGCTGAAAAAGAAATAAAAGTAGAATCGCCTGTATCTCCGAAAGACAGAAAACCATCAGTTGTTGAACTTGAAGTCACCCCAGCTGAAAAAGAAATAAAAGCAGAATCGCCTGTATCTCCGGAAGAGGGAAAACCATCAGTTACTGAACTTGAAATCACACCGGCTGAAAAAGAGATAAAAGCAGAATCGCCTGTATCTCCAGCAATATCAGTTAAGGAGGAGAAGGAAGCGATTGAACACCGGCTGAAAAAGAAATAAAAGCAGAATCGCCCGTATCTCCGAAAGACAGAAAACCATCAGTTGCTGAACTTGAAATCACTTCGGCTGAAAAAGATATAAAAGCAGAATCGCCTGTATCTCCGAAAGACAGAAAACCATCAGAATCACACCGGCTGAAAAAGAAATAAAAGCAGAATCGCCTGTATCTCCGAAAGGAATAAAAGCAGAATCGCCTGTTTCTCCGAAAGAGAGAAAACCATCAGTTGCTGAACTTGAAGTGACACCGGCTGAAAAAGAAATAAAAGCAGAATCGCCTGTATCTCCGAAAGAAAGAAAACCATCAGTTGCTGAACTTGAAGTGACACCGGCTGAAAAAGAAATAAAAGCAGAATCACCTGTATCTCCAGCAATATCAGTTAAGGAGGAGAAGGTGGCGGTTGAGGAACTTGAAATCATACCGGCTGAAAAAGAAATAAAAGTAGAATCGCCTGTATCTCCGAAAGACAGAAAACCATCAGTTGCTGAACTTGAAATCATTCCGGCTGAAAAAGAAATAAAAGCGGAATCGCCTGTATCTCCGAAAGAGAGAAAACCATCAGTTGCTGAACTTGAAATCACACCGGCTGAAAAAGAAATAAAAGCAGAATCGCCTATATCTCCGAAAGAAAGAAAACCATCAGTTGCTGAACTTGAAATCACACCGGCTGAAAAAGAAATAAAAGCAGAATCGCCTGTTTCTCCAGCAACATCAGTTAAGGGCTGAAAAAGAAATAAAAGCAGAATCGCCTATTTCTCCGAAAGAAAGAAAACCATCAGTTGCTGAACTTGAAATCACACCGGCTGAAAAAGAAATAAAAGTAGAATCGCCTGTATCTCCAAAAGACAGAAAGCCATCAGTTGCTGAACTTGAAGTCACACCGGCTGAAAAAGAAATAAAAGCAGAATCTCCTATATCTCCAGCAATATCAGTCAAGGAGGAGAAGGAAGCGATTGAAAAACTTGAAATCACACCGGCTGAAAAAGAAATAAAAGTAGAATCGCCTGTTTCTCCGGAAGAAAGAAAACCATCAGTTGCTGAACTTGAAATCACACCGGCTGAAAAAGAAATAAAAGCAGAATCGCCTGTATCTCCGAAAGACAGAAAACCATCAGTTGCTGAACTTGAAATCACACCGTCTGAAAAAGAGATAAAAGCAGAATCGCCTGTATCTCCAGCAATATCAGTTAAGGAGGAGAAGGTAGCGATTGAGAAACTTGAAATCACACCGGCTAAAAAAGAAATAAAAGCAGAATCGCCCGTATCTCCGAAAGACAGAAAACCATCAGTTGCTGAACTTGAAATTACATCTGCTGTAAAAAAAATAAAAGCAGAATCGCCTGTATTTCCAGCAATATCAGTTAAGGAGGAGAAGGAAGCGATTGAAAAACTTGAAATCGTTCCGGCTGAAAAAGAAATAAAAGCAGAATCGCCTGTATCTCCGAAAGAAAGAAAACCATCAGTTGCTGAACTTGAAGTCACACCGGCTGAAAAAAAAATAACAGCAGAATCGCCTGTATCTCCAGCAGTATCAGTTAAGGAGGAGAAGGTAGCGATTGAGAAACTTGACATCACATCGGCTGAAAAAGAAATAAAAGCAGAATCACCTGTATCTCCGAAAGAGAGAAAACCATCAGTTGCTGAACTTGAAATCACACCGGCTGAAAAAGAAATAAAAGCAGAATCGCCTGTTTCTCCGAAAGAAAGAAAACCATCAGTTGCTGAACTTGAAATCACACCGGCTGAAAAAGAAATAAAAGCAGAATCGCCTGTATCTCCGAAAGACAGAAAACCATCAGTTGCTGAACTTGAAATCACACCGGCTGAAAAAGAAATAAAAGCAGAATCGCCTGTATCTCCGAAAGACAGAAAACCATCAGTTGCTGAACTTGAAATCACACCGGCTGAAAAAGAAATAAAAGCAGAATCGCCTGTTTCTCCGAAAGAAAGAAAACCATCAGTTGCTGAACTTGAAATCACACCGGCTGAAAAAGAAATAAAAGCAGAATCGCCTGTATCTCCGAAAGACAGAAAACCATCAGTTGCTGAACTTGAAATCACACCGGCTGAAAAAGAAATAAAAGCAGAATCGCCTGTATCTCCGAAAGACAGAAAACCATCAGTTGCTGAACTTGAAATCACACCGGCTGAAAAAGAAATAAAAGCAGAATCGCCTGTTTCTCCGAAAGAAAGAAAACCATCAGTTGCTGAACTTGAAATCACACCGGCTGAAAAAGAAATAAAAGCAGAATCGCCTGTATCTCCGAAAGACAGAAAACCATCAGTTGCTGAACTTGAAATCACACCGGCTGAAAAAGAAATAAAAGCAGAATCGCCTGTATCTTCGAAAGAGAGAAAACCATCAGTTGCTGAACTTGAAGTCACACCGACTGAAAAAGAAATAAAGGCAGAATCGCCTGTATCTCCAGCAATATCAGTTAAGGAGGAGAAGGTAGCGATAGAAAAAGTTGAAATCACACTGGCTGAAAAAGAAATAAAAGCAGAATCGCCGGTATCTCCGAAAGACAGAAAACCATCAGTTGCTGAACATGAAGTCACACCGACTGAAAAAGAAATAAAAGCAAAATCGCCTGTATCTCCAGCAATATCAGTTAAGAAGGAGAAGGTAGCGATAGAAAAAGTTGAAATCGCCCCGGCTGAAAAAGAAATAAAAGCAGAATCGCCTGTATCTCCGAAAGACAGAAAACCATCAGTTGCTGAACTTGAAATCGCTCCGGCGGAAAAAGAAATAAAAGCAGAATCGCCTGCATCTCCAGCAGTGTCAGTTAAGGAGCAGAAGGTGGCGGTTGAGAAACTTGAAATCACACTGGCTGAAAAAGAAATAAAAGCAGAATCGCCGGTATCTCCGAAAGACAGAAAACCATCAGTTGCTGAACTTGAAATCGCTCCGGCTGAAAAAGAAGTAAAAACAGAATCGCCTGTATCTCCAGCATTATCAGTTAATGAGAAGAAGGTAGCGATAGAAAAAATTGAAATCGCTCCGGTTGAAAAAGAAATAAAAGCAGAATCGCCTGTATCTCCGAAGGACAGAAAACCATCAGTTGCTGAACTTGAAATCACACCGGCTGAAAAACAGAATCGCCTGTATCTCCGAAAGACAGAAAACCATCAGTTGCTGAACTTGAAGTCACACCGGCTGAAAAAGTAATAAAAGCAGAATCGCCTGTATCTCCGAAAGATAAAGGCAGAATCGCCTGTATCTCCGAAAGACAGAAAACCATCAGTTGCTGAGCTTGAAATCACACCGGCTGAAAAAGAAGTAAAAGCAGAATCGCCTGTATCTCCGAAAGAGAGAAAACCATCAGTTGCTGAACTTGAAATCACGCCGGCTCAAAAAGACATAAAAGCAGAATCGCCTGTATCTCCAGCAATATGTGTTAAGGAGGAGAAGGTAGCGATTGAGAAGCTTGAAATCACACCTGCTGAAAAAGAAATAAAAGCAGAATCCCCTGTATCTCCAGCAATATCAGTTAAGGAGGAGAAGGTAGCGATAGAAAAAATTGAAATCGCTCCGGCTGAAAAAGAAATAAAAGCAGAATCGCCTGTATCTCCGAAAGAGAGAAAACCATCAGTTGCTGAACTTGAAATCACACCGGCTGAAAAAGAAATAGAATAAAAGCAGAATCGCCTGTATCTCCAGCAATATGTGTTAAGGAGGAGAAGGTAACGATTGAAAAGCTTGAAATCGCTCGGGCTGAAAAAGAAGTAAAAGCAGAATCGCCTGTATCTCCGAAAGACAGAAGACCATCAGTTCAAACAGATATTTTGGAAACTGCTATCTCGAAAGTACCTGAACAATCAGGACCGTCGATTGATATTATGTCAGCTGAAAAAGATACATCTTCCGAATCAGTCATTTATCCTATAGTATTTGCAAAAGAAGAAATGTCGTCTGTAACAAGCCATGAAATTATACCTACTAACGTGGAAGATGAGCGTACTGTTGTAGCGAAAGAGGAAGAAATAAGAGAGTTAATCCATGGTGATGCTTCCAAAAGCGAGTCTGGCGTTAAAACTAAACATATTATAATGGAAGCTATTGTGTCCAGCTCAGAGATTGTATCCACCATTGCATTGCCTAGTGAAGGTAAGGAAGATGCTGTGCTTAAGGTATCCGGAATTTTGCAAAGGTTGTCTTCGGATATAGACATTTCTGTAGATGATATCGACAACGGCATTATTATGAAACCTGTTGATAAATCAAAAAGGGAAACGATTTATGAACCAATTTCTGGTGATCAAATTTTAATTGAGACACTAAGCGATGATGATATTGAGGAAGTTAAGGTAATTAGTTCATCTGGTGTTCACAGTGTTTCGGCAAGCGATATTAAAATAGAAAGTGACGATGCAGTTATTGAAAACGAAAGTCAAGTGGTAACTAAAGTAGTTATAGAACATTTACCGTCTGTAGCTGAAAAACCTGAAGTTCAAATGCTGCCCTTAAAGAGTACCGTCACTGACACAATTCCATCGGAGTGCAAACATAAGCGTCGAGATGAAATAGTTTTTACCGATGAAGAAATTAAGAAACGAATGTCACTTGTTGAAGAGCAAATAGAACACGATATTTGTATTAGTAAAAAAGATGAAGATGAATGTATTGTAGTAACTTGTGAACCACTTGCTGATACTAGTCGACCTTGTACTGAACCGATTTGCAAGAAAAAGTTAATAAAAGACGTTGGCCCTGCTCCAGAAAATGTTGATTCAATTGATTTTGCTGAAATGGATGATTCGCAACCCAGGCGGAAGAAAAGTGTCACGTTTACTGACATTGCCCCAGTAGTGATTCCTGTAACGCAAAAAAGTGTAGAAATTAGTTACACCTCTAAATCGCAAATATCAAGTGTCGCTGAAGACAAACAAGTGATAGTAAAAACAGATGATACTAAAGATGTACCACAAAGATTCGATGAAGTATCTCCGATTGAATTATCGACAGTACACTCTCAAAAAGATGCTGAGATATCTTCCGAAATAATTGAAAGCAAATCCGTAGATGAGAAGGCTGAAGATAAAATGACTCCTGATAGCTTAGGAGAGGATATATCTTCTATCACTGAAGACTACGATAAGTCTTCAAGAAAAGTAAGTTTTGATGGGCTAAGTACTGTAAGAGAAGATTTAACATCTGCGACTGAAGTTTTATCAGAGGGCGAGCGAAACGATGATTTTACTGAACTTGAATACGATCAAGATTTGGACGATTATTCACTTTACGATGAAGACACGCATGATAATAAAACTATTACTACTACTAAACCCACAAAAGAAGAAAAGCAATCAGATATTGAGCAGAGTGAACTTCATTTGAAATCACCTGAAAGAGTAAAATCGCCCATTCAAGTAATTACTGAACCGGCAGAAAATTATTTGGACCATCCTGAAGAAGATGTTGTCGAAATTACAAGTGCATTAAAATCAGACGATTCTACAGTTGAAGGCTATAAAACAGATATGACAGATATTACAACAGTTCATGATATGTTAAATGGCGATACATCCGAAGATGATCATTTACTTAGACAAGATGAACATGTGGAGGATTTATCCGAAATAATTACTGAATCACATGAAACACAAGATGATTTTACATCACATACAGCAATCGTGGGAGAAATGCATGAGATGGACGAAGAAACTTACATGAAAGAATCATCTTCAATCTTAGAAGCCCGAGAACTTGAGTCCAAATCGCAAACATGTATAGTTGACGAGTTACATCAAATTCTTCCGGATGAAATTTCTAAGCAAATTTTATCTCAGGAAAGAGCGCTGCAACGAGATTTATTAGACCGAAGTTCAGTTGAAGAACTTAGCATAATTTCTACATCAATGCAAATTGGAAGCCCCGAAACGTATGATGAAAATGGAAAACAATTTAAGAAAGTTATTTTTACCAAAGAATCTGAATTAAGCCTTGACGAATCTATTAAATCGCGCAGATTAAGTAGCTTAGACGGATTGAAAGATTTAGACAGTCATTTAGAAGAAACTGTCGCATCCGATGATATTTCTCAAATAAGTTCTGTAATTCGAAGTGACTCTGCAAAATTCTCTGAAACGGATGCCGAACCAGTTTCTTCTGAAACTGAATCTTCTTACAAATTAGATATTCATTCGATATCTGACAAAGGAATATCTTATGGCAGTAAAATTAAATGCAGTGCAATATATGAAGTAGAATCACCCGAACCAGAAACTCATCATAAACAAATAAAAACGGATGTCTTAAGTACAGAAGCGAAAAGAGATAAGCACAAGTTGCCAGCAATTGTGCAATCATCTATAGATACTAAAGAAAGGACAAAACGTTCGGCCCAAGAAGTCAAAATACGAAAAATACCAACTCGTACACGAACTCCATCTGATAAAGTTCCTGTAGAAAAGAAAAAAGTTTCTCGATATGTGGTTCGCCATGATGACATAGAAATGAAAGCGGATGTGTTGAAGGTCACCATGCATCATGAAACTGAGAGTAAATCAATGAAAAAAACTGAACCTCGACAGAAAAAGTATGTTAAGAAGGAAGTTAAAAAAGAAGTTAAGAAAGAAGTTAAACAAGAATTGAAGACGACCAGGAGTTTTAGCCCTAGTGTAAGGTTACGTCGCACAAAAGTTGAAACAGATACGACTTCCGAAGAATCAAAAGTGTCTCGTAGCTTTAGTCCTGGCACAAGAATACGTCGTCTTAAAGCTGAAAGTGATGCTGATATGAGTTCAGATGATGAACGAAAAGAAGCTACAGCGAAGGTGAAATCATTTAGAAAAGGAAGCCCCAAGTTAACGGGTGATGGAAAAAGTTCTACCCATATTCCAAGATATATTAAATCCCCAGTGAGGAAGACTTATAGTAGTGATAGCACATCCACCGATACAACAACGACTATAATTAAAAAACATGAATATAAAAAGAGATCTCTTCCTATGTCCACCCCACTAGAAATAAAACCATCTCAACCAAAGAAGTACGATAATAGAGTTCATGGTTATATGCAATCTACTGTCTCGAGAGATATGAAGATAGAAAGACATGTTAGAGAGACGTTAACTAAAAAAGTAGATAAAAAACCTAAAGATAAATCAGAGATGGATTTAGAAAAACCAAAAACCTATAAACCGAGATCACGCACTGCTACACCCGAAAAAAAGACTGATAAAGGTAAATCAGAGGATTCAGGTAAGTCCACTCAAAAAAGCACATCCACTAGAATAATTCGTTCCTCCGAAACGTTAAGATATACTAAATCCAAGACAGACAAAGCCAAGTCTTCTACAACTTTACCTAAAGAATCCATGAAAAACGGGTTTCACGAATCTCCACTAAAACCACAAAATATTCCACCCAGAGTTGAAAGTCCAAAACCATCTCCGTCACCAACTAAATTAAAAAGAGTCATTCTCGTTGAAGAACACATCAGAAAATCATCATTAAGCGACAAACTGAAACCGTCCCCCAAACCATCAGAGTCCGAACGCACCGTCCAAGATATCGACACTACTCGAAGCCACTCCGTAACACCATCAACACAACATGAAAAATATCAATCACATCAAATGGAACGCACATCCAGTTGTTCTTCATTACCTGGTAGTCCAATAAGAGTCCATTCCGCAAACGGTTGCACAAAAGTGTTAACATCCGAGGTATTTACAAGAAGTCATGATCGCACAGGATCAATTGAAGTGATTTACAAACAACCGTACGATAACTTAAAGAAATTAGCTTATGGTCTTAGACAGGTGGAATTCTTTGATACCACAGATTCCAGTTTATCCGAATCTGTGGCATTACCCAGTTCTCCGTCAGACCATGATACAAGCTCAGATGTTAATGGAAAGAAATTATCGCCATCTTCACCTAAAAAACATAGGGTTTCAGACTTAATAACCTGTGCGTTAATACCTGAGGATCAAACTCTAGCAGAAGAAATCGAACTACCGAGGAGATTGTTGATGTCCACCGTAACTACATCTCAAGGGCAACAACAACGACATGTGCAAGAGACAGGTATCGCGATTTCTGTGTTGCCCGATCCTGATGTATCAACCCACAGCATGGCTTGCACAGTAAAGAAAGAGGTACAATTTTAAACAAAATTGCCTTTTAGAACAGTTGATTTGTCAATTACACACATCATACCCAAACTAGCACTATTCAGCTTTAATAGTTTGTAGTTTAGTATAGTTAGTCGTATCAGCGCATCAAGGTAAGTAATAAACTTCATCATATTCTCAAAAATTGTGTATATGGCGGCACATAACTTGTACATTATTGTTTAATCATTTCCATTGTTTAATTTCAACAGTGGACTTATTACTTCTCAAATATGGCTAATAAAGTGCCTGCGATAAATATTATGCCTGAAGTAGAAGAAGAAGAAGACGACGATGATAACAACTTGATGAGTTTAATGGATGCACTGACGGATGTTGAGGATTTGGACGATGTTCAACCTAAGCGAACTAGACCAAAACTTTTAATTAAATTACCTCGAAATGATTGTGAGGCATTAACTGATGTTGAAGATATAGAAGGTTCTGATATTGAAGACGAACCTAGGCTCGCTAAACATTCTAGACCGATCAATTTAGATAATGTTTTAGACGATTATGGATATATACATGAATCTTGCGATATGGATAGTAGAGGTGTTAAAGCGAAGTTGCATTCTCAAAAATCATTACCTGTATCTAATAAACGTTTATGTAAAATTGAAGAAGATTTAACAGATATTGAGTATTTCTCTGGAGATGATGAAACACCTCGATCATACATCAAAGATTCTGTATTACCACGTTGTTTTGAAACTTATGATACTGTATCAACTAAGGATTCCATCAAATATGATACGATTGTTGGAGCGTCACCTTCACGATCTCCAATACAAACTAAGCAAAAACAGAAAGGAGAAACGATGAGACTTTCAGCGTCTATGCCACAAATGTGCGACCTTACTGATGTTGAAATGTTAGAATCAGAATATGAAAGCGATGAATCTTTTAAGCCAAAGTCAAAAAAGAATAAGAAACGGCGTGGAAAAAAAGCACCAGTAAGCATTGATAAAGGTCGCACTGCATCTGATCAAGATTGCAAAATTTATTCAACTTGTAACTATTTAGAACCAAAACCTTCAACTAGTAGAAAATGTAAGAAATCTCAAATTGAAATGGATCCAGTTACTGATGTAGAAGAATTAAATGTTAGTCCTAAAAGAAATCAAAAGTTGTTTTATAGAAACGCTTCCCCTAAACGCTTCCAAGTAAAACAATCAACTCAACTTCCAACGCAAGGTTCATCGAAAAAGAGGCAAGCTTTTTCAAAACAAATAGAACCACGCCATGAAAGTTCAGATTCAGATTCAGACGAAAATAAATATCAATCAAAAAAAAGTATAAGAACACAGAATTTGTTTGTATCAAAAATAAATAAAAAAATAACTTCTTGTCCTACTGACATTGAAGATTTCGAATCGTCTGATGATGAAAGTTACAAACACGGAAACTATTTAAAATTGCCCGAAAAATATGTAAGCGCTGATCTAACCGATGAAGAATTTTTAGACGCTGAAAATTACGTCGACACAATTCCTGAAATTATATTACAAGCCTCTAAACGAGAATTAATTCGTATTAAAGAAATTGCTAACAATGCACCTACAGTTTTAATTACTCCGTTAACCGAAGATATTAATATTGGACTTAACTTTTCATCTGTAGAATCAACTGATGTTGAAAGTTTATCAGGGGATGAGAGTTTACTTGCTGAACTTCCTGATATACCAACTTCATCTATAGAATTAGAAAGTGGGAATGTTGAGGAACACGAATCTTTAGTTGGGGGAAGATCTGAACAACATTTAAGACCACCCTCACCGCAAATGCAAGAAATTCTCACCGACACAGAAGATCTTGTAGTAGATGGTAGAAGCAATCTTTTGATGATTTCTAATCCGCATAATCATGGAGGGTTAACCGATACTGAGGATTTATATCTCAGCGATCAGGACAGTAGGAGAATGAAGAAGTCAGCATCACCTATAAGCTTTAGAGATGATTTAACTGACATAGAACAATTTGAAGCATCTGATGATGATAGAAGTGATGTTAATGTTACTGTTAATAACAGGGAAAGATGCTCTACTCCTCTTCACCTCAGAGAAATTGGTGGTGATACTGTTGTTATGAGAGAAGGTCATGGACCGTTTGGAAAACACGAAAGAAAAGTAATGAATAAAACAGTAAAAAAAATGAAGGCTTATTTAAGTGTCGACGCTGATAGTGACGATATAGTTACGTCTTGCGACGATGAATCTCGATCCCCTACTCCAGTTCAAATTTTTAAATCGGTCAAAAATAACAAACCTAAAGTAATGTATTTGAAAGGTGGAAATTTTTCCCAAAATCTTGTAGACATGGAAGATTTTCCCGACGCAGAAGACGATGAGGGAAGAGGGCTAAGGGAAGGTAATAAATACGTAATTGCTAGGTGTGTTAAATCCGTAAAAAAGTACAAAGTTATGTTGCTAGCAAAGGTAAAATCGCGTAAAAATAGTTTTGCATTTTTGACAATGTATTATTTGAATTACGGTTATGAATTTCCTATTAACGCGGAGTGCAAATTTCTTGGGAGGCATAGAAAACTTCCGGAGAGTATTGCTAAGTTGGTTAGTAAATTTGAATCATTAGGCGATTACCAGAGTCACAGCTACCAAAATCCAATGGCCAGATTTTTAAGGGTAAAGTCTAATTGTGGTTTTATGTGTGGATCAATAAAGGAAAAATGTTACAATCAACTTACAGGTAAACTTTGAGTGAATCTTTTAGTATTAGGGTGTGTTGTAGTAGCATATATTTAGTTATAATTAAATGCTTTAAATAATATCTGATAAAAATATGGTTTATACAATGTGATTTTTTTATAGAATGGAAGGCTACCGACCGAATTTCCAAAGAAAAGCCCACTGCACCAATAGAAGAAGAAGCCGTGCAAGGTAGGCACTATCTATTTTATGTCAAAACAAAGTGATTTTTTTAAGATTAAGTGATAAACAATCGCAGGTATATCGAAACGTGTAGGAGCATATCCATTGTTTCTTTAATTTCTTTAATTCATTAACATTCTTTTTAATTTTCCCGGGTAACCAATGTTTATTTTGGTTTTTCTTAAGTTTTCGGGTTATAAATCCAGAGAATGCTAAATGTTTGCTAACACAAATAACGACTGCAGCAATTACATTGCCGCATGCAAGTCATCATAACACCCCACTCCCAATCTCCTTCAATTCAATTTACCCTTACCGATTTTATTTTTGTTTTCACTAGCATGCCAGCATGTGCACTTAAATACAGAAAATTACTACCTTAATAAAAAAACAACTAACGAATTAATTAACATCCTAATAAATCAGTAGTCATTCAAGCACTAAGCTTCTTTTTGTATTCTTTGTGAGAGTCCAACCCATTGCTTCAAGCTACTAAAGCTTCGCTTGAGGTTCTGGTTTATAACTTACCCTTTAAGACTTTATTTTCCTCATTCACTCTCATCATTACAATCGCAACATTTTAAACGATAAATTTATGACGATATTAGTCGAAAGGTTTAATCGAATTTTGAAAACGTTTAAACATAAAATATTCTTACTACAATTTATAAGGTTAATGCACTTCAGTCGTCCAAAAACGTGTTTATTAATTTGTTTTGTAGCAGATACAAACCCAACGGATACAAGCTGCCTTACGTATGAAAGTGTCTTATTAAAGAACGTAAATCGCAATTATCCCGATCCCGTACAAAAAACCCTTTCCTATAGCCACATCGACGCGATGCTTGATAAAATGTTATCGGAAGTTGAAAAGACTGAAAAATTATTTTCTTTGGATCTTGATGTTTTAGATCAAGATAAATGCATCAATACGTTAGAATTAGTCCCAACGACCGATGCTCTAATCGAAATTCCTATTAAAAAAACTTATGAAAGTACCCATCAAATCAAAATTCTTGAGGATTCTCCCTCTAATCATGATGATTTCGCCACTGTTATATTCAGCAATGTAAATAATAATCAAAAGTTATCGAATAACTATGATCTTATTGATTTTAAAGAAACATCAACCAATTATAAAGGCGATTTAGAGCACATACAAAAATCGATAGACAAACTTATAATGGAAGTAGAACACGATGAGTCCCAAATGTTATTAGATGATATGAGCGAAAAAGATTATTTGGAAAGTATCATTTTTGTTAATAGTAACTATCAAAGAGCGTCAAGTGAAGAAAGCTTAAAAGACAGCTCTGAATCATCTACGGATAGTTGGGAAAATAACATCCAAGATTATGAACCAATTGATTTTTGTAAGCACTCGAAATACACATCGTCTCAACCTCGATCCGATGTTTGGTACGAAGGGGTTTATAGAAATTTGAGTATTGTCCCAGAAGAAGACGAAGAAAATGTTAGTTTAATTGGTTCCACTTCAAATAAAACCCATTATAAAAATTATGAACCAATCGATGTTGATGTTCCTTTATATCCACTACCAATAAATCGTACGATTTCTGACGAATCCGAATCAGATTCAAGTAACGGTGTCAATGATTTCCCACGTTATCCCGTAAAAGAAAATGTTATTAAAGCTGAAATCAAACTTTTAGTAAAAACCACAGAGCGCGGTAAGGAAGCTATAGAAATTCATTCCGTTAAAGAATTCGTTGAAAATTCTTACAACAAAAAGACTGATGATATATTTATGAAAAGATCTAAAACGTTACCTGCTCGGCAAAGCATTAAAGAAAAGTTTTCCAAAAAATATTCCGACTCTTGTTTTGACATAAGGTGTACTTCTAAGGAACAAGTTCCCATTTTTACTTTACCCAGAGTTTTTGTTAGAGCATCGAATTCGTCGAAGGACAATAAAATTTACGCCACACCAACTAAACATTTTCCATTGCATTATAATTACGAAGAAAACACCGATCTAATCCCAATCAAAACCCCTATCGATTTATACGCAAATACACCGTTTAAACCATGTTATTCCCGAGTACAGAGCATTCCCGTTCCTCAAGCCTATTGCGATTGGGTACTGCAAAACCACGGCACAGGAGGTAACGTTGCTCTTGTTTCCTTTGTCCGTTCTACACTCATACGCATGGGTTGATTTGTTTTTGTAGTTAGCTTACGTTTTTCTTGACTAATTCATTTGGGGACACAAAGATGATGCATTAACCGCATAAACTGGAAATTGCAGTAAGGATATTTCTCTTTAGAGATGGTTAAGGTAGTGGTTTGGTAGTGTAGTATTGCTTGTTGGAAACGCATGTTCTTGCAGGACTACATCCGACATCGACCGCGAAATATTTAGCTAGCTCCGAAGAATTATCGCTTGATTCGCCGAAAACCGATAAACCGCTTACGAACGATAACGATCCGCTCCGCCAATCAAACGTTATTGACGATGCCGATCATCAATTAAAAGCTCGTAGCAGAGATTCTAGCAGAGAAGACGTGAGTAAAAGTGACGACAAGAAGTCTAAACGAGGCTTCTTTGGAACTTTACGCAGTATGGTTAGTAAATCACAAGATCGATCCGATTCCGAATCAGAAAAGACCCAAAAGAAAGATAAGAAAAAGAAGAAAGACAAAAAGAAAAAGCACCCACCAATGGAACCGCCAGAAAGACCACCACGTAAACCAAAATTACCAACACCGCCACCGTTACATGTTGATGACCGACCAGAATTCCGTGACATTCCATTTGTAGAATGTTCACCTCAAGATTCAGAACCTCCATTTAAAATAACTGCTTCGACAGTTCCCACTGCACCAGTATCAGAAGAAATTAAATCTGTAGCTAACGATATTGTCACTGATGTTATTACTACAAGTGAACAAACTGCAACAAATATTATCCAAAACGGTAGTACCCCTGGAAAACAGGTGATAATAAAAGAAGAATTGACAAAGAGAGTAGAACCAAAAATATACGAAAGAGGAGAATTTCATATTGTTGTATCTCCCACATCGCCACCTAAAACTAAAGATTTCTTTAAAACCCAAATGGAAGAAACAATACCCGATAATTCTAAACCGCCTATAAGACCTATAAGAAAGAAAGAACACATTTACGAGGATATAGAAGACCCTCATGATATCAAAAAACTTACCACGAACCTCATCCAAAATGAGATAAACTTTTCTGGATGGGCAGATGATCGCTACAATGTATACAAACCTCAAGACATTAAAGAAAGAACGCAATCGCTAAAACGAGAGAAAAAGCAAGGAAAACTCTTTGGATTTTTGGTCAAAAAATCCTCAAAAGACGTTGAAGACTCAGATACAGAAAAAGAAATAATCGAAAAACAAGATAGAGAACCATCTAAAGAAAGAGTAGTGAAACCTGATCCATCAGACGATGAAGGTACAGATAAAAAAGGCGGCTTCTTTGGAATCTTCGGTAAGAAGAGCAAAAAAGAAGAACAAGATGAAAAACTTGACGTTGGCAAAGAAGAATCGAAGAAAGACCAAGGGAAAAAGAGCGATATTGAAGATACCATATCTCCTACAGAAATCACATCAACGACACTTGATAAACCACAAGAAACAAAAGGAGAAGTTATCTCAGAAGAACTGAAAGATAAGCGAAAAGTTAAAAAAGAAAAAGTTCAAAGTGAATCCGAAGATGAGTCTGAAAGTAAAAAGGGTTTATTCGGATTCTTCGGAAAGAAGCCTAAAAAAGAAATAAAAGATGAAACCGAAAAAATCATTCTTTCCGAAGAAGTAATAAAAAACATGAAAGATACCACGGAATTTTTAAATCAAGAAGTTGAACATTTCGACGATGTTAAAGTTATTGTTTCAACTCCACCTCCTATTGAATTAGAAAAGTCGCAAAAAATTATCAAACCAAAAGAAGAACCAACTAAGAAACCCCCGAAGAAATCGAAAAAGAAACCAGATAAACGAGATTCAAGCATATCTGATGATGAACCTGAATCATCACGAAAATCTGGTTTATTCCATATCTTTGGTAAAAAGAAACGTGATAAATCCGTTGAGAAACCTGCCAAATCTGTGTCTCAGCCTAAAATATCTGAAGAAGTAGTTAAACAGATAGTAGAAACTAACAATTTTCTACATAACGAAGTACAAGCGTATGATGATGCAAAACCAATTAAAGGATTCCCGAAAATTGAATTAAAACCAACTGAGAAAAGTGAGAAAAATGAACCGGATATTACAGTTATAACAACTGTAAAAACGACAGTTGAAAATTATACGCCTGATGTGGACAAACCTGAAAAAGCGATAAAAGAAATTGAAATATTTGAGAAAGTACAAACTGTAGAACGAAAGATTGTCACCGAACCTATTATTGCTAAAGAAGTTGTTACCTTAGATGATATTCAAAAGAAAACGCCGAAACCAACAGAAAAAACTGTCAAAATTAAGGTAGATGATGTTACAATTTTATCGCCTCAAAAAGATGAACGAAAAGAAATTGAAGTATCAAAAGAAATTGTTATTCCAAAGGCTAAAGAGATAAACAAAGAAGTTTTAATGGACATGATATCGTCATCTAATTTCCTTAAAGATGAAATTGAACATTTTGATGATGTTAAGGATGTTGTAAAGAAGGATGAAATTCAGAAGAAATCTAAAGATAAACAAGAAATAAGTGAGTCGCCTAAAAAGAGTGGATTTTTAGGGTTGTTTGGTAAAAAGCAAACTAAAGATGAAGAAAAATTAGAAGATAAAAAAGAAGTTAAAGAAGAACCTAAAAAGGAAGTTAATGAAGAAATTAAAAAAGAAGTTAAAGAAGAAATTAAAAAAGAAGTTAAAGAAGGAATTAAAGAAAAAAGTAAAGAAGAATTAAAACCAATAATTGAAGATAAACAGTCTGAAGAATCACAAAAAGCAATTAAATCTTGTGACAGTTTTCTACAAGATGAAATTATGCGATTTGATGATGTTCGCCAAATCATTACTGAAAAAGTTGCCACTAAAGATGATGTTTTAATAAAAGAACATATTGTCCCAGACAAAGCCACCAAAGATAAAAAAGATGTAACTGATGAAGAAAAAGAATCGAAAGGATTATTTTCAATCTTTGGTAAGAAAGATAAATCAAAAGAAAAAGTTATCAAACTTGATGAAGTCGATAAAACAAAGATCGTGGAAGGAAAACCGGTCTACTCCAAAGAATTTTTAATTACAATGAATGGAACTGATTCATTCCTAACTAATGAAGTATCTAAATTTCATGATGTAAAGTATTCCCCCAAAAAAGAACTCGTGGAAACACCTATTATTAAATCGGTGGCTAAAATTCCTGAATTAGTCACGAAGGCAGAACCGAAAAAAGATTTGGACAACAAAAAGAAAGAACAAGAGATTAAACCAAATCTCGAATATACAGATGACTTTAAATTGGTGCTAAAAGATACCGAAACATTCTTGGCAGATGAAGTTAATCGCTTTGATGACGTACAGGAAGTAATAACAAAGGATGTTGAGAAAGACGATACATTAAAAAAGAAAAAGAAAGTTAAGAAGAGTAAGAAAGACTCCGTTGAATCTGGAGATGAAAGCGACTCTGGTAAATCTGGAGGATTTTTCAAATTGTTTGGAAGAAAGGATAAAAAAGAGAAAACAGAGAAGGAGAAAATGGAAAAAGAAAAACCAGAAAAACCTATAGTTGAAGAAAAGCATGAAATTGTTCTCAAAGAAGAAGTTAGTCAAGTGAAAGATGAAGGTCCCAAAGAAAAAATTAAAGAAGACAAAATAATTGATACTAAAACACCAAAAGATGTTGTATACACAGAAGAATTCAAACAAATACTTACGAACACTAATAATTTCTTAGACACTGAAGTAAAGAACTTCGAAGATGTGAAATATGTCGTAAGTAAAGAAAAAGATTCATCCCCTGAGAAGAAGTCGAAAAAACCAAAGAAAGGGAAACGTGAAAGCAGTGAATCAGGGGATGAAAGTGACACTGGGAAAACAGGAATATTTAAATTCTTTGGAAAGAAAGATAAGAAACCTAAAGAAGATAAACTTGAAAAACCAATTACTGAGTTAAAAGAGGAAACCATTACACCTAAATTAGAAATACCACTAGAAAGAGTACCATACACCGAGAAATTTAAGGAAATGTTGTCAAATACAAATAATTTCCTTGATAATGAAGTGAAGAATTTCGAAGATGTGAAATGCGTAAAGAAAGATAAAGATGAATCATCACCTGAAAAGAAATCAAAAAAGAAATTAAAGAAAGGAAAAAGAGAAAGTAGTGAATCAGGTGAAGAGAGTGACACAGGAAAATCAGGATTATTTAAATTCTTTGGAAAGAAAGAGAAAAAAGTTAAAGAAGACCCCGAAATTAAAGAAAAATTATCGGAAGTTGAGGAAATTAAAGTTGTAACTTCAGAACCCGACAAAGATTTCCAAGAGGCCCTTAAAAACACAAGCGCATTCTTATCCGATGAAATTACTCATTTCGATGATGTTAAGGAGGTTGTAACAAAACCCGCTGAAGAAATCGTGCCACAAAAGGAACACAAAAAAGAGAAAAAACAAAAAGGAATTAAACGCGATAGTAGTGAATCTGGTGAAGAAAGTGATAGTGGAAAATCTTCAGGATTTTTCAAAATTTTTGGTAAAAAGGATAAAAAGGAGATCGATATTAAACACCCAGAGGAGTTAGAAGAAGAAGTCACCGAAAAAGTGGAGAAAACTGAGAAGCTCGTACGCCAATCCAGCAAGAAAAAATCGAAACAAAAAGGTGAAGATGATCAATCTAAATCTTTCTTTGATATATTCGCAAAGAAAGATAAGCAAGATAAAAAATCATCAAAAATAATTCCACCACCGTTATCAGACGAAGTTATCAAAAACATGAACGACACCAAAGACTTCTTAAAATTAGAAGTGGATAACTTCGATGATGTTAAAACTTCTCCAGTTATTAAATCTGATATAGCTGTTGATGCTAAAATGACAATTGCTGAAATAACCAAAAGTATGGAGCCGAAAATTTACGAAACCGAAGACTTTAAGTTCGTGATATCACCTGCAAAAGAAACAAAAACCAAAGAGTTTTCTTTAAATATTAATGAAGCCATCGAAAAGATGGAGAAAGAAATATTATCCGCCAAACATTCCGAATTACCAATAGCTGATGATATCCCAGTTTTAAGCATGAAACCCTTAGAAGATGCTTACGAAGAAGTCGTCGTTTCACAGCGGCCCACAAAATTAATAGACCAAACAAGCACAATTGTTAAAACGCAAGTTATTAAATTCGCCGACACCAGCGCTCCACCACCTCTTAGCGAAGAAGTTGTCAAGAACATGATAAACACAAGTAATTTCCTCAATCAAGAAATTTCTCATTTCGAAGATGTTAAACCCATCGTAAAGAAGGAAGATACTGATGTGGAATCAGACAAGAAAAAACGTAAAGTTAAAAGAGAGAAGAGTATTGATGATGGTAAAAAATCAGGATTTTTCGGTCTGTTTGGTAAGAAAGAAAAGAAAGTAGACGAAAAAGATGTAGATATTGAAAAGAAAGTAACTCCAACTTCTGAACAAATCTCCGTGACAACAAAAATTAGTGAAGAGGTACCAAAAGAAGTTAAAGTAACGAAAGAAGATGTAAAAAAAGATGCAATTCCAACGGTTTTGGAATTCACTGAATCTGTGCATTTAACAAATAATTTCTTAAACGATGAAATTAAGAACTACGAAGATGTAAAACCGATTGTAAAAGATAGTAAAACAACTGAGAAAGATGTTGCACCAGATTATCAAGAACAAAAAGAGGATAAAGCTAAAGGAAAATCAATCTTTGGATTATTCAGTAGGAAATCGGAGGAAAGAACGGATCCTGAACATGAAAAACCCTCTATGAAGGAAAAACGAGAACGTAGAAAAAGCGGAAGTCCTTTCCGAATCTTCTCCAAAAAATCAAAGGAAGAAACCATCAAAACAGAACCAACTAAAACAGTTGGTATGTCCGAAGAAGTCGTTCATGATATTTTTGAAACTAAAAATTTTTTGAGTACAGAAATTTTGCGTTTCGACGATGTTAAAGTGGTAGCAGAAAAAGTTGAAAGTCAAAGAAAAGAGGACTCGAAAAAAGTTGCTTTTGCAAAATCACCTGTAGCTGATGATATACCGGAAATGCAACTAACAGAAAAAGTTATTGTTGTTATTAGAGACGAAATTCCATCAACAACAGAAATCAAAATCGATGAGTCAAAGGTACCAGAAGAAGAAAGTATTTTAGATAACCTAACTAAAGAATACAAAGAATTAGAAACAAGCATTACAACTTCTGTACAAAAAGTTTCAGATGTTGAGATAAAACCAGATATTTCAAAAGTATCCAAGAAACCTGGAAGTTTCCTTAGTAAATTAGGGGATAAAATTGCAGGAAAACCTAAAGAAGAAATTGATGATATAAAACAAGACCTCTCTGAATCTAAAGAACTTACTAAAAAAGAGGTGAAAGAAAAAATTGCATCATTAAATACTCAGATATCTCAAGAACTTGACACAATGCAAACCAAAATTGACGATCAAATAACATCGTTAAACGATGAATTAACACAGCAAAAAGATATCACTACTGATGACTTAAAGAAGAATGTAACAGTAACAGAAAAATCTTGGGAAACAACAACTGAAGATGGAGTAAAAACTGTTACCACTATCAAAGAAACCTCTACAGAAATAATTCAAGAACTTAAAGATGGACTCACAAAAGTCATCGAAACCGGCAAAGAAATACCAACTGCACCCATAACAGAGTTAGAGAAAGGAATTAAGCTTGAAACTGAGGATGTATCAGATACAGAGATTCCCTCATTATCAGTCGATTTAGATCAACTCGACAAAACGAAACAAAAAGATAAAAAGAAAAAGAAAGAAAAGCGTAAATCCGGAGGATTCTTTAGTAAGTTTGGAGATAAAATTTCTGGGAAATCAAAAGATATAGAGCAAGCCCTAGATGAGACACAAAAATCTGTTGAAGATGCTTCAAAAGATGTTGATAAAAAGCTTTCGGATGCTGAGAAAAAAATAACAATGGAAATTGATGAAGCTATTAAGGATGTAGATGAAACCATTTCTAAAAAAGTTGATGATTTATCAACCACCGCTCAACAAGAAAAAGATAAAATTATAAAAAGTGAAAATATTGAACTCAAACTTGAGGAACCTCAAATATCTGATGTTGCTGATAAAATGTTGGAGACGTTTGAAGTTATACAACCTCATCCTCAAATAGAAATGAAAGAGAAAAGTGATGATTTTATATCTCAAGAAAAATCCGATGCACTTGCTCCTCAAATACAAACAACTGCAACTACAGTTACTGAAGAACCATCAGAACCAACACCAAGCAAACGAAAGGATAAGAAACATAAAGAACGCAAAAAATCTGGAGGTTTCCTTACAGGATTAGGAACTAAAATATTTGGTACTAAAGACAAATCAAAACAAGCTGCAGAAGAGGAATCTTCGGTGATGGATGTGGAAACAAAAACGTTAATGGACGCTGTAAAAGAAGGAACCGATGAATTACTGGCAAAGAAAGATGATGTAAAAACCGATTTAAAAGAAAAGAAAATGCAATTAAAAGATAATGTAGAAGAAATTGACAAAGAGTTAAAAGAAGATGTTAAGGAAGCACAAAAACAATTTGATGAAAAAACAAAACAATTAACAGAAGAAGGAGAATCACTACTTGATAAGTTAAGAAAAGAAATTGCAGCAGAAGGAAATGAAATAAAAGAAGCTATTAAGGAATCAAGTACAACTACAAAAGAAAGTATTAAAGATGAAATTTTAGACAAAGCAGATAAAGGCAAAGATGAAGTAAAAGAAAAAGGCGAACAAATCGGCGGTATCATCACAGACTTAACTCAAAAAGTAAAGAGTGGACAAGATACCATCGAAAAAGAAGGCACATCTTTAATTTCTACTTTGGGAGAAATAACCTTTGGAACAACAGAAAAAGTAGAAGATGATAAAATAACAACTTCAACGCGTAAAGAAGAAATACTCTTTAAAAGTGAAGTTATTGATGACAATCTTTCGAAAAAAACACAATCAGTTGGTGATAAATTACAAAAAGAAATTCAAAAACAGGCTGAAGATTTAGACAAATCTATCAAAGATATATCTCAGAGTATGAAAGAAGGAAAAGGGGAAATAGACAAAGCTGTGGAAAAAATATCTGAAACGACCAAGGAAAGTGTTGATACAATAGGAGGGGTTCAACAACCTGGAGTGACTTTAAAAGATGATGTGGCAATTTCAGACATAAAACAAACTACGATAGATACAACAACTGATATCATAAATGAGGCGAAAGAATCTACTCAAAAAAGTAAAGGAAAAGTTAAACAAAAAACCAAAAAGGCTGTTAAAGGGGCTGGTTCTTTCTTTTCTAACCTCGGCGGAAAAATATTGGGAACAAGTGAAAAAGTTAAAGATAATGTAAAATCGGGTATTGAAGAAGCTAAAACAACACAAGAGACACTGAAAGAAGATTTAACCGATAAAGTTAAAGAAGCTAAAGATTCTGCAAGTTCAAAAGCAACCGATGTTAAAACTAGTGTTGAACATAGTGTGGCAGATTTAAAAACAAATATATCTGATGTTAAAGGAGATGTTCTAGAATCTGTTTCAAAAGCTAAAGAAGAAACAGAATCATCAATTGGAAAAACTAAAGCAGGTCTTGTAGAAAAAGTTCAAGATCTTTCAGAGCTGGGTAAAAGTAAAGTTGATGGTGGTAAATCATTGATGGGAGATATTAAAGATCAAGTTGTTAAAGATACTACAACAACTATCGAGAAAGGAAAAGGTATTGCAACGGATGTTAGTAAAGGAATGCAAGATCTAGCTCAAGACACCACAGAAGGCCTTAAAGATACTTTATCTACAACAAAAGAAGCTGCTGGTACAAAATCAAAAGAAATCGGGGAAGCATTACAAGAAAAAGCTGATAAAACTCATCAGTCGGTGCAAGAAGGTGCTGATAAAATCAAGAGTGATGCTGAGAAAGTTTCGGAAGAAACTAGTTCATTCTTTTCAGGTATTGGAGGAATGTTACTAGGGTCAGGTGAGAAACTGAAAGATGATGTAACTACCAAATCTACCGAAATTATGACTGCAGCCGATGATAAATTAAAATCTGGTGTTGAAACCATCGAAAAACAACAACAAAAGGTTTCCACAAAAACAGAGCAGATTTTGGATGTTTCAAAAACTGCAATTGATGATACTAAAAAATCGATTAAAGATGAAACCACTAAAGATGCTAAAGCTGCTGTTGATAAAGGAAAAGAAGTTGCAACGGAAAAAGCTACAGATATTAAAAGATCCATTACCACCACACAAGAACTATTCACGACAAAATCAACAGAAATGGGTAAAGAAATCCAAGAGAAAATTGATGACACCAAAGAATCCATGGAAAAAGGTAAAGAACAAATCAAAGACGATACTGATAAAATGGTGAAAGAAACTGGTTCGTTCTTTTCAAGTCTAGGTGGAATGATCTGGGGATCAGGACAAAAAGTAAAAGACGACATCAGTAGCAAAACTACAGAAGTAATAACTGCAATTGACGATAAATTAGAATCTGGTGTTTCAAAAGTACACGATGGGGTAGTTACAAAAGGAGACGACTTTGTAGACGCTACAAAAAATAAAATCGAAGAAGTTCAAACTGTAGCAAAAGATCTAAAAGATGATGCTGCGAAAGAATCAAAAGCTGCCCTCGATAAAACAAAAAGTGTTGCAACAGATATTAAAGATGGGCTAACTTCAACAAAAGACTTCGTTACCACAACAACAACACAAATTCAGGATAAAGCCGGTGACACCAAAGAAAAAATTTTATTATCAGGAGAAAAATTGAGTGATGACATTCGCACAAAAGCAACGGAAACAGTAACCACACTGGATGAAAAAGTTAAATCCGGTATTGAAAGCGGTGAAAAACAAATGCAAAAGGTAGCTGGAAAGGTCGAAGATACTGCAAAGTCCGGAAAGGCCAAATTGGATTCTTTAACCAAAGATACACAACAAAAAGGACAACTAATTGCAGATAAAGCAGGAGATAAAATCAAAGAAACGACTCAAAAAGCCGATTCCTTTGTATCTTATCTCGGAGAAAAAGCAACAGGACTCGGCGAGGATATTGACACTACCAAAGATGTTGTCGCTGCAAAATCTACAGAAATTAGTAAAACAGCACAAGAAAAACTTGACGATACTAAACAATCGATAAAAAAAGATGTTGATAAACTGAAAAGTGATGCGGATAAAGCATCTAAAGAAACAAGCTCATTCCTATCCGGAATAGGTGACATGATCTGGGGATCTGCAGATAAAGTTAAAGATGATGCTGAGAAGAAACATACCGAAATAACAAACATTGTAGATGATAAAATACAATCTAGCGTAGAATGGCTTGAAAAAGAACGAGAAGATGTGGTTAAAAAAGCAGAAATGGTTAAAGATGCGAAGGAACAAATTGTTCAAGAAAGCAAAGCTGCGGTTGACTCAGGAAAAGATAAAACTAAGGAAACATCTCAAACAGCTGCTTCTTTCGCGTCGCATTTTGGTGAAAAAACTAAGGATTTAGGAACAGACATTAAAGATCTTACCACTAAAAAGTCAAAGGAAATTGGTACAGCAATAGAAGAAAAAGTTGCCGATACCAAAGAATCAATACAAAAAGGTACAGATACACTTAAAGAAGACGCTGAAAAAGCAGCGAAACAAACTAGTTCATTCTTCTCTAGCATAGGCGACCAAGTTTGGGGAACCGGAGAAAAAGTAAAAGATGATATCAGTGCCAAAGGCAAAGAATTAGCTGACAAGGTAGATGAAAAGATTAAGTCGGGTGTTGAAACCACTGAAATGCAACAGCAAGTTATAGCTGATAAAACTAAAGAACTTAAAGAAGCAGGAAAAAGTAAAATTGAAGATGCTAAAACTGCTGTCAAGGATATAAAGGAAGAAATTTCTGGAGAATCTAAAGCAGTCATCGATAAAGGAAAAGGAGTTGCAACTGATGTTACTGACAAAGTGAAAGACAAAGGTAAAGAAACAAGTCAAAAAGCAGCTTCCTTTGTATCGCATCTAGGTGAAAAAGCGTCAGAAGTTGGTGCAGAAATCAAAGATAGTGGTAGTGCTGCCGCCACAGATATTTCTAGCAACATCAAAGATAGCGTATCTGTGGCTGGTGAGAAGTTAGCTGAAACAAAGGAATCAATACAAAAAGGTACAGATAAACTGAAAGACGACGCAGAAAAAGCTGCGAAGCAAACGGGTTCATTCTTCTCTAGCATAGGTGGACAAATTTGGGGAACAGGAGAAAAAGTAAAAGATGATATTAGTACCAAAGGCAAAGATTTGGCAGACAAGTTAGATGACAAGATTAAATCAGGTATTGAGATCCCTGAAAAGCAACAGCAAGCTATGGCTGATAAAGCTAAAGAACTTAAAGAAGAAGGAAAAAGTAAAATTGAAGATACCAAAACTGCTGTCAAAGATATAAAAGAAGACATTATTACAGAATCTAAAGCAACCATTGATAAAGGAAAAGCAGTTGCAACCGATGTTACTGATAAAGTGAAAGACAAAGGTAAAGAAACAAGTCAAAAAGCATCTTCCTTTGTATCGTACCTTAGTGAAAAAACTTCAGAAGTTGGTGCTGAAATCAAAGATACTAGCAGTGCTGCTGCAGCAGATATTTCCAGCAAAATCAAAGATAGCGTATCTGTAGCTGATGAGAAATTATCAGATACAAAAAAATCGATACAAAAAGGTACAGATAAACTCAAACACGACACCGAAGATGCAGCGAAACAAACTAGCTCCTTTCTCTCCAGCATAGGTGGACAAATTTGGGGAACAGGAGAAAAAGTAAAAGATGATATCAGTTCCAAAAGCAAAGATTTAGTAGATAAGGTAGACGAAAATATTAAATCAGGTGTTGAGAGCACTGAAAAGCAACAGCAAGCTATGGCTGATAAAGCTAAAGAACTTAAAGAAGCAGGAAAAAGTAAAATTGAAGATACTAAAACTGCTGTCAAAGATATAAAAGAAGACATTATTACAGAATCTAAAACAACATTCGATAAAGGAAAAGGAGTTGCAACCGATGTTACTGATAAAGTGAAGGATAAAGGAAAAGAAACAAGTCAAAAAGCATCTTCCTTTGTGTCGTACCTTGGACAAAAAGCTTCAGATGTTGGTACTGAAATCAAAGATACCAGCAGTGCTATTACAACAGATATGTCTAGCAACATCAAAGATAGTGTATCTGTAGCTGGTGAGAAGTTAGCTGACACAAAGGAATCGATACAAAAAGGTACAGATAAACTCAAAGACGACGCCGAAAAAGCTGCGAAGCAAACTGGTTCATTCTTCTCTAGCATTGGCGGACAAATTTGGGGAACAGGAGAAAAAGTGAAAGATGATATTAATGCCAAAGGCAAAGATTTGGGAGGCAAGTTAGATAGCAAGATTAAATCAGGTGTTGAGAGCACAGAAAAGCAACAGCAAGCTATGGCTGATAATGCTAAAGAACTTAAAGAAGTAGGAAAAAGTAAAATTGAAGTTACTAAAACTGCTGTCAAAGATATAAAAGAAGATATTTCTACAGAATCTAAAGCAATCATCGATAAAGGAAAAGAAGTTGCAACCGATGTTACTGATAAAGTAAAAGACAAAGGTAAAGAAACAAGTCAAAAAGCATCTTCGTTTGTATCGTATCTTGGTGAAAAAGCTTCAGAAGTTGGTACTGAAATCAAAGATAGTAGTAGTGCTACTGCAACAGATATTTCTAGCAACATCAAAGATAGTGTATCTGTAGCTGGTGAGAAGTTAGCTGATACAAAGGAATCGATACAAAAAGGTACAGATAAACTCAAAGACGACGCAGAAAAAGCTGTGAAGCAAACTGGTTCATTCTTCTCTAGCATAGGCGGACAAATTTTGGGAACAGGAGAAAAAGTTAAAGATGATATCAGTGCCAGAAGCAAAGATTTAGCAGATAAGTTAGATGAAAAGATTAAATCAGGTGTTAAGAGCACTGAAAAGCAACAACAAGCTATGACTGATAAAGCTAAAGAACTTAAAGAAGCAGGAAAAAGTAAAATTGAAGATACTAAAACTGCTGTCAAAGATATAAAAGAAGACGTTATTACAGAATCTAAAGCAACCATCGATAAAGGAAAAGAAGTTGCAACCGATGTTATTGATAAAGCAAAGGACAAAGGTAAAGAAACAAGTCAGAAAGCATCTTCCTTTGTATCGTACCTTGGAGAAAAAGCTTCAGACGTTGGTGCTGAAATCAAAGACAGTAGCAGTGCGGTTACAACAGATATTTCTAGCAACATAAAAGATAGGATATCTGTAGCTGGTGAGAAGTTAACGGACACAAAGGAATCGATACAAAAAGATACAGATAAACTCAAAGACGACGCCGAAAAAGGTGCGAAGCAAACTGGATCATTCTTCTCTAACATAGGCGGACAAATTTGGGGAACAGGAGAAAAAGTAAAAGATGATATTAGTGCCAAAGGCAAAGATTTGGCAGACAAGTTAGATGACAAGATTAAATCAGGTGTTGAGAGCACTGAAAAGCAACAGCAAGCTATGGGTGATAAAGCTAAAGAACTTAAAGAAGCAGGAAAAGGTACAATTGAAGATACTAAAACTGCTATCAAAGATATAAAAGAAGATATTACTACAGAATCTAAAGCAATCATCGATAAAGGAAAAGGAGTTGCAACCGATGTTACTGATAAAGTGAAAGGCAAAGGTAAAGCAACAAGTCAAAAAGCATCTTCGTTTGTATCGTATCTTGGTGATAAAGCTTCAGAAGTTGGTGCAGAGATCAAAGATAGTAGCATAGATACTAAAGAATCGGTACAAAAAGGTGCAGATAAACTCAAACACAAGGCTGACAAAGGAGCAAAAGAAACTACTTCATTCTTTTCAAATCTTGGTGAAAAAATATTTGGATCTTCAGAAAAGATAACGGATGAAATCGGTACCAAATCTGCAGAAATGGCCACAGTATTAGATGATAAAACTAAATCTGCAACAGCAAAAGCCCAAGAATTAACTGATACTGGAAAAGGTAAAATTGAAGGAGGTAAAGCAGCAGCGTCACAATTCATACAAGAAGCTGGCGAAAAACCTCAAACTGTAATCGACAAAGGAAAGACCGCTACATCAGACATTGGAGATATAATAAAAGATAAAGTAAAAGATGCAAATCAGAAAGCTGCAACATTTGTTTCTTATATTGGTGATGAAGCAAAGGAGTTAGAAACATCCGTTCAAAGCAAAACTGATGATATGATCGGTTCCCTAAAATCTAAAATAGAAAACGTCGAACACCAAAAGCAAACAGTTGTATCTAAAGCCGAAGAAATTTCAGAACTAGGAAAAGAGAAATTTGAAGATAGCGCAACATTTATGAAAGATATGAAACAAACTATTGACGAGGAATCGGCAAGACTACAACAACAATTTCATGTTACCTCACCAAAACAAGTAGAAATGTCCAGCTCATCTTTTATAGATATCGAAAAACAATTTTCTGAACCAATTCAAAGAAAAGATAACGTAACTACTCCCATCGGTGCAGCAATTATTGATACAAAACTCACTACTGATAAATCTAAGCATTCAGAAGAACCGATTACCCATAAAGAGGAAGATATTGAAGGAAAAAAGAAAGGTAAATCGAAAGGTAAAGGTAAAAAAGGTGCAAAAGGTGTAGGATCATTTATTTCTAATTTGGGTAGCAAAATTTTGGGGTCAGAAAAAATTAAAGGAAGTGAAATCAGCGATAAACCTACAGAAAAATCAACAACTGCAGTTGACGCAAGCCCACCTATTCAAACATCAACAGCGGAAGAAATATTAAAAGATAATATCAAATCAAAAACTTTCGAACTTTCATCAGCTATGGATGAAAGTATATCATCTGCTGAAGTATTAAAAGATAAAACATCTAGTCAAGTTTCTAAAACTGTTGATACTATTGATAAAGCAACAGAATCAATATCCAAAGAAACAAAAGAAACAAAGCAAACACTAGAAGGTAAAATATCTCAATTAAGAGGAGGTGCAGAAGAGAAAACTCAAGAGGCAAGTGAAAAACTAGGAGATACGATCGATATAGCCCACGACGAAATGCTAGCGGCTAAAGAGAGTGCTGGCGCATTTGTATCAACTTTTGGTAAAAAAATATTTGGAAAATCTGATAAAGATGTTACGAAAACAGCAAGTGCATCTTTTATTGAAACCGAACAGATTGCATCAGAAGCTGATGGAAGAAAATCTTTAGATGAAGTTTCTAAGCAAATGGAGGAATTAAGAAAATCGATTGGTGATGCAAAATCCAAAGGTGAAAAATCTGGCGGTTTCTTGTCAGAAGTAGGCGGAAAGTTGTTTGGAAAATCTAAAGATTCACAAGATAAAAAATCGAAAAAGACTTCTGATGTAGATGATCAGATATATCCTTTGATTACATCACCTACTCTGCCTAGAAGGGCTGAATCTCAAAGGATCGCTCGTGGTGATATTCCGTACTGCGTAGAAGTCACATATGGCTCTCATGAGTTATCAAGTGATGATGAATCATACATTGTCACTGAACCGCATGAATCATCGGCTAGAATCTCTGAAAAATCACAGAAACGTAAACCTCTATTTCATCTAGAATCAGAGGACGATTCTACAGAAATAAATAGTCATAGAGGTAGCGTACATTCCAGTGTACTAGAAACATTACCCGAACAACGGTTCGATACAATAGTAACAGATTTAGATGATTACGAAGATGTAATTCCTGTAGGGACTCAATTTACTTCAAGTGCATTGTACGATATTGCACAGGGTACAGAAAAACTTACCGATGCTGATTTAATTGAACAAAAATTGAATGATATAGAGAAAGCGTTAGGGTCGTTAGAACAACAGGAAGCACTTAAAGAAGGCGTGAGCGAGGCAAAACTTAAACGAGTTGAACGAAAATTTGAACGTATGGCATCAGCAGCTATGGATAAAGACCTATCTGAAGTGTCCAAACTTACTACTCCAGAAGTAGAAGAAAAGAGGGAATCGGATTTCCATCACCTGGTCTCCCAATTAAGTACAGAAGAGGTATCTGACTTTCAAAAGGAATATGCTGTGCTTTGGGACGAGCAAACGTTTTCTCATAGCGATGATTGGGACACATTGAAGACACCAGACAGTCAGGCTGAAGAACTACCACAAGGTAGATGATAACTATTTAGAAGTTCGATCTTTAATTTTCTGTCATCTCACCAATCATGGCTTTTTATTAGATTCTTTCTCTCATAATCGTGTTCTGCCATTTTTATATAATCAAGCATGCACACTTCCACATTTCTTTCACCGACCATTAGCAAACATATCGGGATCTAGTCCAGACAAGACAACAGTATTTAATTCCGTAGGTGATATAGTATATATGGGACCTGTCACATTAAATAAAGGTAATTCCGTTAATAAAGCTGGCGTCGAAGTTGACGTCATACCAATAATGCGAAGCCCTTGCCCGTCCCCTGTTATGAGACGAAAAAATAAACGTGCCAAATCCGAAATGGGATTCAGGTCGGGAGAATTCAAAACCGAAGACGATCGTGGTAGCTTACCAGACCTACATGCATATAAAAGGGGGATTCTTATAGATACCATATTGCATGCGCATCCCAATATGTTCCTAACCCCTGTTGGTAGTAGTGAATCACTAAGAAGTGAAGATAGAATGGCAAAATCTCTAGGAAGTACAGATTCATTATCAAAAGGCCATTTAATGAATGCAGTTGTTAATTGGTTACAAAGAAGTAGTCCTTTTGATTCAACTCAAAGTATATATTCAAATCAAACCTCTATTTTGGATGATATGGAACCTTCCACCTCAAAAAGTGACTCTAATCCAATACCCGATATATTCGTGTCTGAAGATGAAGTGTTAGTCATACCAGCTTCTAAAGTTTCAAAGAAAAACAAGAAAAAGAATAAAAAATCTAAGAAGAATCGCAAATTAGGTAAATAGAGCAGATGTAACAATCTCCCGACCTAGAGGATGGGCCCGATATGTTTGGATATATTTCTTTTATTTTTGCATGCGTGTAGCTTACTTTCTATGTGGAGATTTTTACACCAACTTAGCAAACGTTTTAGCATTTTCGTTTTCAATTAACATCATGTTTAAGTTTCGAGTATGTTTCTTTCAGTTCGGTGTTTTTCATATATGGTAAGTTAACGGTTTCACGTTCTGTTTAATGTATATACCTGCCTGCGTAATACCCAATGTAACTAGCTAGAAGCTAACAATAATCCCTATTTTTAGAAGTTGTCCAATTAACAAAGAAACCTACCGAGACTGATACTAATATACCGATTGAAACTGTACCGAAACCAAAACCTAGATCTACTAAATCACCTGATGTCCAAGCCAGCTTCGAAAGAACTGATAGTACCACCCATACTCAATCAATTTCGCCTGTTAGAGATGACACATTAGATGCAGATGACTCACCCCAAACTGCTTCTGATACATACTCCGATAAAAAGAAATTCTGGGAAACGATATCCAAGGAAGGTCAACCTGAGCCAACCATTAAAAAACGCATGAGCTTACATGAAGAATCATTCACTGAAAAAATGAGTGTTGCAAAGAAACGAACATCAATTCACGAGTTACCTATGGAGCCCCCAATTCCAAAACCTAGAATCGCTTTACAAAGTTCACAAAGCATTGCTGAAGTTAGTGAAGATGATTTAGATAAATCAAGTCAACCAATTAGTGAATATAAATCTTCTTTCATTGATCCATCATTACGTATGTCCCAGAAAGATATTACAGAAACAGATCAAAAAGAAGATCAAGATCGAAAAGATGACTCTGATTCTGATCAAGACACATCAATAAATCAAAGTACGGGTTACGAAAACACAGGTTACATTTCAGATAGCGGCGATGTAGAACATTACATTTCCGATTCTGAGATAGAAGATAGAGTGCCCCAAATTAGAGACCGCCAAATGAGCGTCTTCCAACCATCAGCTAAAAAGAGCATTTATGAACGTTCAATGTCGCTACCCACAGAAGATCTATACGATCTATCAGCTAAAAACGTGCTGCTTAGAAAGCAATATTACGAGAATCAAATTAAAAAAGAAATGGTAGAGGATCAACTCATGACAGAATTAGAAGAAGAACCATCGCCTGAAAGAAAAACATTAAGCTTTGCAATAGAACAACCCTGCGGAAGTAAAACAGTTTGTAGTGAAACAATTCATGAAAGTAGTAGTGCTAAAGACATTACAAAAACATTCGACGATTCACCTAGTTTTACACACAAAAAAGAAAGTGAAATTTCAGAAGAAGTAATTGAAACGACCGAAAGAAAATCAGTGAAAGATCTAGCAAAATCATTTGAAGAAACTAGTTCCATTATATCCACTAAAATTATCACAAAACCCAAATCAGAAAAAGAAATTAAACCTATAGAAAGAGATCTTAAACACATGGAGGAATCTGTGGATGAAAGTACAACTGACGTTACCATGCAAGACTTTGAAACATCAGAGGAATTAGGCAGCAAAGAAATAGACGAATTTTCACGTAAACAACATGATTTCTCAACCAACGAATTACCGATATCATCAAAACTAAGTTTAACAAGTTTTGATTCAGAATTACAATTAAAACAAAAAGTGAAAAGTGAAGAAGTCTTAATTGATGACGTCTCAGAAATGGAAGAAAAATCGGAAGAGAGTAAAATAACATACGCAAGTGAAATAGACAGGGATAGCATCATGATGAGGGACATAGAACAACATATAGAAATACAACCACATAGTTTAGAAGAAAAAGAAGAAATCGAAGATTCCTCCGAAATGGAACAAGAAAAATCAGATGCTAGCAGATTAACTTATGCCAGCGATATCGATAGAGATACTTACAAAGAAGAACCGATACATTCCTTAGAAGAAATTCGAGAAAGTATCAAACTCAACGGCAAAATTCCCACACATCCTTCAATAGAAGAAATGTCTAAGGATTCTGTTATTAAAGAAGATAAAGAAATAATAGCGCACAAAAGTGATTATCAACTATCAGGATCAAAAGATATTCACACAACGCACAAAGATCCTGAAGTTGGTACTCACATTCAACAATCTTCTACAGAATCCGAACAGAGCGTATTTTCCGATCGCAGCATCGACGCTGGTATAACAAACTACAAAGAAGATCAAACTTCAAAACCTAGCGATTCTATGGAAGTTCACGTAGATAAGAGCGAAATTGAAGATTCTGAAAAATTAGCGGAACTTGAAGATGCCACGGACATCGAAACAAAGTCGCTGGATTCGTTAAACGCAGTAGAGATGTCACCGAAGACGTCTTTTTATGCAGAAGAATCTATTCCAGAAATAACAGTTAGCTTATCTGGAAAGCAAAGACGAATAAGTGAAGAAAGCGATGAAGAAAAACAAGAAATATTTTTACCGGAAGAACACGTGCAAGATACCGTTTGGGAGGTATCGATTGAATCACAACCGGCCGAAGAGAAAGTAGCGGAAACAGCAAAAGAAACCATCGTGGAAAAAGATGACGATCTAAGTAGTAGTGTGCATGAAGAATCGGATTTAGGTTCTGAAATACATCAAGATCATTCAGAATCGGTTTGTTCTGATAAGTTGAAGTCCGAGAGTCACGATGAAATCGAAAAGTTAATTTTAGAAAGTTTACATCAACAAAGAATATCAGACGTAGACGCTAGAATAATCGCCAATGAACTTTTAGCCGACATTGAAGCGGAAATTCAACGACGTGACACAACCTCAGATGTTAAACCAACAATTCCAGATTTACCACAAAATGAAGTTTCCGAATATTTGAAACAGTTAGCTGAAGCGAAGGGATTAGATTCTCGCGAAGTCGAATTAGTACAATCTGTTTTGGCGAGAAAACAACGACAACTTAGCAAACTTTCAAGAGGTGATACCCAAGCATCTAGCATGGAAATAACTGATGAAGATTTAAGATATAGTGGCGGAGAGTATTCTCCGTCAGGAAGTCGTGGTAATATTTTAGAAGCTCAAATAGAACATTTAGAAGTTGAGAGATCTGTTGAAAGAAAGCTTTCCAGAGAACTTGGTTTAACGTTAGGTGATCATTTCGTACTCGGAAGGAGCGATTCACCCGATCACGAATCCGACGATGATAAATTTACCGAACACAAAACTGAAAAAGATACCAAGGTGACCGAAAAGTATCAAAAAGATAAAGAAAGAACTGAGTGGTATGCCAAAGATGAATGTAGCATGCATGGAAAAGTTCATGAAACAGAAATAACTGACGTAGAAACTAAAATAGTTATCTCTGAATCTGAAGAAGTACAAGAAGATAAATTTAAAGCTTCTAAAAAAGAAACTACAGATGTGCAAGAAGATACGAAAAATATTTCCGGTGTCACAATAACAATTGATGAGTCTATGGGAGATGATGTTTTAAAGAGTGAAGTTCATTTAGAAGAAGAACAAACCGAGTTGTACCAAATGTCCGGATCTTACAAATCAGACGAAAAAGTCGTTGAAGAACTCGATAAAGGACAAATTGAGCAACAATCTACTACAATAAAAGAAGTAGAAGAAAAAACCAAAAGTGAAATAGAAACGATTGTAGATCAAAAAGATGAAACTAAAATAGACGATGATGTTGAATACAAAACCTCAGAAATTTCAACTCATAAAAAAATTAGTAGTAGCACTGTTGTTGTGGATTCCACTCATACCGAATCGCGAACAATTTCCACAACTGTAGAAGTTCTACCTGAAGTTTTACCCGAGGATATAGACAAAATAGTTACAGATCACAGTGTAACAACTGTTGTTGAAGTCAAGCGAACATCTAGCGATGAGTCGAAATCCGATGATTTCAAATCGCCGGAAGAACAAATTTCTACGAGTTCTTCTGGAAAGAGGTCCTTCGACAAAGAGAAAGCTGATGTAATTCTGCGTAAACCAAAACTACATAGTGACACAAGTAGTAGTAGTCCAATACTAAAACCGGATAGGAAATCAGGAATCGATTTTGAAGCATATTCATCATCAGGGGAGAGTTATTATCAGAGTTTCGAGCTTGACAGTGGAAAAAGTCGACCTTGCTCATCAGATGTGGAAGGTTTAGTTGCGGCTGCTTCCTCTGAATACGAAAGTGCTTTAACCGAACAAGATGTATCATCAGCACCTACTCATATGACATCTTATCACACGGCTGTTAGCAGCCTTAGTTCAAAAGAAAGCATGAAAAGCTTGGATAGTGAGAGTTCAGGTAATTTAGCTAGTATTGAAGTATCTGAAGCATCTGAAACGTTAGTACCATCAGAATGCGATCCAGGCGACATGACCGGACAAACCATTGATGACATTTCAGTGGACCGCGGATTATTTGCTAAAAGACAAAGTACTGAAGTTAGTGACTCCGAACTCATATTTCCAGATCAAGGATCCATAGATATTTCAGAAGAAGATGCTGACGTTAAAGACTCAGAAGATGTGCCATCTAGAATGAAGAGATCATGTGAAATGACTTTCCAACCGGAACCTAAAGTTTTGGTACCCGAATCTCCACAATTCGAAACTACGCAAGACGGCGATGAACGCTTTGGAACGAGTTTAGACGAAGGAAGTGTTTTAAGTGTGAGTCTTTCAAGTACGTCTAGCGCTACAGCTTTAAGAACCGTTATCGAACGATTACCTGGTGAAATCGATAGACATGAAATTGATTTAACAACATCCGGAAGATCAGAGCAATTCGGAAATGAAGACATAACTACCCCACCGCAACATTCCATTGCTACATCAACTTATCCACAAGGCGAAGACGTACACATTGATTCTGTCACACTTACAACATCCACAGTCGCAGAAAATGGCATACAAAACGTAAGCACACAAGTTACATCTCAAGAAGAACTGAAATTAAAAGATGAACCATTCGACCCAAAAAAGAGAGGTCATCGAAGGTGTGAAAGTACTATATCTAGTAATATTCTCTCAACCATGACAGCAGAAGCTGAAAAGCGTCTTCAATCTGATTTAGCGGAAAGTGATAAATATACAAGCGGTTTAAGTATGAAAGAAGGTAGGAGTCTCGAGAAAAAGGATATCGATGAATCTGAAAAAGATGATTATTACGAAACTGAAGCGGATCAAGGATTTCATCGAGACCTACGAGAAGGTCGCTATCTTGACACTGATTATGAAAATGAAGTATTTGATTTATCGCGACCTCAATCCCAAGTTAGTAAATCAGACAGCGAAAGAGAAAGGATTACATCCACTGCGTATTCAGATTCTGAACTAGCTGAATTAGCTAAGCAATCATCGGAGCCGATTAGTGACCCAGTTGAAAGACCGTCTACACCTGAACCATGCGACGAATGTGAAATTAAAGATGATACTCCTGAATTTAGTTCAGAAGCACAAGCAAGTGTTGGCGAATTAGAACAAGAATACAGTTCGGCAATTGCGCGAGCTCAAGAAATTGTTGAAATCAAGAAACAAATTCTAATGGAAGTTTCTTCCGATAAACCTGTTTACAAAGAAATTTTTGATAAAAGAGATTCCCAAACCGGTAAACTAAGCAGTACATCTAGCGAAAAATCCAGCTTTGAAGAAGCCGAAGCTGAAGCAGCTTTTAGCATGGTTGCTCACATCTCTCCAGCTCACAAAATAAAACAAATTTGTCCTATTTTAGAGGACGAAGACGCCGAGAAGCATGAATTAGAAACACGAGAGAAAGCTCAAAAAGAATTTGAAAAGAAAAGACAACAAATTCGAGATGTTAGTCCTGCTTCTATACCTGATATTACAGTTACTCAACACATGGCACCTTTAGTTGATCGCGGTTTTCATTATCCTGATTTAGAAAGAGAGGAGGCTGAGTCTAAAGAAATTGCCGCTCGAGAACAAGAAAAATTAATCAAGAAAGTTGATGATGAGACTGAAAAAGAAACTGAAGGAGATTTAGGTCAAGTTACAAAGAAATCTTTTGAATACAAAGATGAAATTGTAAAACAAGAAGTTGAAAAACAAGAAATTGTAAAACAAGAAGTTGAAAAACAAGAAATTGTAAAACAAGAAATTATAAAGCAAGAAATTGTAAAACAAGAAATTGTAAAGCAAGATGTTGTAAAAGAAGATGTAATCCAAGATGTTGCAAAACAAGATGTTAAACAAGATATTGTTAAGGAAGAAATTACAAAACCAGAAGAAGCCGTTGTACAATTAGCAGAGGCGGCAAGTTATGCCGTCCCTCCATCACCCCCGGAGTCCCCAAATAGCGACTCTTTCGAAATGTTAGAAAAACCAGACCTCATTGATGATTTTGTTGTTATAGAAGAAGTTGCTAAAGAAGCTCAAGAGATGGATACTGAAGGCAAAAGTATGAAAATCACGTCGAAAAAAGTAATTAAAAAAAGTGATAAGGAAATCGAGGAATATCTTGTAAAATCAGCTCCATCTCCAGTCACAAAAATGACCGATATTAAATATTACCCTGATGGGTCTTCTAGTGAAGAACTGGGTTTCGATTTTGAGGAAAGTCCGCCACAACCAGGCGATAAAGCTGCTGGTACAACAGGAAAAAGTCCGAGAGATTATGTATATGAATATGATCAAGAATTAGAGGCAAATAAGAAATGGATAGAACAACAATTTCAAGGTAATCATGCAGCCATGTTGGCAGCTGGATATGGATACGAAATGGAATTTGAACGTGGACCTTTAGAAGATATAAAAGAAGAAGACGCCAACGATATCGATTCATCGCGTATAGGTAGTTTAAGTTCTCAAAAAGAATTTGGAACTAGCAGTGTTAAAGATTCATACTCATCAACCCCTGAATACGACGTTCTTGCGGGAAGAAAATATTTCACACGATCTGGTGAACACGATGATGTGTCCATGTCCAGTTTGCAAGAATTTGAAAACTTAGAACGAGCTATGTCACTAGAAAATAGAAGATGTATTGTTGGATCACAAGATTCGTCCAGTAACGGAAGCTACAAAAACAGATTTAATAACGCTGGACGAAGTGGTCAAGGAGACGATGTCTCCGTAAGTTCCTTAAAAGAATTTGAAGGATTGGAAATGGCTTGCGCCGCTGCTCATCGAATTGAAATTAAAGCTAAAGAAGAAGAAGCAATGCTTGCTCAAATTGATGAAGGTCCCGAAAGTGTTGCCTCTGAAACTGAGAGCTGTGAAACTATGTCTGGAACCGATAAAAAATTAATACCGGAATCAGACGATGAAGACTACGAAAAAAGACTGTTTGAAATAGACGAAATTATTAGGCAGGCTCAAACCAACGTCGAAAGGTTTATTGAAGTCGAAAAAACAGAGTCACTTGGTCGCGGTGACTCCTTTGAAGAAGTCGCCAAAGTTCCTGACTTAGATTTAGATACACCAATAGTTAGAGGGAATAGTAAAAGTGAATGGTCTCCTACCGGTGACCCAATGATGGCTTCAACAGATTCACTTGATCTTAAAGCCGACAAACCCGCTCATCACGACAGTACGGATAGTTTGGATCAAAAAACCGCCGCTGCCGATATAATGACGGCTAGCACAGATTCAATAGAATTTCAGGCACAAAAATCAGCCAGAGATAATATAATGAGCGATAGTATTGAGATAAGAGAAGGCGATAAGAGTTACATGATAACAAGTGATTCATTAGAAATGATGGCCAGTACAAAACCGAGTTTGATGACCTCTGATTCGATAGATGAAGATGGGTCACGAATAGGAGGATTCGATCAAAGTAGTTCAAGTACCGGTAAAGATTTTAGTTCTTCCGTAAAAGAAGACATGGGTGATTTCGCCGAAACGAAACCACAACATCTAATTGAAAGTACAGATAGTATAGCGTCTACTTCAACCGCAACGCATGCTACATATCAATACGAAAGTGACTCCGTTTATTCAGGTAGCTTTACTAGTGGAGGATCAAATACAATGGTATCTTCTACTGATACTATTGATCCCACAGGTCAACAACAAGTCGATATAGCTGCAGCTGTTAGAAAAGTTTGGTTTGTGGAAGATGCTGGAACATCAAGTATGTACTCCACCGAATACACGCAAGATTCTAAACCGTACGTTACTGAAGTGATAGAGCCTTGCGAAGAAGACGGTTATTCACATACAATTCATCGACGTGTTGAGTTACCACCGGACATAAAGAAAGTTACATTCACCGGTCCAGATGTTGATAGGCAATTACAACAATTTCTCGACGATTTTGGGGAAGGAGAAGAGGTTGATGAGACTGAAGACATCGACGCAGACGGAAACGTTCATGTTAAAAGAGTAATTCGAAAGAGATATATAATTAAAAGTGATGAAAAAGAACCGGAAGGTGTTGTGAAGAGAACATATACAGATGAAAAAGGATCAAAAACGATTTACACCCAACAGTTTGATATTCACCGTGCGCAAGATTCCTCAACATCGTTTTTCTCATCAGTCCCCGGAACCAGAACAGGTTGGTTGTTGAATTTCCTTCAATGCAACTACGCTATATACTATAAATAAAAAAGGATTTAAATATATAAGTTCAGTTATTTTAAGATTATGTATAGCACGTGATTTCCGTTTCAATTTCATTTTTATTCGGTAAGTTTTCTGTTTGCATGTTTTTTTCAAATGATTTTATTTTTCTTATGCATGAATCTGCCTTAACATTTACCAATAACTTCTTATTCTGCTAAAATTAAAGTAAACTTTGAAAGTAACATTTATTTCTGTGTAGGTGAATCTGCAGAACCAAAAGAGGATCAAACAACAACACAACATACCGTAACAACGAGTACTACAACAGTTACAACAGGTGAGGAAATAAAATTAAATTAAACAGTTTAGACACAAGTACTTATGGATTCAAGTATACCAAAATCTTGGAATATTAAGTAGAAGAAAATTATCACCAAATCACGTTAATCAATCACGTCATGAAACGTAATGCATAATAACCCCATTATTATTGTTATATTAGCCCCCTTAGCACCTACAATATTTATTAATAACACATCCTTCCAATATTTTGGCCACATAATTGTACAGTTTCGTAATTGTACTAAACTAACACCACCAACAAAACACAAACTAACACATTCAACAAACACAAAAGATGAAAACATTTTAAATTCAACGATTTGGTTGATGGACCTTATATATTTCTCAGCACAAGGGGCTCGTAGGCGTCCTCTACGCTATGAGATCAGTATTGATGATCAAACTGAAGTGGATCCTAGAGAACACGACTGGAGATTTAATTTACCTCAACATGGTAGATAGCACATCACATATAATTCATGTTTTTCCTCCTCACTTACCCGAAAGTCAACACCTACCTGCGCTTGTTACAATTTGTGGAATAACCGAGGCGTTAATTTTTATTTGCATAACCGTAGTTTCAAATTTCTCTTCCATCTCTGTAAAAAATCAAATTTTAATCACCTTGATGAAGATATTGTAGGAATTTGAATTTCCTCTGTTTTAACTTCTTATTTGTTGGTCAATACTTAACTGTCTATATTAAAATATTCTTTTAAAGATTTGCCAAAATATTATATGCGTTATATTAAATTAGAACTAAATTTTTTGTTTGCATGTTTTATGTGTTCATTAACATTTATAAATACAAACATTCAAGATGTTCTAACACTTATAACACTAATAAATGGGTTGGGTTAACACATTTTACAGAAAATATTTCCTCAATATGTGTTGTATTTAGCACTAAACACACTGTATGTCACATGACCACTCATTATCGAAATATTCTCTTTATGTTATCATTAAACCCTATTTTTCGTATTTATTCATTATTGAAATTTTATGAGCACATATTGCATGATATCCCTATAATGTATAAATCAACTAATTTGATTTTAAAATTACAGTTGAAACTGAAGAACCCACAACTAAAGACCATCAACAACAAAGTCAAGCTGAAAGGTAAAAAATGAAATCTTTAAAAATGTGAAATCGATAACTTTTTTTTGTGTTTTAGACCCATTCAAGATCAACATATGCTTTCTGATGAGATGAAACGTCTTCTTCAAGAATTAGAGGAAGAAAGCAAAAAGTAAATTATTAATATAAATACTCCCAAATATTACTTATAAGTAAATGTCTAAAAAGAACCATATATCGACGAAAATTTCCGTACGTGACAAACTATTATCGCTTGTGGCTCAAAACGTGAACGCAAAGCTTAAAACGATCTTTGAAAAAAAAAAACACCCGCTTTCCTTCACCTATACATCCAAAAAGAGTCCATATTTAAGCACATATTATACGGTTAATATAGTGTCCAATATACAAGAACAAAATGATATTCTTTATGCTTTTTACGAGAATAAAAAAAGCGGTATTTTATTTATTATACTGTAGCGACGTGAACTCTATGAACAAAACGTTAGAAATATTAAAAAATCGTGTTACCCAACACAAAAGTGTACACCACAACTTTTATTCTAACACGGGATAAGAATCGTTAATCCACTTGTTACAATCAAAGTTGTGGTTTTTAAACCAAACAACAGATTTTAGCGTGGGTACTTAAAAGTAGTCGTAAATTAATGTAGAATGACTAAGCGCGATGATTTGCCGAAACGATCGATATTAAAAAAAAATTTGTATAGCGAAGAATATTGTTTCTTTTTCAATGTATGATTTTCTAATACTGTATTTATTACTCATAATCAAGATTCGTTTTGGTAAATCATCAAAACAAAAAGGGAGATTAAAAAAGAAGTGTATAAAGGGACGACTTTGTTTGGTATAAATTTTAAATAATTATTAGTGTTTACCTATAATAAGCTTAAAATGAAACCTTAACGACTTTCCGACAAAACTTTCGATTAATATTAGTGGTCACCGGATAATGGGTTTGTGGCTAATCCCATTTATAAATTGTGAAAATAACTTGGAAATTCGATTAGGTTTTAGCGTATATTATTATTTCGTTCTTAACTTAATGTGAATTATATTAATATTCTATCATGTGTATCAAATTATATTCAAAAATAAAGCTTTCAATATTTTCTTTGATTTTTATTATTAATTACAAATTAACTTGAATGAATCTATACTTGAGATATAAGGTAATTCCAAAGATACTAGAACATAAGTTACAAAACGCATTCAAAGTATTCTTACGTAATCATGCTATAACAAAAGAATTATAATAGACTGGTTTAATTAAGTTTTGACCGAAAGTATTAAATCCACTCTCAGCACAAAAAGTAGTCAACAATTATAAAAGAAAATATAACGAGAATACTTACACTTTATAAAAGAACACATTCATATTTTTACCATATACATAAACAACTATCTTTAATGTTACAATTAGGCACATTTTTTGTGGGTTAAAAAAGGGAATAAAAAATTGTATATAAATAATACATAATGATTTTATTAAAAACCTTGAACAGTATAAATTGAAGGGAATAATTAGACAACTTATAAAAAAAATGTAATAACAGAACGCATTAAAATTAATCATTAATAATTGTAAAATGTTCTTTCACTTTTTATTTCTAAACTTCATTAATAAATCAAACCTTCGGTTGCTCCTCATACCTTTCAATACTTCTCTTTTTTGTTCAACATCTTCAGTCTGCACAACCCTACTTTTATTGGCAGCCATTTTAAGCGCTTCCTTGTCCAATCGTGTTTTTACCTTTTTCTTTGGGGAATTAGAAGCTTTTGTAGTGTCCTCATTAACAACTCCCACTGTTTTTTGATGTTTCATATTCTCTTTTACTACTCCACCCATAGCTGAACTTGTGGAAGGCTGTTGCCCAACATTATTAACATTTAAATCATTTTCTTTTCTTATTTGTCTTGGTATTTGGTTCACTTTCTTTGGGACCTGTTTATTTAGCACATTCTTTGAATTTTTCGAGGCAACGACGTTCACAAGAACTTTTTTAGAACAATTAGTTTTGGTTTGGGATGATGATGATGTTGATGGAAATAGTTTTAATGGTACCAGTTTAGTAATTGGACTTTTTGGTGACTTAACCAACACCATTTTCTTTTCCGATTTTGGTGACACTCGTTTAGGCGTTTTAGTTACTTGTGGAGACACTCTCTTTGGTGTTTTGACCGCTTTTGGAGATACTCTTTTTGGTGTTTTAACCGCTTTTGGAGATACTCTTTTTGGTGTTTTAACCGTTTTTGGAGATACTCTTTTTGGTGTTTTTTCACTTTTTACTACCACACCATCTGCGGATTTTTTCTGTGGAGTCAGATTCATAAATGTTTTTCCTTGTGTTTTATTAACTCTTGGTGATTTACAAGGAAGTTTATTTTCTGTTTTTGGTGTATCTATACTGGGCGTTTCAGAAATATACTTTGGCTTTCCTGGTGTTTTAGCAAAAACTTTTGGTGGTTTTACATTTTCCTCAAATGGCGATGAATAAGTTACACGTTTCTTTTGTGGGTGATTTTTTTCATCTGTATCATATTCAAATGCATCTGATCGAATCAACTTTTTATTATTCATTTTGGTTTTTTCAGATTTTACAGTTGAATCATTCCAGTAACTACACCCGGCTTGCGGCGTAAAACTAAGTTGTTTACAAGCAGCAGCAGTTGAAGGTTTTGGAGTAGCTGATTTTCTTGCGCCAAGTGATTTTCCTGTAGATAATAAATGCTGCGATCTTTCTTGTTTTCGTTGGACATAATCCACTAAACTTTCGCTACGATCCAACTGTTGTTGATGAATTTTCGAAAAGTTCGGCATTTTAGTTGGCTTAATTTTTGATGAAATAGTTCCGTTAAATGTAACATTTTTTTTACTTTCGTTTAACACACCTTTCACCAATTGTTTAGAAATGTGCGATTTCTTATCTTTTAATTTTCCCTTAGCTTTCAATGTAGTAGATAATTTTTCTAATGGTACCTGTTTATTTCGTTTCGCAATTCTTTGTCCGATTGATGACCTTTTCAAACTTCTTTGTTCGTTATCTTCCAAACTTTTTAAAGCAACTAAATCGATAACGCTACTTTCTAAATTGTAGGTTTCTCGTTTTTCATCTTCTGGCGGTGCAATATCAGCACCACAAAATGTATGGCTTTTAGGGTCAGTCCATATTTCATTCTTTTCAAATTTGAATTCCTTTAATGCAGCTGCAATAGGATTCTCACTCTACAAAATAAATAAAGTATTATTACCTTATTTGTAATGTATATGAATGAAATAATAAAAAGGGGGTGACAAAAAGAGACAAGATTAGGAATGATGACATAAGGAAAGAGTAAATATTGAAGCTCTGGACGATTTTATGGAAAAGAGGTAGTTCAGTTGGTGGGGACATCTACAAAGAATGCAGAATACTAGACAGGTGAAACGAGTGTGGTTGGCAAAAAAGTTGGGGAAAGAGAAGAAGATCGCGAGACACTTGGAATACTTAGATAACAAGATAATCACCAAAAGAGGAAAACTATACAGGAAGCTAAAGTTTAGCAACAAGATGTGGGCAAAATTTGTAAGATTGTCACAAAACATTAAAATGTAAAAAATAGATAGGGCCATACGCAAACACTCAAGGATAAACATTCGTTATTATACAGGCAGTTTAGAAATTGATGGATAATGTACACGTGAAATGTTGTACCATGCTTCATACGTCTGCATGAGGTTCTCAAAGTTAGGGTAATTTGTCCACAAATAATCATTAATATTCAATATCGGTTAATAAATAAGCTGCTAAATAAATTTAGAATAAAAAGAATTTTGATGACTAGTTTTTTTGGTAGTTATTTTCTTTAACTTTAAAGTTCGTTTTTAACATTTTTTCATTATCATATCTTCATGAAAAACACATTTGGCAACATAGTAGAACAACATTTTAACATTGAGTAATTTCTAAACACCTGTATATATATATATATAAAGTGTAAAATATATTTTTACTCACTGTAAATGTTTCATTAAGTGCAGATATTTCGTCTATCTCATGCATACTTTCCCCAGATTGCTTTTGAATTTTGCTGTTATTTTGAACGATCGAATTTGTGCGCCTTCCTTTCTTAATTTCAGTGCTAGTGGATCCAGGTTTTAACTAATACAATAACATAGAAAGTAAATATTAGCTACTTTTATAACACTAACTTGGTTTGCAGAATTCAGCGTTAACACAATAGACTCTATTTTATGCTTTTTTTCACCTTACGGGGAACTCCGGTCTAGAGAGTCAAAAAAAATCAAATCAACCAAATGTGACGGAGACTTTGGATTATCGGGAGCGGTTTCTCCGAGCAGTTCCGGGACTTTTTTCCTGAAACATGGCAAACAACACGTTGCATGTTTCACCGGGAGCAATAAAGTTTTACAAACTTTACAGAAACGAAAAACTTTCTCCAACCATCTGGGCAGCGAATCCTTTTGGGTTAGACAAGATTCCCAGAAAACAGAAAACATATGGATACAAATCGTATGTGTGCTAACATTAAACAGTATTATTTATGGGAAAATCTAAAAGTTGATATAACAAAATTCGTAAAAAATTGCGAAAAATGCCAACATTATAAACATTCGATACCTCATAAAGAACCGGTAACTAACAACAACAGCATCATCTGCGTTTGAAAAAGTTTATTTAGATTTGGTAGGTCCGTTAAATCAGGATGATGATGATAATAACCGGAATATATTAACAATTCAATGTGAACTCAAAAAATTTGTATGGATGAAAGTGTAACTCATCATGAAGAATGGATGACAACCATAGGACAGTATGTTTTCAAGCTGAGCGCCTAGAAGCTCGGACTGCGTAGATGTTTGCAGGTGTTATAATGGTCCGTGCTGCTACTGATCTCTTGCAGAAAACATTTTCAACTGCCCTAAAAGCTTCCACCCACTACAAGATGAATCTATGGGCAGCAACAGCAACTCGAGTGAGAATATTGTACCGTGAACAGAACACCCACTGCATAGCGACAATTGATTGGTCTCGTGAAAAAAATAGGTTTCTACTACAAACGCGTGTTGCTCTCTCACCCAAAAGATTTTAACAACTGACGATGTTTGAAAACAAATTTTCATTTAGCTGTGTTAACTGCAATGAACTGACAAAGTTTTATTGCTTGGCTATCCAAAGATATTCCGAATATGTGGAATATCTATAGTCTATAGATTAACTGTAAATATTTGTATTTCAAAGTTTCCACAACATAGATGTTATAAAAACTTCAATCGCGTTTTTCTCGAAACAACATTTTGGCAATTGGTAACCACAATACTTCAAAATTTACTGGCTCAATTCTACTCAAACTTTGTTCACATATTAATGGCATACACAGCTTTCGTCTGAACTAGAATCAAATCAAAATATTCGTTGGTTCATTTGAGAACAACATTGATACCAGAATAATCATTATAAAAATAATAACTAAAATAATTATTATAGATGGCAATTATCAACTCTCCCACTGTTTTTCCACAATGTTACGTTTTTTTGAATTTATATATATTATAAAAACAAATTAAAATTCATGATGTTAACAATATCAACTTATGAAACTAAATCTTTTAATATCTCGAAAATGGTCCATTTTCGGACACTGTTGCAGTATTGTACAATCGCCTTGTATATTTAGATTATAATTGTAGACAATAAAAAAATATTAAAAAAAAAAATTTTAAATGTAGTAGTTCTAAATGTTTCGTCGTTGTTTTTTGCTTAAAATTGTAATTGTTCTTTTAGATTTATATTAAAATCCTGATGATGGACCTATAACGGCTCAAAACGTCGATTCAACATGTTTGGTTAAACATACTTTACAATTACAACAAGGATTGTGTTATTTCCTTGCGAAATTATCCTTATAAAAATCAAAATAATCATTTTTAGAAATTCTACAACCCGTTAACATATTAAATATACTCAAATAAACGAAAAACAATTTTCAAATTAGCACCATTTTCTTTCTATCTACTTTTATTTGTTTATTCTAGTTCAGATGATAGCTTGAGATGTATGTTTTTAGAATCTCATAAGATATGAGTTTCGCTTTACCATTTCTTTTAAAATTATTACCGGAATTCGACATATAGAGTTATTCCACATTCAGTGGAAACCGTGTTGAAATCCATCCAGCCATTTTCGAAATAACAGCATTCTCTTAAACCGCGAGAATTCGCGAAACTATACAAAATATGAAAAAAATAAAATATGCCTCGCATTCAGAAGATATTAGGCTATCACCTGTTGAAATACCAAATTCTTTCGTCTCACATTTTTTGATAAAAACGTTCATAAAGTGACGGTAATTTAAGGCAACTAAAAAATCGGGTGTTTTTTTATGATTAACTCGCTATAAAAAAAGAACTAAGGAGCCAAAAATTTTCAAATTCACGTTAATATAATAGAAATGATCAGTGATTATAACAAAGTTTACTGCAAATTTTTTCATTGAACAGTTGTCGTGATATTCATCCCTGAAGTACATATATGTATGCGTAAATTTGCTGGATATCCGCGCGCCTAACGGAGGGTTAAGAATCGAAACATATTCCTCAAACTTCATTTTCCTAGTGTTTATGGTTTTTGAGAAAAAAGAATTAAACCACAATTTTACGCCATTTTTGGAGGGGTGTAGCTCCTTAGAGGAGTTGAAGTCGCCCATGGTTCATATATCAAAGTACCCTTAAAATTCACTAAAGAATCACCCCTTGAAGTTTGTTGCAGTCATTCAGATACACCCTGTAGAAGGTACCCCTAGACCGGGATCCCCCCTTAAACAAACCTATTACCTACCTTTAAAATAGGGGTATTTTTTAATGTGATATCTTTAGTGCTATCATCTGATAAACTAATAATTGATAGTTCTGAGTTTAGAAGGATTACAGAGCCATCACGTTTTTGCTTGATGGTACTATCGTCAGATGAACTAGAATCCATGTTGTCAGAATTATTTGCAATACATTCTGAGATTATGTTGTTTGTAGAATGTGTGATTTTATTAGACTTCCTATCCATTTCTCTGGAAGAGTTTTTTGTTTTATCATAGATTGGAGATTTATCTTGTTTGGTATGTATTGATTGTTTGTTATCTTCAACTAATACAGAAGAAACTTTATTGTCTGCAATAATACTATTGTCGGATGTATCGGAATCACTTTCAGAGTTATCATGTTTTTTATCAAACGTTTCATTTGTTTCTTTGTCAACAGCACTATTTGAATCCTCATTTTCAGATTCACTATCTGAATCAGCAAATCTATCTGAAACATATTTTATGGGACTTCTAGCTTTCAAATGATTTTGATCTAAATTTGTAGCTTTATTAGCAAATAAATCTTTATCCATATCCCTTTGTTTAATTGTAGAGTTAGTCATGTTCCTAGTTTGTCTACGCAAACTCTTATTGGTAACCATTTCTTCATTATCAAATTCAACGTTTTCCTTAGGCGTCAACTTATGCTGACTCAAAGATTTATTTTGAATTTTACTTTGTTGAGTTTTAATGTTACTAGAGACGATGGCGTAATTTTCATTATCGCATTCGTCTTCTGTTGAAGAGTTTTGGGCCATATCTGGGATCGGAGATGGCTTTTGAAGTCTACTTTGACGATTTATATTAATAAAAGATTTAGCCCTTTCATTTTGCTTCTTTTTACTTGAATTTTGTGAATCTTGTAATGGTTCAGATGAAGAGGTCGAGGACTCATCAATTTTCAATGAATGATTTTTACCATTAGAAGAAGTAAAATCACCTTTATGTTTATCTTTTGATGTGCTACTTAATTTTGGTGTTGTAGAAGATTCCCTGTTTTTCTTTTTGAGAGTATCTGTTCGAAATGTTAATCGAGGTCCATTATTTTCGACAATCATCATAAGCTCATCAGGGCTTTGAATGTGTACTCTTTCTAATGAGGAGTTAAGTTTTGATCCTCTTGTAGCCTATAATTCAGAAAAGAAAGAAATGGAAGTTATTGAGATGATAAATTTTAAGTTTCATTTTGTTCTCTTGAATGAAGAAAGTTTAATTACCTTATTTAGATGTTTTGATACACTTTTAATGACTTCAGGCATTGGAGTATCTCCTCTTTCTGAAGAGTTTAGTTTTGATTCATTTTCAACCTATAGTTTAATAAAAATGAAATAGAACATGTTGGAAATAAAGGAGAATAACAAAATCACACACCTTCTTTGTATTTTTCGAAACACTTTTAATAATATCTCCTATTTGAGTGTTTTTATAAGAACAATCATCAGTGTCATCATCAGAAGTTAGAGGATTAACCAAAGTGTCAGATTTCTCAGAAGAAAAAGGCTCTTCTGTAGCTTCAGAGAAAATGTTGCCTTGGCTGGAAGATTGACTGGAAGACTGGAATTAAAAATGACTATAAAAATCCAGTGACAACTCTTTTAAATTACAGGCTTTAATAACTAAAATCTAAGCACTTTATTTACCTTTATAGCAACACTCCATCCTTCATCCATCTTTGGCGATTTCGATTTCTTTGAAGCCAAGTTTTTTTTCTTACGTCTGAGACGTTTAGGTTTTCGTAAAACTTTGGCTTTCTTCTTACCTCGTTCATCACTACTTGAGAGATCTGTACTTTTAAAAGTTTCACTGTCAGATCTAGCTTGAACAGTAAATTCATCCATGTTACATATATCTCGTACAACACAATTATTCTGCGAAATAAGATTTCTTCAACTGCCTTAACACCTTGAAAACCGGATAACGAAGTTTTCAAATCCAGCTGTAAAGGATAGCAAATACGAACGTACCAATTAGAACCGGTTATAAGACAGAGATGACGTTTGTCAGGAACGCCAACTTAACAAGGATAGGCAACCTAAGAAAGTAAAATATTACTATATAGAAATGTTTATATTTTAATGTTTTTAATTTAAATTTTTTTGATGTATCCTTAAACAAATATAACACAAATTCTTACATTTATGTATATAGTTAATAAATTATACACACATAAATAACCAAAACTGAAAACTCCATCACATTGAAAAGAGGTGCTAACACTCACAGCTCTATAAGAATGTTAAATCAGCAAAGCTCCTCTTTATGTTTATTTTATGTTTTGCAGAATGTGTGAAAAGCGAGGATATACAATGGACGCAAAGAGATCAAAACAATAACCATTAGGCGTTGAACATAAAAAAAGGGAGGATAAGCAACAATCTTCAATTAGTAAGTGTTTGTCCCACATTGATTACTAAAACATCAATCCCATGAAATAAGTGATACCACAGTTCAGTAAGGTTTGGTGGAATGACGATAGGTATTTTTCATTTTACCCACATTTTGTACTTGTCAAAGCACCAAAGGTCAAATAAAATATGAATCTGAAATTTTGCATAAATTTTATTCAAATGTTAATAAACAATAATGTACAATCAATGTTCGAAGTATCCACTCTTCGTCTTCACACAAGTCAGAAGACGCTTGGAGAAAGCAGTCTCTGTGGCAGAGAGGTACTCGACGTCGAGATCTTCCCATGCCTTCTGAAGGACGCGTTTCAGACTGTTGAGATTCCTGTGGGGACTTTACACAAGCTTTACTCTCAAGGACCGACCACACGAAAAAGTCGTGGGAGTCCAAATCAAGCGAGTAGACGGCCACTTCGTGGAAGTGATCATGGAAAATTAGTCTGGCACCTTTGTTGAACTACCTTAGCTTCGTGCGTGGGCGCTGAGTCTTGTTCGAATGTCGGTTGTAGTGAGGTTGCCTCCAAGGAAGCATTTGCTTCATCATAATCTCATCAAAGTAGTTCTGGGACTTGATCTTTACCCCCTGATCTACACTTCCTGGTCGAAGGCACTCCTGACCAAACCTGAATGACATGACCTTTACGAGAAACGTAACGACCAGTGTCGTATTCAAGAGAGGGCAAGCTATATTAAAACAACTATATCCGACAGTCTTGTATGGTCACTGTTAGAGTCCGTAATATCTACTCTAGAAGGCACATCAACTTGGAAAGATCGCAAATCGTCATCTGGGGTAACATTGTTGCAAAAGTCTTCCGATTTATGTTGTCTCTTTTAGTTATGGAAGTCGTTTTTGCATACACACTACCCTTGTTAAAATTACTTCAAGTGATAAATACCGACTTGTTTCAAGCAGTTTCCCTTGCAGAAAATTACATTGAAGAACTAAAAAATCCTCGAANGGGACTTGATCTTTACCCCCTGATCTACACTTCCTGGTCGAAGGCACTCCTGGCCAAACCTGAATGACATGACCTTTACGAGAAACGTAACGATCAGTGTCGTATTCAAGGGAGGGCAAAAGGGGCAATTGCACAAGCTATATTAAAACAACTATATCCGACAGTCGTGTATGTTCACTGCGTTTCCCATTCTTTAAATCCGGCTATTTCAGACGCCAGTACTGTGCAGCCTATTAGAAACTGTATGGATATAATAAAAAATGCATACAATTTTTTTTAATACACCAAAGCGACAAATTGTCTTAACCGAAAAAATCAACGAGTTAAATTCCACATAAAGACGAGACAAATTGAAACAACTGTGTCCCACGCGATGGATTCAACGACAAGATTCCATTGTTGTAATGAAAGAACTGTTAGAGTCCGTAGTATCTGCTCTAGAAGACACATCAACTTGGAAAGATCGCGAATCGTCACCTGGGGCAACATTGTTGCAAAATTCTTCCGAATTTATGTTGTCTCTTTTAGTTATGGAAGTCGTTTTTGCATACACACTACCCTTGTCAAAATTACTTCAAGTGATAAATACCGACTTGTTTCAAGCAGTTTCCCTTGCAGAAAATTGCATTGACGAACTAAAAAATCTGCGAAACAATGTTGACACATCTTTTAACAATATATTTCTAACAATTAAAAAGACCAAGACTTGTACTTAGACAAAGATTTAGAGCGAATTTTGAAACAGAATCCACAGAAGAATATTACAAAATATCAGTTTTCATTCCATTCTTAAGGGGGGTACACACCTTCCGTTTATCTGTGCAGTTTACAACGTGTGACGTCATGTCTGAGCGACAAACTGTGCGAAGTGTGCAGTTTAGGACGGTTTTCACGTAGATGAAAATGTCTGTGCGTTCGGATCGTCTTTTGCACTGATAACTGCGTAGTTTATTTACTTCGTCGTATAGATTGTTTAGTCGCCATCCTATTTTTACAATCACCATGACTACGGTCTCCAAAAAAGATTCGCTTTTAGCATTACAATAACAATATAATATATTGTATCTCTTTATATTTATATATAGTTAAGTTATAGTTATAGTAATAAAGTATGGTTCTTCTTTTCGAAATATATTTTATTCGTCACACCTATGGTTTTAACAGATAAAGTAAGCTTACCAGGATAAAATTTTTCAGCGCTTTCCATATTGCCACGCATGTTTCTATTATTGTCTTTCCAAGAGCTTGAGGAGATATTCTCATTGAGAATGACAAATCTTGAAAACTTCTCCCAGCTGCTAGAAACCGAAGTGTAGCAATCATCCTCACATGCGCTGGTATTGCTTCCCTCAAGACTGTGTCCTTTTTTTCAATAAGAGGAGCAACTTTGCCCAATAAAATTTGAAATGCATTTTCGTCCATCCTTAGGTAATTTTTGTAATCGTTAATTTCCCCACCTTCTTGTAACTCAATCAGTAAGTGGTAATCACTGGGTAAAACGCTTCATTGCAGATACTAAGGTTTGCATCAACGTACACAGCGTTTTTTCCTTTTTTTCTTCTTCTAGCAACATTGCTGCAATTATGCAACAAACTGCGGCTCTTCTTTTTCTGTCACCCATTGAACTTGAATTATTTTAGAACACACGTAGAACCAAACCTGTCGAAAGTAACGGGAGAAGTGAGTAAAAATTAATCTGCAGTTCAGATAAATGCACAGATTTTCAGTTATTTTCGATAGATAACTGCGCTAATTAACGGAAGGTGTGGAAGATGAGAGATTTGTTGCACACAAGGATATCTTAGTAGCCTTTGCATGTTTAGTTCCATCACTAGACAAAATTAAAAATTTAAAAGGGCAACTATTAAAATTTGAACAGTTAGTAGAATTTTATAAATATGATCTAGATGACGTCTCAAAACCTGTCGCAGCTGGTAAATTTAAACTTTGGTGCAGAAAATTTTGCAATAGTTTACTAGAAGAATTTCCCAACTCGCCTTTAAATGCATTATCAATTTGTGATTCGATTATCTTTCTTAATATTTATGCGATGAAAATTTTGTGCACCTTGCCAGTAGGTACAGCTACTCCAGAGAGAATATTTTCAACTCTGAAATTGTTGAAAACATATTTAAGAAATACTATAAGTGAGGGTAGATTAAATGGAATAACGCTATTGTATATTTATCCTTCAATAACAATTACGCCCGAAGAAGTGTTGGATGAACTTCAAAAGAAAAGAAGAAAACTAGATTTTGTTTTGTAGATGTATCAGTAAAGATATATAGACTTTCTGGATACGCCACTGATAACGACTTTTGCAGAATTGAACCAATAAACAATGGGAGGGCTAAGAATATACGAGAATAAAACGAAGTACACGACAATTAAAAGAGCTAGACCGCACGGCATACTTATCGACAACTTTAGATTAGGGATGGCATGGTTCCTCTACTTGAGGACACTTTTAAATGACAGAAGCAATAAAAGTATCCTACACTCAAAGATTCTCAGCAAAAAGACCAAGTTTGGATTACATAAAACGCTTATAAGACCTGTAGTAACCTATGAGTTTGAAATGTGGTCAGTGGTACAAAAAGATAAGACCACGTTGACAGTCTTTAAGTGTAAGATACTCCGAGAATCATGATGAATAACGAGTTGGATAGCACGAGGGTGGACGAGGATATAGTTTGTTTTATAAAGGAAAAACACATGCGATGGCTGAGGCATCTACACAGTATGGAGTAGGGGAGACTCGCGAGAGTGCTGCCTGAATGGAAACTGACAGAGAAGAGAAGACGGAGGAGATAAAAAATGGCAACAGAGGACGAATTACGAACTCTGCGTGTTAAACGATGGAGAGACGTTGCTGAGCAAGATAGGCCGAGATAGTAACTAAGGCCAAAACCAACATAGAATTGTAGATCCAAAGGAAGAAGAAAATTATAAAGTATTTCGATGTAACAGAACATGTTTTGAAAAACTGAAAAAAAAATTTTAATGTAGCTAAAAAAAACTTTGTTTAAGTAAATTTGCTTAAAACGTTTACTTAACTATTCATGAATTTAATTAAATAAGTAATACAATACAACCTAACTACACTACAATTTCATTCAAAAATGAGCAGATAACTTATCAATTAAAGATAAATCTCCAATTAATTCTTCAATCCTTGTTCCAATTTTTTTAGACACCTCAAGCTTTTCATTTACAGGTAAATGTAAAAATTTCCAAACCAATTCACCATCAATTATACTCCTTGATGGACCATGGGATTGTTTCCTCCAAGTTGTATATGTTCTGGAACAAAAACTGTAATATATATACTCAACATATAAAAGATTATTCACCTAAACGCTTTTGGATTTAAACCCGCCGTGTGAGAACCTTGAGAAACCAATACGTTTTGTAACATAAGTAATCTACGGTATGTCTTTTCGGGAATTGGCATTAAATAACCGATTCCTCCATCCAAAGTAGCAAACAACGTCAAATGCCGTTTGTCAGCACCCATAATTTGCTTTTTGTCATCACCAAATTGACCTATTTTACATCGTATTCTAAAGAACGAATTGATAGGTTGACCAATATGAAAATCAGCTTTTCTTAATAATTTTTGCCCTAAGTAAATTAAAAGAATGAAAATTAATAATAAAAAAGGAAAAAACTAGAATATTTTTTGTACCACCAAATGATTCTCTTGCTTCTGGTTGATACATGTATAAAACTATGTTTTTCTCACTGTCAGATAATAAGAAACCTAAAGATGAATTATCTATTAGATATTCTATAGCATATACTTCACAGGGACGGAAATCCTAAAAAAATTTAATTATTTTCTACTCTACTACTTATAATTTTGTTTTATAAAAAGTTATTCTAACACTTACCCTTGAGACAAGAGATAAGGTTCTATATTCTTCTTGAAATCTGAGTAAAGAGATTGATTTGTAAACGTCAGCGACCAATATTAAGCTTTTAATGCACAAAATTTGATGAGTAAATATTTGGGTGTCAATAAAAGCAACACCAACTAAGTCGTTATCTTTGAGTTGCCAAATATAAATTTTTTGCCCAACCGCAGACACCAAAAATCCTTTAACTTGAGATATTGCAGTAACTGGACCTTTTTGATCTTTCGCGTAAATTTCTTTAAATTTATTCTTTGTTAAAGGTTGTCCAGGTTCTGGTACAACTTCAATAATATCATAAATCAAAATCTAAAATTATAATCGTTAATGAAAAGATATTAAGCTTATTGCTAATTTATTTTACTCGTCCTCTTGAGGTTATATCTTCCCCATAATTATAATTTGTTCCCAATGCAATATATCCTTTCAAACCCGAACGAGCACCCTCATATGCGAGCGCAACATTTTTTAAACAATTTATATGTTCCCATTCATCTAAATCTATTCTAGTATTTGGAATTACGTCCCAAGATACTGGCGAAAATAACATGATGCTGAATTTTTCTTGAGGTGGATATGGAAATCGATCACCTCTATCTTCAACAGATAACTCTTTATCTTCTCCATTAAATTTGTAATACTCAGTAGATGGATCCGATGTACTTGATACCAAACAATACGTTTTTGATTCCAAATGGTAGCTAACAAAGTGAGGTGTACATCTTAACGGTACTTTTCTTACTGGCCATGGCGCATCATAACTTAAATGAGTTGGAAGAACACCAATTCTCAATTCAGACTTTCTATTAAAGTATAAAAATCCTTGAGGACAATTCACGTTATTAAACGACGCGAAACATAAAATTTCTCCATCAATAGTCATTGAATGAATTCTTAATTCTCCACGATGGGTTAAAAATATCCAATGCGGATTTGCACCACAAATAAACACACCATTATATCCTTAAAAAATAATTCAATTAAAAAAAAGTTTTGATAAAAATAACAATAAATTACCCGCGATGTTATTAAAATATCTCAGCTTAGGAACTTTATCGTGTAAAACAAAGAAATCTCCATTTTCTACATCAATATCTCCAGAAATGTTTGGAGCATAAAAAATGGAATGTTGAAGTTTTTTGAAACGTAATTTTAAATTACCACGCGTAAACCTAAACACCTCATAAATGTACAAATCTCTTTCTAAACGAACTAACAGTAAAGGTCTTGACCCTCGATTTCCTAAACTGACCATTAAAATTTCTTTAACCTCGAAATCCCTTTGAATTGACGCATCATTTGCTGAAGATCCATCGAAACCAAGTGACACCGATTCCAAACTATCCACCAAAACTTTATAACCAAAACATAAATTACGAACGATAAAACACAATTTAAATTCGGGAATAGAATAGATTTCCATATTCGAGTTTTCTCGTACCACAAACAACCAATATGTCGATTTTGGTTCAAGTAAATATTTTTTCCACCAATTGTAGAAAATTTTAGGCTTACTACTGGGTGGATTTAAAGTTGGCATTTTAAACTCGCTATCATCACCGTACAATAAATCGTCTTCATTTTCAACTTCACTTTTCGTCTCTGATTCAAATTGTTTGGGAATTTGAGTGAATTCCTCTGGGATTTTATTTGTAAATAAACCAGATGTATCTTTGTACATACACAGTGTAGTTACAGCTGGTGTCTAAAAATTTTTAATTTAGATTAATAAGATTTTATTAAAAAGAAAGTAGAGAGAGGTTTTTATGAAACTTACATTGGCTAATGTCGATTTACTAACAACCATACGAACAGTTCCTCTAGTTTCCCTCAACATCAGCGTAATAACTTGACCATCAGCTGCTAAAATAGCTAAATAAGGGTCTGCGTTTGAAGCTTGTACAATAGGTGATCCCAAATCCAAAGGAATATGTTGTAATTGCATTGTTCCTATCGATAAATAAAATGTAATTAATAAATAATTAAGTACAAACAAATATAAAAATTACCCTGTAATAAACGAACTGCAGATGTGGTAACTTGCGCTGTATACTTATTATTCCCCAAATTACAAACATAAACGGTTGGAACTTGAGTAGCAAATCCAGTGTTATCAACTTCATTGATTTCGTGACCAGTTTGAAGAATCTATTTCAATAAATTACATTAAAAATTTCCAAATGAATGTGTAACTTTACCATAGTAGCATCTTCTTGGCTCAATATTAAAAATGCGTGTTTATCATCACTTTTGGATACTGTCCACATATTAAAGCATCCTGGTAAAGTGAATGTGGTTACAACTTGAGGTCTAATTGATTGTTGTAATACACAAAGAGCTCCGTTTTTTCCATAACCAGCGGTTGTTACAAGTTCTAAATCCATGTCGGGGCAATGTTGAAATTCTTCGCTTAAAAATGCCGGTTCACCAATAGAAACATTACCACATGGGCCTATATTTAATAAACTATCACAAACCTAAGATAAAAGAATTAATAAGAATTAAAAGTTCAGTTAAAAGAATTCAGTTAAAACAAGATCTTAGTTATAGTAAAATCTCGATATAATGGACCTCATTAGAACGGACAAAATATATTTAAGTCATACTATTAATATTATCTATTAACTATTTAATACATCAGTATATTTAAATATAAATAAAAAAGTTGCTCTATTCCATGTTCATAGATAAACTCGGGGTATTCCCTGAGTTGTCTATATTCTATATCAGTGGTGTCCATAACGTCGACTGGTCGATCGCAAAGCAGTTTTGAGTCGATCGCCAAGAAAATCGTAAATCTGAAATATCTATTATCTGAGCCTTAGAGCAAAAAAAAAGGAAGGTTACTTTAAACCCTTCGGTCGCTTTTGATCAAAAATTAGTGGACACTACTGCTCTAAATCGATTAAACGTCAAAATTGTTGATTTTCGAAAATTAACTCAATCATAACTCAAAAACTAAAAGCGATGGAGAAATACTTTTTATACATAAAACCTTAGTAATGGNTCAGCCTGAAATGTGGGTCAGGTAAATGGACCCAGGTGGAACAGATCTCAATTAAACAATTGTGTGGCATTTCAAACTCTCCAAACCAATATCTGATACCTATCTCATAACACTACAGTGATTGATACGATAGTAAAACCTCGATATAACGGATTTTATTAAAATGGAATTTGGATATAAGGGACAATATATATTTAAGTCATACTATTAATATTATCTATTAACTATTTAATACATCAGTATATTTAAATATAAATAAAAAAGTTGCTCTATTCCATGTTCATAGATAAACTCGGGGTATTCCCTGAGTTGTCTATATTCTATATCAGTGGTGTCCATAATGTCGACTGGTCGATCGCAAAGCAGTTTTGAGTCGATCGCCAAGAAAATCATAAATCTGAAATATCTAATATCTGAGCCTTAGAGCAAAAAAAAGGAAGGTTACTTTAAACCCTTCGGTCGATCTTGGCAAGACATTTATATAAAAAGTCGATCTTGATCAAACAGTGTTAGTGGACAACACTGTTCGATATGATGTACAAATCAAGGACATAGAGACGGGCAATGAACTATACCTAATATTCTTGGACCTAAAAGCAGCTTTTGCCACATTATATGGAAGTGTCTAGAATAAGTAATGGTACCACAAAAACTAACAACATAATTGAAAACCTGTACAAGAAAGTCAAGGGCATAGTACAAATGAAGGGAGAAATATCAAAAACTTTTGAAATGAGCAAGGGAATAAAACAAGACAATAGCCTAAGGCCCTTGTTATTTATAATATTAATGGACAGAGTGATAAAAAATAAATACAAACAAGAACAAATAAATATCAAACAGTAATAGGTTATAAAAGTTTGGAACCAGTAAAAATAGATAATTTACTACATGCTGACGACATAGTGCTGATAGCAGAGAATCATAAAATCAATTTTTGGGAAGAAGGAGATAGATAAAAAGTTCAGTCCCAATATTAACATATGCCAGTGAATCATGGACACTCCAAGACGAAGTGGGATAGGATAAGGAATGAGGAAATAAGACTGGGATTACATCAAGAGGAGATAATCAGCAAAATAGAGAGAAAGCAACTAAACTAGTACGCCCACATAATTAGAATAGAACATAACACAATTGTTAACAATGGTATTTGAAGCAAAGAATAAGGATAAGAAAAAGAGGGGAAGACCTAGGAAGAAGTGGAAGAAAGGAATAGCAGAAGTTGGGAAGAAGAGAGGCAGATGACTCTAGCAGATATAATAGGAAAAGATTTATCCGACGCCTTCAGGCATAAGGATCAGGAGAAGAAGAAATCAAGGACGGTAGTTCTAGTTTTAATTGTTATTCAGCGCTAGATTGTAGTATATTTTTATTGAACTAAAAATAGAACTAACACTAGAACTAGAAACATTCGTGTTTAGCTGTGTTAGTTCTAGTTTTTTGGTTCTAGGTGCACTTTGAGCTGTGCACCTGTTGTAGACTGAACGCAATGGTGTATCCCTTCCCCATATTAATCCGTTAAATCGAGGTTTTACTGTAATAACATTACCTCAAAAATGTAAGTTGTTATTTGCAAACTTGTTTGTTTTTCGTTACCATACACTTCTAATTCTTCAGGATCTCTTATGTCAAGAACATCACTGGCCATGCAATCGTTTATGCTGTCTAAAACCTTTTCAGGTTCTGACGTTTTAGCTCGTTTTGATGAGGGTTCATTAGAATCATCTAATGTTATAAATTGGCATTGATCTTTTTCGACGAATCGTAAAAGTAAAGAATTTCCCAACCTTGATCCCAAGAAAAGAAAATTATTTTCACATACACAAATCTAAAAGCATTTTTGATCATTTATGGAAATGTTGTATAAAAAAAATAAATCTTTATTTCTTACACAAGTTGTTAAAACACTAGCTGCTGCTTTCTCAAAATGAAAACTTCTAACATATCTCATATTATCTGCCAATAAAGTTAACACGTATAATTCGCCATTTTTTAATGATAGTACTAAAGTATCCTCCTCCAAAAACCCAACTTGAGCACAATCTAAGCTTATATTTATATTATCTTGTGGTTCTAAAATTATCAATTAAGTTTAAAATTGTATTTTTATCATTTATGAAAATTATTATACTTAGAGGGAAACTTGTAGAATTTTCTGTAATACTATTTAAAGCCACTCCATATGGTGGTATACTTTGATTCAAATAAATAAGTGCATTTACTGCAAAGATTAATGTACCACCCAAAGGTTTTTTAATCGAAACCGCTTTTGTACAATCAAAGGGTAAATTAGACATACTCCAAATGATTGGATGAACCTTTTGTTGTAAATTTAAAGAAATTGCAGCCATGGCACACGTATCAGTACGAACAGCTACCCGCCTATTTAAAAAAATAATTTAAAAATAGTATTAAAGCATGCTTGAAACAAAAATTACCCAGAAAACGTTTTTAGTGGTTCATATAAAATAAGAAGTGTAGGTTCGTAATAACCATGCAAAAATTGTATGTCAATAATATTATCAATCTTATCAATAAAATCTTTTAACACAATCATATAAGAGGCTAAAATAGGTGCTTTTGAACCGTAACTTCCCGAAGACATAGGTTTGATATCTGGCCCATCAGTTTCATCAATCGCATTGTCTCTTTTAAATGGTAAAACAACCAATTTACGACCAAAAACTGTCATCACAGCACAACGGTTTTCAGGATCTGCACGAACTATTGGAACATGATGGTGATGTGTCCAACCATCTTTCATCTCATCCTCTTCAAAATAATGCAAACTAAGTGTTTTCAAATCGTGACTTTCAGGATCATATTCAACTACTGATAATTTTGCATCATTAAAACCTAAAAGGAGAGCATCTCTTGGGGAATTTGTTAGGTTTATACTTTGCATTGAGACTATGTTCCCAAATAACGAGTATTGGGTGACACATTCTAATTTTGATTTTGGTGGTTTTCGATCTACAATAAATAAGGAACATGTAGTAAGTTAATGTAATTAAGGAAAATATTAATTTTTACTTACCAGAAATTTTTTCGAAACGATTTTTATCGATATCGGGAATTAACTTATAAACTTTAATGATATTGGCAGCTGTAATTATGAGGCTTTTCTCATTTTTGTTGAAAAAGTGGCAACTTAAAGCGTTCTCGACCCCAGTAGCGGGGTGAGTTTGCTTGCATATCGAAAACATGATCACTTTTATTTAAAAAAATCGCATGGGGTTAGAAAATATAAAAGCATCAATTAAAGTGAATAAACATAACCTTATTTTAACCTCAAAATGATTTGTTTATGGTTGAACAGGATATCTTACAATTGTGTAATGTTGGTTGCATAAAAATATTAATTTTTTGTATTAAATCCAGATAACTTAATCCACTTAACCCATTTGCATTGTAAACTCATACATTTGCGGATTAACTAAAACTAGAGCTAACACTAGCACTGGAACTAACCCTAGAACTAGAAACATCCAGGTTTAGCCCTTAAGATGGCTAAACTTAAATGTTACTAGTTCTAAGTCTAGTGTTAGTTCTAATTTTAGTTGTTAAAATATACAACAATTAAAACTAGCACTAACACTAGACCTACAACTAGAAAGTTTCGGGTTTAGCCGTACATCTTCAGACGCACGGCTAAACGGCTAGTTTCAGTTCAATGAAAGTATACCCACCAAACAGACACAAGACCGCATGTGTACAATCAGAACATTAATAGATAAAACAATGGAAATGGGCAAGGACATATACCTAGCATTTGTGGATCTAACAGCAAACTTTAATACAGTACCTACCAAAAGAAGAACTGTGGAAAGCCTTACAAGCGTTACATATAAACAAAAAATTACAAAGAGCAATTAAAAGTGTAAAATGAAAAAGTGCTAAATGGAGAAATGCCCAAGAACTTTAACATGGAAAAGGGTGTGAAACAGTATATCAAATAATTAAGAAGTGTAAAACAAGAACAAGACCTTCCACAATAGGTTATTACAAATTAACACCAAGACCTTTGACTTAGTGTATGCAGAAATAGCCACGGAGCAGATCTTTGTAGCAATTCTTTCAGCCTATCACAGTAGCAGTCCACTGAAGGTGAAAAGTAATAAACGGGGGGCGCACCCTGGTGGAACGAATCTCTTAGCCCCGAAAGACAAGAGGTTCGGAGGCTTTTTAACCGGGCCAAGACATTAGGTGAATGGGAGAAATACAAACAAGCTCTAACGAATTACACCAAAAACATACGTAAGGCAAAAAGAGAGTCTTGGAGGAGGTTCTGTGAGGGAGTGAAAGACACACCCAGCAGTGCAAGAATTCACAAGATTCTCGCTAGAGATCCTGGGCTCACTTAAGATCTCCCCTGCTTTGGTCCCTCCTGGTTGACGATTTGATTGCGATAGTCGAAGCCGTTGGTGTAGAAATACAAGCTTATGCTGATGACATTGTCGTTATGATCAAAGGAACCTGTTTGTCGAGGATATCTAAAGTCCTCCAGGTGACCCTAGATACCATTTGCGCTTGGTGTAAGAGAGAGAACCTCTCGATAAACCCGCAAAAGACAATTGTTGTGCCCTTCACCAGGAAACGAAAATTGGATGGACTAATCAGCCCAACTATCGAAGGTGAAGACAATCCTTTCTCAAAGGAAGTCAAATATCTAGGAGTAATCCTAGACAAAACCTTGTTATGAAATGAACATTTGCAGGGAATTTTGCACAAAGCTAGACTATCCTTGTGGACTTGTCGCAGTCTTTGTGGAAAAAATTGGGGTCTTACCCCTGAAAGACTGTACTGGCTCTATATCACTGTGGTTAGACCTATGATCACATACAGAGCAGCAGCCTAGTATAGGAAAGTCCGACAGACTTCAGTTATCAGTAAACTTTCACGAATTCAACGGGTAGCTGGATTGGCAATCTCTGGTGCGATAAGCACAACGCCAACTCTAGCAATAGAGGTTCTGCTTGGCCTATCTTATCTGCATTTACATATAGAAAAAGTGGCTAGAACAACCATTTACAGATTTAAGCAATATGCTCAAAACTGTTCCGACATGTCCTACCAATGTGCTGCGGAAGACATTATAAGCACTGATACTGTGCTATCAATGCCGTGAAGTATTTGCTATTGACATGGGTGCTAAAATCCTTCTTGAGAGAGGGGTGAAGAACATGACAGTACGAATTTTCTCAAACAGTCAAGCCGGTGTCGGCTCTGGTTAATGATTGCAAGAGAACCTTAAACACACTGAGTTGTGATAACAGAGTTTCTCTGATCTGAGTCCCGGGTCACTCTGGGGTTGCTGGCAATGAAGCAGGAGATGAGCTAGCACGAGAGGGCAGCGCTAAAGCGTTCTCCTGGAATGAGACATACTAAGGTGTTTATTAACATTGCCACTGTCAAACCCGGGAACATTTTAGGACTTGCTCGTAGCAACATAAAAGTTCTAATGGGTGTCTTTACTGGACATTGCCAATTAAAAGCACAACTTGTTGGGTTTAACCGACGATGTTGAATGCTGACTATGTGCGGAGGAAACAAAGACGGTTGAGCATGTTTTATGTCACTGCCTTGGCCTTTGGGTTGCATGAATGACTTTCTGAATGACTTTCCATTCATACCTTTATCTATCAGGATACAATTTTGATCCGTAGGGACCTTAGGGTCGCGGAGCAAGGTTGGTGCGCCTACCCGATATGTAATTTAAGTAATATGTGCAGAAAGTGAAGAATATGACAAGGAACAGTAGTTGTTTTAGAAGATGGATAGAGGATCCCAACAACACCCCAACGCTGTGATGGCATCTAGGGGAAATGATAAAGAAGAAGAAAGTACACTATACTCTAACGCTGAACAATAATTAAAACTAGAGCAAACAGTAGCACTAGAACTAACACTAGATCTAGAAACATTGGGGTTGTAACATTAATATTTAAAGTGTTAATTAATATTAACATTTAAACATTGGCACTAGTGTGAAATTAGAAATTTAAATTGCATGTACTGATAGTCGGGGCGGTGAACTAAAAATTGAAAATTAATTATTTATTAAATATTTAATTTATTATTGGTAGAAAATGTTATAATATATAATAACAATGAAAATTATTGACTAGTGTAAATAATATATTTTTATGTACAATTCATAAATTTTAATTTCTAACATAGTAATATGTATTTCTTTGAGTTGAATTTTAGTTTATTCTGGATTATCTCTCAAAGAATAACTTGAAGTTCTACTAATTCCAGCAAATTTTTGCTTGGGTTTGAGATCTAATTTACTTTTTAACTGAAGAACGTTTGGTTTTAATGCTGGTTTTGCTAAAGGCGTTATAACTTCATCATAAATTTCTTGAGAATCACTTTCGTCCTCAATGGACTCATTTTTAACTTGATTCATAGAAACTTTTCGTTCTGCTTGTATTTTTTCATTCAACGGAAGATCATAGTCAACTTGTTCATCTTCATCGTCTTCAATTGACTGTTCTGGTGTGGACAATTTAGGATGTTGAGAATTTTTATTGTGTGCATGCAAAAAATACTTTGGTTTACTGTGTAAGGGTGGCGGTAACGGTGGTGGAGATAGATCTTGTTTTTCAATGGATTGTTGTGGTGTTGGAGAAGACACATGTACGGGAGTTTCATATATATTTTCTCCGTTTTCATCAACATCAGTTAGAATAACAGCATCATAAGTTTCTAATGATTCATGCTTCTTATTTTCATTTAACATGTACGAATTTGGGATGCTAAGAACTTGTGGAAGCGGTGGTAATTCTTTTCGAACAGATTTGTGATATCTGTAAAATAATAATGTTTGTTAAGGATTTAATTAAATTTCTAAATTTATTTCTTACGGTTTATTAATTTCTATATTTCCTTTGATTGTGGTTTGCTCTGGTAAGATCAATGTAGCTTTTCTTAATGCAGTAATCCATTGGTCCAAATCTTTGGCATTTTTTGCTAAAAACTAAAACATAACAATACTTGTAAAGTAGTACGGAGTGATCCAGACTTGTAAAAGTGTGATCGAAAAGTTGAACAGCAATAGATTATTTATCTTTCCTATATATAGGAAACGCAAATGGAACAGGACGAAACAGGCACTAGTCTAGATCTACAGGGTAGCTGGCGAAGAGGAAGGCCCAAGACAGTATGAATGATGAAGGAGTTGGAAGCACATGGAAACACATCGGGAAAAGTAAAGCTGATGGCACGGAACAGAGACCGATGGTTGCCGTTTGTCGAGGTCCTATGCTGCAGATAGCGAGTTAGAACTCTTGGTAAAGTCAGTATATCCTGCACGTCTTGTCCTAATACCCATTTGTATAGTGTTATCTTTCATTATTGCCGTGCTGCATTAAAGTTACAAACATTTTTTATACTTCTGTACTCTTTAAACGAGGTATTGTATAATGATATGTTTACGTTGCGGTGGCGTTCTGATCTATGTACTTTAGCGATATGACATGATATTGCAACATCACGGTATCGTGAGTAACATCGTAACCACGATCGCGTGATCAACAACCACCTTCAGATACTGAATGTTTAGGTGACCCATTCCCTCGTGCTAATCGATATATACAGATGCATTTCCCTCATGATAAAGAACTCTTTTCACTGAATACGATATCAGCAATAAATAACCTTCGAATAGTATTCGATCACATTTTCACAAATCTTGTAAATAATAACTGACAATTAACGATAATTAGTAATCAATAATTACTGATTATTAATTGCTAATTATCATCTGTATTCATAAATGTATAAATATGTAAGTACTTGATAATTTTTTGAAGGTGATATAAGCTCAAAAGATCTCGCTTGTTTTTTACATTTAACGTCTCCTGTGTTCACATATTTTACAGTTGTCATTTCTAAATCTACAAATTCTATCGGTTTGATGTCTTTTTCCGATGTGTAAATTAACAACCATGAATCGACAATAATAGCAAGCTGTTTAATTTGATGTTCTAAGAACCAAACGGTTTTTTTCCTCTCCAAGTATCCCCAATGGTTATCGGATTTTGCGTCTAATACACTCATAGCTGTAAAAAAATGATTAAAAATTAAATCTAGTATTACTAGATACTTACAAGATTACAAGAGTACTTACATTTATAAGGACAGTCCTTTGTGATTAGCTCGATTGTTGCATTACTTTCTGTTGGAGTAATATCTTTTGGAATAGGTTTTGGAGGTACTAAAATAAAGCATATAGAAAGGTTTAAGGTTTTAAGTAGAATATGTATTGACCTGAATATATTAGTGGATAAAACATTCACCAAACATTAATAAAAGCATCTACATTGTTATGACATGTTTTTTTTATAAATCACGTTTAGTTCTTGAGATACAAAGTTTTGAACTCGATCAAAATTTCTGGTTATTGTTAAGTTTTCCTTGATTGAATTAAAAATTCGTGGAAAATTGATTTGTTGAAAAATATCGATAAAATTATTATCAATTATTAATAAAAGTATCTACTTTTTAATGGTAGAATTTGTTTTGAAAAATCACGTTGAGTTCTTGCGCTACAAGGCTTTGAATTTAAGCAAAATTTTTGGAGTTTTCTACGATTAACAAAAATTCCTGGAAAATCAGTTTGTTGGAAAATGTTGATAAATTTTTCACCAATCATTAATACAAGCATCTACTTTGTAATGGTACAATCTGGTTTGAAAAATCACGTTAAATTCTTGAGATACAAGGTTTTGAACTCAATCGAAATTTCTGCTTATTTTTAAGATTTCCTTGATTACCTTAAAAAATCCTAGAAAATCGATTTGTTGGAAAATGTTGATAACTTTCTCATCAATTATTAATAAAACCACTACTTTTTGATGATCAAATTTGTTTTGAAAAATAACGTTTAGTTGTTGAGATACAAGGCTTTGAATTGAAGCAAAATTTTTGGAGTTTTCTACGATTAACAAAAATTCCTGGAAAATCAATTTGTTGGAAAATGTTGATACATTTTTCACCAATCATTAATACAAGCATCTATTTTTTAATTTTAGAATCTGGTTTGAAAAATCACGTTAAATTCTTGAGATACAAGGTTTTGAATTCAATCGAAATTTCTGCTTATTTTTAAGATTTCCTTCATTATCTTAAAAAATCCTAGAAAATCGATTTGTTGGAAAATGTTGATAACTTTCTCACCAATTATTAATAAAGCCATCTACTTTTTAATGATCAAATTTGTTTTGAAAAATCACGTTTAGTTCTTGAGATACAAGGCTTTGAATTCAAGCAAAATTTTTGAGGTTCCTACTATTAACAAAAATTCCTGGAAAATCAATTTGTTGGAAAATGTTGATAAATTTTTCACCAATTGTTAATACAAACATCTAGTTTTTAATGGTACAGTCTATTTTGAAAAATCACGTTTAGTTTTTGAGATACAAGATTTTGAATTCAAGCTAAATTTTTGGAGTTTTCCGCGATTAATAAAAGTTCCAGGAAAATCGATTTGTTGGAAAATGTTCATAAATTTTTCACCAATCATTAATACAAGCATCTACTTTTTAATTTTAGAATCAGGTTTGAAAAAATCACGTTAAATTCTTCAGGTACAAGGTTTTGAACTCAATCGAAATTTCTGCTTATTTTTAAGTTTTCCTTGATTATCTTAAAAAATCCTAGAAAATCGATTTGTTGGAAAATGTTGATAACTTTCACACCAATTATTAATAAAACCATCTACTTTTTAATGATCAAATTTATTTTGAAAAACCACGTTTAATTCTTGAGATACAAGGCTTTGAATTCAAGCAAAATTTTTGAGGTTCCTACGATTAACAAAAATTCCTGAAAAATCAATTTGTTGGAAAATGTTGATAAATTTTTCACCAATTGTTAATACAAACATCTAGTTTTTAATGGTACAGTCTATTTTGAAAAATCATGTTTAGTTTTTGAGATACAAGGTTTTGAATTCAAGCTAAATTTTTGGAGTTTTCCGCGATTAATAAAAGTTCCAGGAAAATCGATTTGTTGGAAAATGTTGATAAATTTTTCACCTAACATTAATACAAGTATCTACTTTTTAATGGTAGAATCTGGTTTGAATAATTACGTTTAATTCATGAGATACAAGGTTTTGAACTCTATCGAAATTTCTGCTTATTTTTAAGTTTTCCTTAATTATCTTTAAAAATCCTGGAAAATCGACTCGTTGGAAAATGTTGATTTTGTTTTTTCACCAATTATTAATAAAACCATCTACTTTTTAATGATCAAATTTGTTTTGAAAAATTACGTTTAGTTCTTGAGATACAAAAGGCTTTGAATTCAAGCAAAATTTTTGGAGTTTTCTACGATTAACAAAAATTCCTGGAAAATCAATTTGTTGGAAAATGTTGATAAATTTTTCACCAATTGTTAATACAAACATCTAGTTTTTAATGGTAGAATCTGTTTTGAAAAATCACGTTCAATTCTTGAGATACAAGGTGTTGAACTCAATCGAAATTTCTGCTTATTTTTAAGTATTCCTTGATTATCTAAAAAATTCCTGGAAAATCGATTCGTTGAAAAATGTTGATAACTTTTTCACCCATTATTAATAAAAGCATCTACTTTTTAATGATCAAATTTGTTTTTAAAAATCACGTTTAGTTCTTGAGATACAAGGTTATGAACTTAAACGAAATATCTGGTTATTTTAATGTTTTCCTTGAAAATTTCAGGGAAATCAATTTATTGAAAACTGTTGGTGTACTTTAAACAAGAAATAAATCGAAGTCATTTAGAACAAAATGTTCTCGAACAAACATGTCAAATAAGGCAATAAAATCTGCAAGAAATGAATTATCTTGGTAGAATGAAGTGAAATAAAGCAACTATTGCGTCCTTTGAAAAAATGTGCACTATTTGCATTGACAAAAAAGTATTAAATTTGTTCGTTAGAAAATGTAAGTTTTGTAAATATTGAAAACATGATGACGATTTTAGAGTTGTTTCGTAGTTTGCGTAAACACATCATAAGTAACGTTGATAAGTATATTTAATTATTTGATTAATTATACTGAAATTACAATATTGGTACAAAGCAGTCAATAATGCAATCGATAATTTAAGGCAGACTAATGTGGTTAAATCCGAATTGCTTGGAATAATGGACACCATTTAGCTTTCGTACTTCAGTTCCAACTTGAAACAAACTACATCGAAACTTGTCAACATTATTGTCTACAATGTAGACTCTACATGAAAGAAAAACAAAGCTTTTAACACATATTTTTAGTATTGTACACTTTACTGAATAATTTATTCGTCACTAAACCTTTGATATTGTTTATTTTTCATTGTTATCAATATTTCGCGATATCACCGGATGAAACTATCTCAATACTCAAGCATAAATTTACAAATACATTAAAAAAAATGTTTTTTTTCTCTTAAAATAATAGTGATTAAAAATATGAAACAAACCTTTAGGGGTCATATCAACATAACTTGCATCCGATTCCGGTGTATCAACTGTAAATTTAGCTATCGTTTGTAATTGTGATTTCGACCGGTTTATCAGCTTTTCCGCCAACGATTTCTGTTCTTTGGAAAACCCGTCATTTACGTTATTTCCGAGAAATTCACAAATATCTAAATGAATAAAAAAGATTTTTTTTACAATAAACAATTAAATGTTTTATGTTAAATAAGTTTTATCACCTTTTAAAAGAGCTTCTATATCGCCCACCAATGAGTTTACGTTTCCGTTTAACATGTTTGATTAATTAACAAAGGCGTCGTTTAATAAAATTTATTATTATTTTTTTAATTGAATTTGTTCACAAAAAATAACACATCGTCGCACACATTTGAAAGGAAACTGTTGGTTTGGAGTTAATCGAATCACTGTTTTGGGAATACCGAGTTCTCGTTTCGAGAAGTTCTGAAGTTAGAACAACCTCCCGCAGAGACGAGGCGTAGTCTCCAAACTAAGCCGCCGTCGTCGTCAATTAAATCTGTTACTCACTGGTAGATGTACAATTAATGAATACGGCGTTAGTTAAAAAATTGGATAATTTCTAACTATAGATGTTTTTGAAATATATCTGAAATATAAATTGAAAACATAAAATATCTATATGACAAAATTTTGATAAAGCATTGATAACATGAATAAATAAGGAAAAATGAATATTATTTTCTTACTAGAATGTAGGATGCGTTACATGGAAATGCAATATAAATACACATATAAAAAAAGAATATTTTTCCTTATATTTTGAATACACTGTCAATAAAAAATTAAATAATAAACAAGTTATTGACATGCATATTATTTTAAATTTTTAATTCCCAACGAACAAAAAAATATCACGTTCACATTCATTATAATTCAAATTAATCAATATTTTGAAACATAAAATTAATTAAACTTTAATACCACCAAGTTATTATGAATTAAAATTTCTTGTTATTTCCATTTTGTAATTTTAATTCATTTTGAAATAAGTAGAATCTCTCATTATTATAATGACTTATATAACTACTTTCAAAACCGTTTACAAGAAAGAAGAGATAAAAATAAAAGCAATTAATCTATAACTTTAAAATTACAAAATTCTCTCAAATAGTAAAACAAATTTTTAATCACTATCAATATTAATGGTTTTCAAGTCAGCCCAGTTGATTTCAACTTCCATTTTTTGCCCAGAATGGAAACAAACTTTTACTTTTATAGGTGAGTACATGTCTTTATCCAAGGCAGACCATCCTGTGTACTAAAAAAAATCTATAAGGATAATAGTTAACGGATTTTATAAAATTTATTTACAATTGATGTATTGCGATGACGGACTTGATCGTCTTGTTTAAATGGTTCATATTTCTGCAAAAGGGCTTTGCCGTCAATTTTCCAAATACAAGGAGGGTTACTCATATCACCTGATTGGGCGTCTTTCTTTGCAATTACAAATGATCCAGGCTAAAAGAAAGAAAATTAAAGGTGCAGTTTATTTATAAAATTTTATAGTTATATTGTATCTGAATAACATTTTTAATTATTTTGGAAATTAATCGTGTAATATTAAGATATTCCATGGTTCAGCCAATGTTTCTCTCAAGATATTTGGTTTATTACACATTTTATACATTAAACTTATAATTCATAATTATTAGCAATGCATGTGTACAAATTACTGTACCAGAAATCAAAACCTTTATAGCAGTTAAATACGGATGCAATGTTCTAAAGACTATTGAACAATATCTATGCGATACTTAATTGCATATGCCTTTCAGATTCAGCTACTTATCAACTTTATCAAGTACCACCAAAAAGATTCTGGGGCCTTCTACAAGGTCCCGCTAAACACCTTGTCAAGATTTTGTCTCTTTTTACAGGAAAAACAGATTCATGTCACAGATTGTACGCATTTTATGGAATCACTCAAAAGTATGAAGTTAGACCGCACGATATCCTTGTAACTTTCGATGTGGAATCTCTATTTACCAAAGTATCAGTCAAAGATGCGGTGGATGGTCTTCGGCAGAAACTCATCCCGGGGGGGGATGACTGTTTAAGATCTACATATTTAGCTAGAAGGGAGAAGTCTACGAGCAGCATTGCGAAGGAGCCATGGGATCACTTTTTTCACCGGTAATCGCCAATTTCTACATGGAGATATTTGAGGAAGTGGCGTTAAGGAAGAGTTCGTGGAAACCACAGCTATGGCTTCGTTATGTGAATGAAACGGAAGCTGCAAAACAATTATTACCTTTCCTGGATATTTTGGTCTCTAGGAAGGCAGATGAGGGTATGGAATCGTAAGAATACACACACATACAGGTATCTACAGGCTTCAGGTTTTATCTGCCTCCCTTATGTTTCAAGTTTGACGGAGCGGATTGCAAGGTGTGTGAAGAGGAAGTATATCGTGGTATGATACAGTATGATCAGCAAAATTTGGAACGCTCTTCCGATAGCTAAAGACAAACTAACATCATTAAAGGAAACTGGACTCTATCGGCCATCATGTAGCTGTGGGAAATATTGCGTTGGCCAACCTGGACGTAACACCCAGCAGTAAAGTCCATAACAATAACAACCAATAATAAGATCTAGCAGTAGGCAGTCACAGAGCATTGCCACAAAAAGGAACACTCCATGTATTTTGATAATAAAGGTGCTAACCAGGGCAGGAAATAATTTCCAAAGAATGACAAGAGACGCGATAGAGATCCATCGACATAGGGAACAATATCAAAAATGAAGATGTTGAGAAGATGATTAACTAAGAGATGAAATCCAGGTTGCATTAGGTGTCCGACCAGGAGACAACCTAAGCCCATGCTTGTTTAACCTTATTATGTAAACCACTATAACATGGATAGATTAATACTAAACACAAAATCAATGACTACCGCCAAAGATACCATAATAAGTCCGCAGTAAAATACCCGACTATAAATCAAATTATGTCATTTAACTATCTCGGAGTAATTATCTCTAGCAATAGAGAAACGAAGTGGGTAACACAATCGAGTAAAAGAGCAGTACGTCATATGAAGACATACGAGGCTGAGACAAGAGTAAGGGGCAAATTTTGAGAACTGAGCTGTAAACGCCAAGTAGATAATGGGCGTCACGTAAACTATGTAAAAGGTGTTTCAAAGTGGATCTTGAGTGTATGACTCAAGCTAAAAACTGAAATTGTTGACAAAGAAAACGTTAGAACGGAAGCAAATTCTTAGCGATAAGCGTTACATAGACTTATAAATAAAAGTGAAACAACTGTCACAGCAGATCGTTTTCTAAAAAATGCTCCTATAAAATATATTTGCGTTCTGCAAAGGCACAGAAAATGCTTAAAAAGTCAGCTTGGCTATGTTTTGAAAATGAAAGAACCAACTCACATTAATTTGATAGTAAATAATGTTTTTATTCAGAATAAAGTATGAAGGAAAAACTTTTATTAAGTATGTACATTAGAATTTATAGATTTATATATATTTTGTTTTAAAATTCAATTTACATAAAGTTTGTTAAATAATGGCCTTGTTTGTCGATGTTTCTCAAATTTGTTTTAGTGTTACATCATTATCATAAGTAGTCTTTAGTGAAGTTACGCGTATGAGGTAAACAAAATAAATAATAAACGTAGCCATCATCTTTTTGGCTTCTGGCACAAACAGGAGATGCGCCACTATGTAATAAAGTTGTACACAAAATTTCTTCATTGCAACTAATTAACACTGATAGTTATTAGTCTATAAAACTGTGACTGTGTCAACTTATCTGTTAGATCACATTCCTGATAATGAAGGGCAAACTTCCTTCCAAATTATTTCTAATAACAAAGAATATTATATTTTAGAACATTTTTTTATTCAATTCCTCTGTTTTTATAGTTTATTATTTAATATTTTATAAGAAAAATTTTGTTATACCTGTTAATATATAGTTTCAGATGATGTTAAAACTTCTGCAAGTACAGATTTTTATTAATTATTTAATAAAAAATGGTTTGGAACATGGATCCCTTAATTATTTCAACCACTTCTGATGGTTACTGTGACATGTATATATTTTTTTTCTATTCCACAACTTATTACTTCAATTTCATATTATCTTAAAAAGAATTGTAAGTTGAATCAATTGGAAAACAACAAAAAATAGAAACTGCTGATACCTAGTACCACAATATTGGACACTTTGTTTACTACAAATAAACATTGTTGGTATTATAGGTCAAACTATAATTTATAAAAAATAATCCCTTATGAGTTGTGAAAAATGTTGGTGTTTCAAATAAACCATTTTTGGCAAATGTTATCTAATTAAACCTAATTATAGATTAACTCATTTTCTGATTTCTTAAATATAACAGACTTGTTGTAACCAACTCCTAATCAATGTGACAAACTCCTTAAAAAATACTCTTTAATCTTGTGATTACAATTATGCTATGACTCACAGAAACACTTTGTAGTGCTAAAACAATTCATAATTTGGATTTATCTAAATCTGGCACATACATGCATTCAAACAATAATATCAAAGTGCCAAAGTTTTTGTACTTTTATCTGAAGTAATGTTAGTTATCTAACATGTTCTAGCTTCTAAGAATTTTTAGATGCAAATCAAATAATTATATTTCTTCGATGATGATGTGAAGACCAAGAATCTTCAGCACATTTAATTAGACAATTAAGTAATTAAAAATCTAAAAAGAAAATAAATAATCTAGATAAACTTAATTTCAAAGCATCACTATGAATAATAATAACAATAAATTGCTTTATTAAGAGATATCAATAAAAAAACTTTACAATGCTTAAATAAAACAATATCCACACAAATTCAAAATACTTACCGTGTAGCTTGCACTTTCATTTGCAGGAATAATTTTATTAGCTGCAGAACTTTTTGTATTAGTACTACCCTTTTGTTTCCTATTAACTCCATTCTTTGGCTTTGTTTTCCTTTCACCTTCATCCTCTTCACTATCACTGCTTTGCGTCATTGCCACTCTAGGTTTTTTGCTTAATCTTTGAGATGTTCTCCTCTTATTGCGCTTTTTCTACAAATTTAAACTCAACATTACCAATTTTTTCATTACATTAAAGTAATTGTGTATAAATAAATATTACCTCTGTTACTTCATCCCATTCACTGCCAGAGCTTTCAAAAACCGCGGGATCATCTTCATTTTCCGAGAAACTGTCGCCTTGGGCACTCATCCTGGAAGAACACAATAACAATCCGGCTTTATTTACAAATAATCAACCAGTATTTACGGGCGGATTGTTGTGGTTTACGGTTAACGATCCGATTCTGGATGAGGGAGTCGATCGTTAATGTTCGGTTTGGTTGATTAATTTACCTGGGGATAATTGGAAATTAGAAACTCGAATGATTACAGGTGTAAACCAAGCTTGGGTACAACTGTTGTCAGTGGCAAGCGGGCTTCAATGTGTCGCCATTATTGACAGATTTATTCAAAAAGAAATGTTTAAGGATTATATTTAATAATTTCTTATTATATATTATTAGTTGTTTTATAACGTTGTTTCCTTTTATAAATAGATAAATTGTTAATTATAGTTCTAGTTTTTGATGTAAAATTTACACCGTTAAACAAGAAACCTGTAATTATCACTAACATAGTTTGGAAGGTCATCAATAGATGTCACAATTCATAATTGATTTTTTGAGGTTATTCAAAATTTTTATTTATTTGTGTTTATTTGTATGTTTTGTGATGACAATATCGAAGCTGACTGGCAAAAAATAAAATACATTTAAAGTCGCCGAAGAGGCTGCCAAATACGCAACCATGGTTTAATGAGGAGGTCAAATAACTGGAAAATTAAAAACGAAAGGCATACTTAAAATACAGGTCATATTACTTAACAATAGATGAATATAAGGCTGTAAGAAATGCAATCAACAAGAAGATCCAATACACCAAGAGAGCTCATTGGTAAAAGTTCTCGATAGACATGGAACATGACCTTTACGGAGGCCTGAAGACGGTTTGGGACATGTTAAGACATAGGAAAAACAAAACAATCAACGATTATACAAAAATAACGAAAATAGCACTAAATGAATAAGAACAACACTTTTGACAACTCTACAGCGCTGACAACAACACAGCAAATCTTGACACAGCACAGCATGACGATAGCAGTCGAGAACCTTGAACCGTGTCTGGCGAGAGAGTGAAACAATTGATTCCCAAATTGAAAAATCGTAAATTTCCTGGAGTAGATGAATTATTCAACGAGCAGTGAACGACCAAACGAGTAGCACGTACTCTTTAAGAAAATCATAGAGTGCAGAAGGATACCGATGGAATGGGAAGAAAGTGTAACCACTCCAGTGTTTAAGAAAAGAAGTAAAAAAAATCAGCAAACAATCGGGAAATGACGCTATTAGGTTCACTGCTAAAGCTATTCATAAAAATCCTGGAAGAAGAAATATCTTCTTATGGGTTATGCGAAGAACAATAAGGCTTTAGGAAGAACAAGTCAACTATAAACGCTATCTGTGCAATCAGACAGATCGTGGAAAAATCTATAGAATACAACAAAACAGCATACATGTGTTTTATATCTTACGAATGCTTTTGACCGCGTAGCACTTCCAGACGTTGTGAGACTCCTCAACAAGAAAATGTGCACCCAGACATATAAAAACATTATAGTCGAGTTAAATACGAACAATTGGACTCAAATACAAGGCAGAAAGACAAGAAGAATGCCTATGCAGACAGGAATAAAACAAGACGATAGCTTAAGCCCTACCCTTTTTGAATCTGATTATGGACGAACTAATAACTGAAGTAACGAAGGTTGGAAAGGAATACACATTGAGGAACAAAGAAGTAAAGATAATCTGCTAAGTAGACGGTGCCGTGTTGATCTCGGAGAACGAGGACAACCTGCAGAGAATGTTCTTTCAATTTGAAAAAACAGCTACCAAGTACCCCATGACAATATCGTTAGCAATGTCTAAAACACTATCCATATCGAAAAAGCCGAGAAGATGGAAACTGACGATTTATAATAACCACCGGTTTATTATAAATCGTTAGTTTCAGCAGATCATGAGTTTTAAATATCTCGGCGTCAGCATCACAAGTAGCAGAGACCTCCGCGAGGAAGTCAAGGCTCAGACAACTAAAGCAGCCTTAATATCGGGGTATATGCAAGATATAATATGGCGAAACAAACACAAGACCATACAAAGTAAAATTCGCATATACAAGACCTGTGTAAGACCTGTTATGACTTACGCTGTGGAAACAAGGGCAAAAAACTCTACAACAAAAAGAATCATTCGAACAGCAGAGATGAGGACCTACGATCCATAGCAAGTTAGACCCTGAGGGACCATAAGAGAAGCGAAGACATCAGAGAACTGGGCGGTGTCCAAGATATAGTCCGATGGTCCCGAACCAGTCGTCGCTCATGGAGGCACCATGTTGAAGGGACCATGTTGGAGGAACCACAGTTTACAGCTCTTAAGACGGCTAAACACGAATTTTTCTGGTTCTAGGTCTAGTGTTAGTTCTACCTTTCGTTCAATAAAAATAACATTAAATAGATAATGTTAATAGTATGACTAATTTGAATATTTTGTCCTATTTTATCCTAAGTCCATTCTAACGGGGTCCGTTATATCGTGGTTTTACTGTATTCATTTTATATATTAGTAAATTAGTTTGGTTTAGTTATTTTTTGTAACTAATTAATAATTGCCTACTGATTTGAATCTAATATGCATCATATTTCTTTCATGACTGTTTTGCATTTGCTATGACCCGGGGTATCAGTATATACATTATTCATTACAATAAATCCGATTAGTGGTAAACTTTGAAAAACACTTTAAAAACTTTGCGATTGCATTAGCATATTTAGCAATGAAATTTATTCAGAGTGGTGTAATGTAACTGGGTACCGAGATAATTGATTTCACTAATCTTTTATTTTTTATCGTTTTCGGTCGTTGAACAACAATGCTTCTTTAAAAAGAAAGATTGTAATTTTTTCCGCCGTTTAGAAAAGAAGGATAAAACAATATTTAGGTCGGTAGGTATAGAAAAAGGGAGCTTCTCTCTGGAGGTTAAGGAAAGTTGAAAAAGACGAGAGAATAGTGGGTAAAGGGGGAATTCGTTGGAAGTTTATGAGCCAAACCGATCTATAGGACTCAAGCTGTTTCATTCACTTTGTTTTCATTCTGGTTTAATTCGAAACTCGGATTCCTTGCCTCTGGTCAGACAACAAAAAGATAATATTGCCGAGAGCAATTCCACAATTGTTCAACGATATTTTTGTTTCCTGGAGTTTTCGTGCAAACTTGATTTTACTTAAAAAAAAGTTAAATAAGTAATTAATTATCATTAATGATAGATGATTTTTGAAATTTAAACGATGTGAGATTAAAAAGATTTTATATGTGTATTATTAAGCGTTATAAAACGAGTTTTATTGATAAACCGCTCTTTAATCAATGACCGGTTGTTAAATCTGCACGTAAATAGCTGTTAGGTAATATAATTAATAGCTAACTTCAATGAGGTGATAATTCACCATCATTATCCATCATTAAAGGATAGAAGGGCAGTTCCTACATGAGTATGTACTGAAAAGTGACACCATAGTTTATAAAGCTGTTAACAACTTGTTTACGAGTTGGAACTTTAAAAAGAATTATTTGTTGATCATCTCACTGCGAGTTTAATATTAGTTTTATGTTTCTTTCCCTATATTATTAATAATGCTTGTGTCCCATCAATGATGCCATCCATTGATGGCACAGGATGGATCGATAACCTCAAAGAGAGAATTTTTTGACTGATTGAATTTCTTGTACATTGATGAGAATCTTTACATTTATGGTGTTATTCTATCGAAACACAATATTACCTTATGTCCGTCTATATGGAGCAAAAGTCCTATGTTCAAACTATGTTCAGTTGCACTTTCTTCGAGATTTACTCCCATAATATGTATTGTAGCTTTCTTCTTTTATAAGGTGCTTAAAACTCTCTGAATTTGGACGTCCTGGAAGTGAAGCTTGGTAGTTTAGGGTCACTACATGGTTCTAGACATCTTGAGAGGTTCCATGTTGATAAATCTCCTAAAATAAAAGTAATCTTTACTGAATGGATTTTTATATTCGATTATGCTGTTCAGTTAAGACGGTACAGTATACTGATGATATTTGCTTGGTGTCTTGACAAAATCTGCAGTGATCTGTTTTCCGGTAGGACAAATATTATTGGTGTGACCATAAATATTTTTTCTGAAGAATTAGTTTAACGGCAGCTGAATCGCATTAGGGTAATGGAGATTCGTCGGTCGTGGTTTTATTGATATTATGAGTCATGAGATATACGAAGCTCAATATCGTCATTTGTAGCTTCGCTTCTGGTTTTTTGACAACTAAGCGGATTGTTAGAGTACACAATATGTTGTCCATCTTTACGATTATGGTATTGATATTATCGGTATTGATTGTAGAGTCTCGGTCGGAAACAACTCGGCTTAATCAGAAGAAATCATGGATCCAAAGAACCAAGTCACATTATGTTGACCATCTTTGCAATCACGTGGTTATCATTGTAAAACCTGAAGATGACTTCGGCTTAATCATACTTAATCATTTCCACAATAATTAAACGCAGTCATAGAGTCTATGTTGTAGATTTAGCTAGGGCGCCACAACATATTGCCCATCTTTGGAATTTTATAGTACTGATTGAAATACGGTCAAACGCGGTCTCCATTCAACCTGGAGAAACCATGCTACTAAACAACGAGGTTGCTTGCGGCCTAGGAGTTGCAATTTATTGTGCTGATTTGGGTTGATATGGCATTAATTGTAGTGATGAATTTTGGATTGCTGTTGTAACTCTCACAGCGGCTCTGGTTATGCGCACCTACAACATAAACACATTCTCACGTCTTAAAAAAAGTATCGATAGCAACATAAACAGTTGTTCTTAATTGAGAAGTCCTTGGGTTTATTATATGTTGTCACATTATTGTTAAAGTGCACAAATCAGCTTCGTAGTACAGTTGCAGAGCTGACTAGTCAGAATAGAAACCAAATCTAATATATTTGATATGCTTTGCTACTTTATGACCACACTTTTGATCACAAAGAAATGATTGTGAGACAAAGACAAAAATGTTTCCTTGAACACTACTTATCTTTTATACCAGTCAGATTATATTAAGATTACGACAGCAAACTCTACCATATCTCGTAATATTTGTATATTATTCATAAGGACTTTCTTTTCGTAGTCTATTACAGTGTATTTTTAAGCAATTGACACGATTTTGTTCTTTTCTCTTATTTGTCTATAAATTTTGAGTAGAAAAATTGCTGGTCATAATATCAAGTAAAATGAATGGTCAGGAACCAAAAACTTCTGTTTATGACCTAGATGTTAG